CGCCCACGCCCACGCCCCCCCCCGCGGCAACCCCCCCCCCCCCCAAGCCCACCCGCGACGCCCATCCCGCACACCGGCATCGAGCGCGACGCATGCGTGCATAGCCGACGTCGCGAGGCCTCTTTGTTGTTGTCGCTTGCTCTCGGCGTCGTCACGCTGGTGTCGCGCCGCTAAATTCGGACAAGACGGGAATCGGGCAGGAGAGGAAAAGTGACGCCGGACCCCAAACACGCCCACCTCCTTCCCTCCGCCGCACACGACCTCGCCAATGACGGCAGTTGCGCCCCCCGTCAACTACCAGAACATCAATCGGCAGGCATGGAGCGCTGAGGGCGTGTCCAACGGTGGTGGCATGTTCATGCCTCGGAAGAGCGCCCAGCGGTCCAACTCGTCGTCGAGCCTCTCTTCACAGGCCTCGGGCACCTCGACTCTCTCTGCCTCGTCCTCTGCCTCGCAGCCAAACGGCACCCCCCAGCAGCCCGCCGGCACCGACTGGGCGGCCACCCGCAAAGCAAAAGCCCCCAAGGGACTATGGCCCGCGACCAAGACTGAGCCCATCGCCGGAATCACTGCCGCACGCCCCCAGCCCATCGCCTCTGCCGGCCCCGCCTCATCAGCCGCTTCGGCCATGAGTGCCCTGCAAGCCCCTTCCGCCATGGTTCCCTCACAGCACAATGGCCAGGTCCCGGCCCAGCAACAGCCCAACGGCGCCCAACGCGCATCGCCCCAGGAGAGCACCGCCGTACTGCACCTGGTCCCCATGAACGGCACCTTTGAGCGCAAGACCATCACCGTCCCCTTCTTCCCCGACGTCCTCCGCATTGGCCGCCAGACCAACAACAAGACAATTCCCACGCCACTCAATGGATACTTCGACTCCAAAGTCCTCTCGAGACAACACGCCGAGGTATGGGCCGACCGTCAGGGCAAGATCTGGATCCGAGACGTCAAGTCGTCCAACGGCACCTTTGTCAACGGCTCCCGTCTGTCGCAGGAGAACAGAGACTCTGACCCCCACGAGCTACGCGAGCAGGACATGCTGGAACTCGGCATCGACATTGTCAGCGAAGACCAGAAGACCATCGTTCACCACAAAGTCGCCGCGCGCGTTGAACATGCGGGCATTTATGCACGATCCAGTAGCGACATGATCGACCTCAACTTCGGCGAGCTCGAAGGACCCCAGCTCTCTAACATGATGAGCCCCAACGGCCAACAGCAAATGGCGAATATGCGTGGTCGCACGCCCAGCCAAGGCTCTGTCAACGGTCAGCGACTCCCGGGCCCGGGCGCCATGGCCAATTACCCAAACGGCATGCAGCAACCCCGACACCCCAATTTCTGGCTACAACCCATCACAATGGAGCAGGTTGTGAAGAAGCTCAATGTAAGTGCAACCTAGCTACTCGTGGGACCCCTCTCTAACAGCCTTAGACCGAAATCAAGGCAGCAAAGCAGCAGTCGCAGGACCTCCAGCAGACCCACCACTACATCAATGCTATCCTCTCCGCAGACACCAAGAAGGAACCCGCGAAGGCCTCGCCAATCAACCAGGCCAGAATATCGCCGATCAAAGACGGCAGCATCAAGGCGAGATTTTCAGATCCGCCTGCGCCCCCACCACAACAGCCTTTACCCGAAAAGCCCGACGTTGCATCGTCCCTTAGGAGGTCCGACACCGAACGTCCAAAGACAGCGTCACCGGTGCGCTCTGACGCACAGCTGTCTACACTCACAGAGGCCTTGACTAGTGCGAAGAAAGAGATCGAAACGCAGGGCATGCGGCTGCGTGACTTGGAGACCTTGTTGAACGAAGAGCGTCGCGCAAGGGAAGACGCAGAAGAGCGAGCAGCCCGCCTCGAGCGTGAGACAACCAAGGACCAAGGAGACACAGAGACTATCCTTGGCGAAGATGAGACGCCCGAAACCGAGGCAGCCGATACACAGCGCGAAGAGCTCACTGATTCAGATAACGGGCCCACATCTCCCGCCAGCGCCGAGGACGCCACTGCTCGCTTACAGCAACGCCTGGAGCTCATGATGTCCGAGATGAATGAGATGAAGCAGCAAATGGAGCGGTACCGGGAAAGAGCCGAGACAGCAGAGGCCGATCGCAAAACCTTGGCAGAGATGATCGAAAACATCAGAGAAGACAATGCAAAGACTGCTGGCAAGGAAGCTCAACGGCGGAGCAGAAGCAACAGTGCATCCGCAAGAGCGAGCAGTAAGACTGGCGTTGAGGGCTCAGACGATGAGGCCGAGCAAGGTGAAATCACCATCATCAAAGAGAAGGACCTCGACGAAGACGGCCCAGAAGTATCACTTCCCAATACGAGGGAACAAAACGGACATTCTGTTGAGCCAAACGGTTCAAAGCAGTCAGGGAAGGCGAATTCCTTGGTTGCCCATCGGCCTGATCGAGCTGCCATGTACTATGGCGGTCCGGTTGGGGCCATGGTAACAGTCGTTGCAATAGGTGTCGCGGTCATGGCCATGCTCAACCAGTATCCCAAGGCCGAACGTTGAAGAGACAAATGCCAAAGTCTTTTATCACTATGCTAGGAAAGACTGGCTTTGTGAGGCGCCACCTCAGCGATCGGGCCCAGGAAGAGCATACTGAGCGTCAACGCTTGAGATGGTCTCCCGCGGAATTCTGGGTTATACGCCGATGCTAGACTACTGTCATTCTCATCAAGGCCATTCGCTGCGTTACACTACGATGCCCACTTATGGATGGCTCGCAGCAACATCATTGTTAGGCTGTTCGCGACGCAATGTTGCACGATGGTAGCACCTCCACGATGTCGTGACTAATCGCAAATGTTCCGCAACAGAACCACCCACACAACTACCCAAACTATCCATGTCACCGCACTTGTCTCAGATGAGACAACTGCGGCTGGAGACATACCGTTATACCGAATCACCACAGCAGACTTTCTTTCCTTTCGGCGTAGTTAACGGGTAATGCATCTGTATCTTTCGTTCTACTGGCGTTCAGGACTCACAGTGTCAGCCTCTGACCTCCCAGGCGTTTATCTCTTTCGGAAGGGTGGGAAGCATTGAAGGATTCTTTCGAGGCCAAACAGTCATTCACTGCGGTCAGCGAGCGATGAACCTTTTCTTTTGTAAACACGACTATCTTTTCCTTTGCGTCTCCTTTTTTCACTGGCTTGGGAATTGGGGGATCCGCGATGAATAGGTGGGCAGAGAGATTGGGATTAGGAGAGCAATCGGAGAACACATACACTTCAACGACACAAACATGACTCGCGAACTATGTTGTAAATTGCCTGGGTATCTACTTTACACTAATGAACCAAGACTGTCGTGACGTGTGAGAACTACATTACTAAGCCGATAGTAACAGTGACAGAACTCAAAATGCGTATCCTCGTCTCCGGTACATCATCTGCATCCTCCGCTACTTGGCCCATCTCCGCTTCCCTACCCTCGTCTTCTGCCATCCGATCCCCGGCCTCAACATCATCAATCGCACTCACATTCCCCATCTCAATCTTGACCCAACAATCCTCTTCGCCCTGAAAATGCAATCCTATCTCCAACGCCCTCGGTATCGCCCGCCCTGTCGCTTTAAGATGGACGTTTTCTCGCTTCCCATTTCGAGTCCCACTTCCACCCACACCATCTGCACAGCCCTTAGTCCTACCACGACCATCACTACCCTCCCTACCCATCGCGCCTGCGATCTCAGCCTCCACATCCCTCGGTTCTAACCGTCCATTTGCTTGCGCATATCGTCCCCCGCCTCTCCCTTCTCCTCCTCTTCCCGCCTTATTCAAGGACGCGGCAGATTGCTTCTCGCGCTTGGTTATTTGCGTGAGTAGTTTCCGGATCCGTTTCAGGGCGGGTACGTACGGCGACGTGGCGGTTATGTATAAGGCTTTTGGGGAAGCGGATGAGGAGAAAGGAGTTGGTAAAGGTGCGTGGAGAAGTGGCCGGGTGCTTATTGTTGTGTCTAGGGATTTTGTTAGATTTGGTCCATCTGTGAAACGGGGTCTACGTACTTTTGGGCAGTCTGGCGAGCTTTTGGCGGAGTTGATGGGTTGCGGAGCGAGGCTTGGAAGGTTGCTTTGCTGGCGCAGACTTTGAGGGAGAGTCCTTTGCGTGAGACGCTCGTTTTGGTGGGTTCGTCTGCTTTTCTGTAGCGGTGGCGGACGAGGTGATGTTGCTGGAGGGTGCTTGCGGCTGTCCACATGGTGGTGTCGCATCTGTCATGGCTACATCCTCCGGCTGTTGAGGCTGGTTATGGGGTTTGACTTGTCCGTTGATCGATCGCTTGATCCCTGCCATGATAGTGCAATGAACAGAGCGGGGACTCGTGGTTGTGCGTAAGATGCAGTCGATGTCCTCGCAGTCGCAGAGTCAAGTCGCGTCGCGTTACAAACCCTTATCGATAAGTCGATACCAAGGTCCCAGACCCCAGACACTCATCTCGGAAGACTTGCGACGACAGTAATGGCAAGCTCTATCCCGCAGAAGCTGCACCATATCCACCTACGAGGCCTTGTTTCCTACGCAACAGCAGCTCGCCTTCAAGAATCTCTCGTGTCGCGCTTTCTCGCCTCGAAACCGCCACTCAATGCGTCCCCACCACCACCACCACACATCATAACCACTGAATTCACACCCGTCTACACATGCGGTCGACGAGAAATTGGCAATGTCTCCCCAGACCAACAAACCTATCTGCGCGCCAATAACCGCGCCTCCTTTACCGAAGCCCTGCGCGGCGGCCAAACCACCTTCCACGGCCCCGGTCAACTAGTCGCGTATCCCATCATCGACCTGCGTACCCATAGACTCACACCTAGAAACTACGTCTGCTTGTTAGAAAAGAGCCTGATAGCTACCTGTGCGAAATACAGTATCAAAGCCATGACAACAGAGCATACAGGTGTCTGGACGAGTCCAGAGGATAAGATTGCCGCCATTGGTGTGCATATGCGGAGGAATATCACGAGTCATGGGGTGGGGCTGAACGTGAATACGGATTTGTGGTGGTTTGACAGAATTGTGGCGTGTGGGTTGGAGGGGAAGAGGACGACTAGTTTTGAGAGGCAGGGTGTCGAGGGACAGAGCATTGAGGGGGTTGGGGGGAGCTTCGTGAACGAGGTGGGCGGGAGGTTGATGGGTGTGGAGGGCGTGCGGAGGCTGGGTCAAGAGGAGGTTGAGGCGTTATTGGAGAGCCCAAGAGGCGCATGAGCATGTTCGACAGTCTTGACATCACGCATGTGGGCTTTGTGCTGCCCGCCGACTGACACTTGTGTATGATGGTGCTCCCTTCGAGGTGAAGGCCTGATTGGTGTAAGTGGACCGAACCTCCAAATGTTGATGTCAGAGTCGCATTGCAGGAAAGAGAAAATGAGGTGCGTCCTTTGCCAGACCGGAATTACGAGCTACGTCACCGTCACCATCACCATCACTGTGGTTGCGGCACGTGTCAGCGACACCGTAGCTATGCGAGCGACTCAAATTGACATTACAACACATTCAGAGTTCTAGATTGAAAGCGCTCCTAAGTAAACATCAAGAGAAGACGCCTCGTAAGAAGAGAAGAGGCGCACCACGAGAAACACTAGGGAAATAAGCACAAGGTGGAATGTGATCTTGTATGTCGAATGAAGTCGTGCTAGCCTATCTAGCCTCACTTTGTAACGCGGATGCATACCATTTTGAACGCGAGAACTACAGATACGTTGCCGAGAAGTGGGTTGGTGACCAGAACTCATGTCAATCGTCTGATGGGTATCTAGCTAGCAAGGAACTGACATGAAACTGGACATGAATTGGAGAAACTATGCGGGTATCGTTAGTTAGGCATCTTTATTCTACAGGTATCCGAGTCAGCCCATATCATCGTAATTCTAAGGAGTAAAAAAAGAAGAGGTTCTATCCAGCAAGACGATCAAACAGCATGAGGATGAATCTCCTTCTGTCTGTGTCTCCACCACTTCTTCTCCATGTCCCCCTCCCTCAATCCCCCTTCACTATCCCGGTCCACACTCCTCGCACTCGCACTTCCGCTTCCCCTCGCAAAAACTATCGAATTGTTCCCCAATGCACCTTCCACGTTCACAGTCCCTCTACTCGCAACACCACCACGATTTCGCCACTGGCCAGCCTGTAACTCATACACGTCCTCTTTTTCGCCAGCCAGTTCCTCCAGTCTTGCTCTCTTCGACTCTGGAACAAGAAAACTGGTAAGCATACCCAGGAACATGAAGAGCGCGAAAATCTGCATTACACCGTGGATCCAGGGCGTAGGATTGTCATGCGTAGCCCCCCTCTTGATCATGGGTGCAAAGAAAATCTGTGCGAACACGGCGCCTAACTTGCCCATTCCTGCGCTGATCCCATGGCCTGTACATCGTACTCTAGTCGGAAAGATCTCGGCTGGCGCTATGAAAGTCGTGGCATTGGGCCCGAAGTTGAAGAAGAATTGTGCTAAGACGTATAGTACTAGTAAGTGGGTTTTTGTGAGGCCTTGCCAGGCGAAGCCAAGAACACAGAAGATGATGGTCAGGATTCCGAACCCGGCGATTTGAATGGGTTTGCGGCCTATGGTGTCGACGGTGAATACGGTGAGCCAGTAGCCAGGAAGGGCACCGGCGCAGATGAGCACAATTTGCCCTGTGGCCATGTTGCGTAGGTAGAGGTAGAGGTTTGCGCGTTGGTCGAAGCCCATAGTCGACATCAGTGATGCAGAGGAGAAGCCAAGACCATAGAAGGCCATGTCTAAAAATCTGTGTGAATGTCAGCTTGTTCTATAGCTAAAGTAGTAAATTGCTGCACATACAACCAGGACATAGAGGTGCCGAATAGGCGGATAGCTTGGCGTTTCCGTGAGTAAAACCGCAGTACTTCCATCAACGTAGGCCGCGGCGTCTTGTACTTGGCCATCTCGCTACGCGCCTTCGCCTGTGTGACTGGATTGACCACGTTACCCTGCTTACCATAGCGGTACTTTCGCGCATCAACTGAGGCCTTTTCAACATCGTACAGCACATCAAACGTGTATCGTGGCGTTTCCGGTACTGTGAGTCTGTAGTAAAGCGCGAACCAGGCGGGAATGCCACCGAAGGCGATGATAATGCGCCACATCTTGTCAACGTGCATGGAGCACTGCCCGACGCATTCTCCAACGTTAGCTACCACGATCAAGTGGTCTTTGTAGACTATGACTACGATGAGAGTTACTAAGGCGGCTGCAAGTTGACCGAGGCCTTGCATGGCGAAAACGGCGGCGATGATGCCTCCCCGATATCTGGTACTGGCAAATTCTGCCGTAATAACTGCACTAAGCGGGTCTGATGTATAATTAGCGTATCATCGACAAGAGGATATGGAACTGTTGCATGGAACGTGTACGTACAGTCACCACCGACGCCGATTCCCATTACAACTCTGTAAAAGATGAGCACACCCACGATTGAAAGGGTCGCTGATTCACCGCAAAGCGATTGTGCGAGTGTTGTGCAGATAATAATCATCAGCTCTACTCCGTACATCTTCTTCCTTCCTAGAACATCGCCCAAGTACCCAAAGATACATTGGCCGAAGATGGCGCCGGCGGACGTAGCGACTTTGATGGCTGTATCGGCATCATGGGGCATGACGCCTTGGTGTTCCGTATCTTGCCAGTACACAATTCCTAGCAGGATGACAGCTAGGTTTATGGCGAACAGCTGAAGATATTGTTAGTCAGCTTTCAACATTGTCGTTCATGTTACTGTCAGACTCACAGAGTACGCATCGGTGAAGAAACCAATGCCTGTCACGACTGCTAGTCGTATATGATACCAGCCGAAGGGCGCCTTGTCTACCTCGGCGAGGGCCATCCGCCGGCGCTCATTGGGGTCGGCAATATGTGTCTGACAGACTTGTCAGATACAAGAGAAGATGGTAGGGTCGGAGCCACCACGTACATAGACTCCGGGTACGTCGCGATACGCCGCATTTCCGACTCGTCCAAACGAAAGCATAGGCGGCAGCGGAGATGGACACTCTGGACAACGACGTCCATAAGAGAGGATGCAATGAAAGGATATGTCAGCGAACAGCCGCGGGATATGCGAAAGGTAAGTAAGGCAACGCCAGGCCCATGCCGAGTTCCCAACATGGGGATGGCGAGAGGCTCGATATCATGCCGCTTGGAGTCAATTGGTAGACACTCGCGATCAGACTCAGCATGACATGCCGTGTGAGGGCGCGAGTTCACGTTGTCGGAGGCTCGCTTGCGATTGGCTGGCTGGCTCGGAAGCCCAAAACGGCCCCATGTCGCTATGGTGACTGACGGCACGCCTCGAGGTCGAAGCCGGCAGTGGCTTCGCGGGAGGACTTGAAAAGGGTCAGGGAGTCGGTGCCGTGGACCAGTGTGCTGGGATGGGACCGACGCTGAGACGAGAGGCGCTAAGGGTAGCGGAGGCGCACGTGCATGGAGGTGCACGGGTGGCATTGCCCGCAGACAGACTACTGGACCTTGGCCGCCGTGACACAACACCATGGAGGACCCAGAGCCATCCTCTCCGGGTCTCGCGTCCTCCAGCCCTGCACTCCCACGGGCGCCTGCCCGCGCCGACACGACGCAGAAGACGCAGAAGACGCAGGCGACGCCAGACACTGCCCGCCCGACATCGACGCTGACGACGGCGGACCTCGCGCCCGGCACGGCAGCCACGGATCCCTCGCTGCCCAGATATCACGTCCGCGCCCCGTCGACGGCGCTGAAGCTCGACACGGACCTCGCCATCGCCTCGAACCCCAACTCGGCACGCTCCCTCGACCCCGCCAATCTGGAGCCCAGCGGGAGCGACGCGCTGCGGCAGTCGGCCACGGCGCCGATTGCCATCCAGGACAGCGGCTATCTGAGGACCGCCTGGTCGACTGCCAGTCTCGGCTCGCTGTCGCCCTCGTCCGCCATCTCGTCGCCAGCGCTGGCTGCCCTGGGCGACATCACCCCGCTCCCCTCGCCCCTGGTCATGGGCGACTCGCCCGGCCCATGGCAGCGCGCCGACCATCGTCCTCGCTCGCGCGGCATCTCGGCCGCCTCGCGCGACGACGCCTTCGCCATCTTCGCCAAGGGCACCCTGTCGCCCTCGCCCTCGCTCAAGAAGAAGGGCTACTCGGGCCTGAAGGCCGCTGCCATGGAGGCCGCCGCCGCAAACTCGCAGCAGAGGAACGAGGCTGCTCGCGAGCGCAACAGGAGCATCAGCGAGTACACCCCGGATTCAATGCACAACACCCGCCCTCGGCACGTCTCGGTCGTCGACACGGACCCCGCCATGCAGCAGCGCATGAACCGCGAGACATATCTGGCGACGCAGCGAGGCCTCGTCCCCGCCAATGTGCCAGCCGGCCTTCCCACCCCGCCCGCGAGCAACGCAAGCAACCGCAGTGTTACCGACACCGAGGAAGACGACGTGACCGAAGATGACAAGACTCAATATATAGTGGTGCGGTGTGGGCCTCAAAAGACGAAGAAGCTCTGGCGCCCTGTCCGCCAACTGGGGCAGGGCACCTTCAGCAAAGTCTACCTCGCAACCTGTGAGAAGACCAAAGCAAAGGACCCTCTCGATGAGAACGTTTTGGATCCACGGAAACTGGTCGCCATCAAGGTCGTCGAGCATGGCCCTGCCGGGGGTGCCGACGAAGAGCGCGTAGAACTAAGCCTCAAGCGAGAAGTCGAAATGCTCCGATCAGTATCGCACCCCTCTCTTGTCCATCTCCAAGCCTTCGATCACGATGACGCCCAAGCTCTTATTGTCCTTACCTACTGTCCCGGTGGTGATCTGTTTGATGTAGCCAGTGACCATCGCGACAAGCTGACTCTCGACATCGTCCATCGCGTCTTCGCCGAAATGGTCAGCGCTGTGCGTTATTTGCATACCCAACTTATTGTGCATCGCGACATCAAGCTAGAAAGTACTGCTTCCATTCTTTTTACCATGCCACAGTTCATCTGGTACGTTTCTTCGCTTTTACTCTGTACTAATGACATCCAGACGTCCTTCTCAATATTCCTGTGTCTACCGTGCCTCTACTCAAGAACCCACAGTGCCATCCGCATGCCATAGCGACACTCACGGATCTCGGCCTCTCACGACGCATCCCTGCTCCTCCCGAGTCGCCTCTTTTGACAACACGATGCGGTAGTGAAGATTATGCTGCTCCAGAGATTCTCCTCGGTCAGCCATATGACGGCCGTTCAACCGATGCCTGGGCGCTCGGCGTCCTGCTCTATGCTCTCATGGAAGGACGTTTGCCCTTTGATCCACCGCCGGGCAAGGCCGCGTCTCGTAGTAGAGCCGCTCACCGTATCGCCAGATGCGATTGGTCTTGGGTCAAATTCGGTGACGAAGACGGCGAGTGGGATGCGGAAAAGGGCAACGAGTGGGCTGGCGCTCGCGAGTGCGTCGAGGGTCTGCTGAAGAAGGCCTCACGTGGTCGCAAGAGCCTGGAGGACATTGAGAAGCTGGACTGGGTTCAGCAAGGCATTCAGGTCAAAGGCGGCTTGAGAATGAGACCGGAAGATGAGGTTGCTGAGATTGCTGCAGCTCAGACCTCGTCGAGGTGATCGCTAGTGAAGAGCGGAGATGCATGGGCTGCTGAACTCGAATGATAGGACGTCTACGTTTCGGGATATAGCCGAGCGGCTTTTCAGCATCTCGTTTGCTAACTCTGTCCTTCCAAAGATCAATGAGCATAGAAGCTCCGCCAAGAAAGATCCATCATCAAATTTCAGCGTCTCTGTGGCAAGCCTCCATGCGCAGCTCGCCCCGGGGCTATTACCTTTCCTTTCTTACGACTATTCACTCTCACATTCGTTGTTCTACTGATATCCCATACCTGGTTCGCTTCTTCGTCTGGTTACACTTTGCTTCATCGTCGTTCAATCGGCTATTCCCTTTGCCGGCGTGGCTCCGCCTCTGTATGTTATGCCCACGTTGGGTTGATTCTCTTTTTCCAACTTCTTCCATTAGATGGCATTTGAAAATGAAATTCGAAACTGACTTAAGATAGCGCTAGCAAGCATGCCTTTTCTGACTGTTTTGTCGAATATTGGATTGAGCTGGCTTGGATAGAAGATCAATATAGCGGTTCTACGCCCTTGCCGTGTGTTTCTGTCGTGACTAGTGTAGCCGGAAGTATTGGATGACTATACGCGCATCGAATCTCACACTGACATACTTTCTCCATCACGCATAGTTCACTCTCACATTGATGATTTAATATCGCGACCTACACACAAATACTAACCAATGCATGGGAAAGAGGAGTAACTATATGATGTTGATTGGTATCGAAAATGGAAATGCGACGATCCCGGGGTGAGGGAACAGATTTTGAACGTAGCACTAGCGACGGACTTTAACCTGTCTAGATATTAACTACGTCATTTTCGGCAGCAAATGCGCTTCCCCTTTCAATGCTATTCAAGGGCGCATCTAAACAGCGGATCTCAATTTAGCATTTTGCTAGACTCATTTCAAAAGACTTGTGTATGCATCTTGGTTAGCGGTGGTACCCTTTGAGGAGGTGTTCCAAGGTTCGTACGTGGCTACACCTGGGCACCTCACGATAGGACCTTGGGAAATTCAAACAGCGCGTCACAGTCGAACAAGGTAAAACGGAAGTGGATATTGATGTTAAAGCAGTATGGCGTTCGCTATCTGCCGGTGACATTACCAGCCTCGTCCAAGTAGCTGAGAAGATCCATCCCGACCTCCATGAAAGCGACGAAGTCTTCGCAGAACGCGCCAGGTTGTTCCCGCAAGGCTGCCAAGGTCTCTTTGACGAAACCGGTGGAATTTGCGGATATATCGTCTCGCATCCCATTCGCAAATGCGAGCCCCCAGCTCTCAATCAGCTTCTCGGCGAAATCAGGCCGGATGCGGATCAGTACTACATCCATGACTTTGCTATTCTGCCCGAATTCCGTAGATATGGGCTCGCGCATCAATGTCTTCACGCGAGCTTGGAGATTGTTGCTAAGGAATATGCAACTACTGGTATTGTTTCCGTCTATGGTACAGGAGACTTTTGGGGTCGATATGGTTTCAAGGCACCAGTAATCGATGAGGTATTGGAGGGGAAGGTTCAAGGTTATGGGGATGATGCGGTGCATCTTGAACGCAAGAGCGAGTCGTAGACATATGAGTGAAGAATGCATAGAGCGAGCTGTTTCAATCGGGATAAGAAGCAGCGTCTTTCAAAGCCGACAGAGAAAAATTCGCACTCTATTGCAACGAAATTCTTCAACTCATATGCATCACCCTCTCCAGGCGACTAAGTTGCGTGTGCTGGCACGGATTTTGGCAGACGCCAGAACTCCACAACGCCGATACATTATTCTCGTGGATAGGGAATGGCACATCACTACGAAAGCATTCTTTTCCAGTGGCTTAAATAACTCGATAACCTCATTCTTCGACTTGAAATGCTATCACAAACACTACAGGTCGACAGTGTTTAGTCTCGCTCGTCCGTGCCAAGACCAGTTCGTAAAGTCTATCTGCAACTGTGTAATCTACATACGAGGTAATCAATCTGGTCCAATGTGGGCTATATTCTGGGGTATTTGTATCAAGTCAAAACGCGTGTCAGAACCCAGCGTTACTTTGCATGGGGGCATATGGAGGGTCAGTGTAGGTTGCTCCAGTTGTGCCCCCACGGACGACGCCGAGGAGACTTGCCATAGGTCTGGAAGGGAGGGGAAACGCGAAACAGGCCGGCAAGCCATCAGGGACTGGAATTGTTAAGACGAGGGAGATCAAGAATGTGGCCTTGCCAATGCTCCCAGTCAATGGCCGAGAGCTGTAGGAAGATGGGCCGGGGAAATGAAGGTGGGATGTTTCGAGCCGCGAAACTGGAGAGATTCCAATTGCATGGAGAGATATGCGAGTGCTACGCATCAGGTGGTTGGGACGGGCTTGCTTTATTCATAGACATGGATCTGTAAAATAGCTACTGGAAGTGGTACTGATATGGTAACGATGGGATATTCGGTAATGATCATCTCAGATTTTACAAAGCGTCTGCATTGCCTCTTTTGTGCTTTGCGACGTCTCTTTGACTACCTTGATGATGTCTTTGAATCTATCTATTGTTAGCCATCTAGTCCATAATAGATGACCCTTCGACACTGCAATTCCACTTACTCGGGTGTACTAGCGTCCCCAACGTATTCGTACATGAAGCTCTCACTAGTGGTCACCACGGCACCTTCATGGCGTAGCCTTGCCAAAGCGATCGGCACCTCTTCTTTGTTACACGAGCTTACGCCATCAGCAATGACATAGACTTGGTGTCCGGCCCGGAGGAGATCGAGTGTGGTCTGAGTGACACAGATGTGGCTCTCGATGCCGACAATGATGCAGGAGAGTGGGCCAGAGGCGTTGAGCGAGTCTAGTGCTTGCTTGACTTCTGGTGTTCTACCATGAGTCAGCAAGTAGTATTGACGCACAGATCCCATGTGCTGTGGCTTACACCATCGAAAACAATGTCTTGTCAAGATGACAGACTGTATTGATGCCATCAGGCTGATCCAGCTTCAGCTCCGGACATGTCTCGCCCAATCGCGCTACGGAGGCGGAAGGACTACGTCAGTACATGTCTCACATACGGTTCGTACAGCCGTAACCTACCTTTGTTCTGGGTAGTCGCGAAGACTGGAATGTTCAGTAATTTGCCTGAAAGGGTTGGTCAGCAGTAAGCACGCGGGGCGGAAAGTATAATGAAAGGTTTTGGTGAGCCTGCCTGAGAGCTTCAGGCTGACGCTCAGCGGGTGGCAAGCCTAGAGGGTGGTGTTGGTGTCTTATTGGAGTTGGGACACGGTGTTGGACAAAAAATGTGGAGCATACTCGCTTTCAGCAACTTTTGTGCCGTGGAGACGACTTTGGGAAACTCATAAATGGCTGGACGAAACTTCTCTTGAAGATCGCAGATGCTGTAATGATATTAGAAGGGAATTGTCACGGCTGTGGTCTGCATACAAGAGGGCGGGGTTCGCTATGGTCCATCAGCTATTGTCGCACAAGATGTCGCTAAGCAGCCTACCAATGCGTCGCTGAGCCATGGCTGAAGAAAATGATCGAAGAGAAGGTCCACGAGCGGCGAACAATACATATGGTCGTGGGCGGAGAAATGCCATAGTCGATGCGCCTCATGCGGAGATGCCTCGGCTGGAGGGAATGACATAGTCGCTTCCCCATCGGTGCAACGCGCCTGCCGTAGCCAAAAGGCCCCTTGCGCTTGCGCTTGCGCCTGCGTAGCCGTGGACACCTGGGCATGATGGGCACGGCCGTCACGTGATGAGCCGAGAGTCGGCATCTGAAACAGAGTCCGCCCGTAGCCAGTTGGGTGCATATTTTGGAGCCCCAATTTACCGCGTCGAAACAAGTCGACAAACGCGAGAATGCCCGTCTTCTGACATCAAGACTCTGGCGGGTGGCTATACTTGGAACCGGAGGCGCGGGTACCTTGGTCATTACGAAATGCCGCCGTTGGTGCTGTCCCTGCGTCTGCTCCGGCGGTGATATACCGGTCAGATGCAGATGGGACGAGACCAGAAATACACGGTGACACAGGGTTGGTGAACAATGTCCGAGGCAGAGGACATGGCGGGCGGTCTGACTGCGATGCAGCAAGCCCCTACAATCTCACGAGTAGGCGTCATGTCCTATGACACGGGCTGCACGAGACAGGAGACGCCCATGCTGCAGCTTAACAGGAGTTCTACAGGAAGCTGTCATGTAGCGTAGAAGCACGGCGGAGTGGCCCGTTGAACACTACCGTCTCCGCACGGCCAGCCAGCACGGCCAGGGCTGATGACGGCTGACGGTGTGGCGTGGATTGTGCTTTTTCCCTTTTTCCCTTGTCCAGTGCTCTGGGCGCGGGGAAGGCCAGCGCCGCGGTGGTGATGGCGGTGGGAGTGGGAGTGCAAGCTGGTGGTGTAGGCCAGAAAGACATCGGGCAGCCCCCCGCCATGGAGCAGCAGAGGATAGATTACATGGCGTGTTGTATGTGTATGGGCCATGGAGAAGGCGCCCCTGTCGCCGTCACACGTCCCAAAGCGCATTAGAGGCAGCCCTGTGCGTTCATCCCTCGTTAGGACCTAGGTGTGGCCCAAATGCCCATGCCCATGCCTATGCCTATGCCCATGCATGCCGCTGCACTGCACACAACCTCACAGACTGTCGACCTCGTCCTCTGCACCGCTCCGCCCGCCGTCTGCAGTGCCTCGATTCCCGTCTGCGTCTGCATCCCGCCATTGTTTAGCGCTGACCGGCGGAACCACAGTCGACGCCGGATCCCTAGCACCTTCGCAGCGACGAGTGCGGACCAGGCTCTCACGGCAGGGGTTCACGCACCACCCTCTCACGACGCCGAATTCCGAGTACGCCCTCACCGCGGGCTCCTCTGCTCCAGCCCTCTGCCTTCACCTGCTCTGGAAGCATCTCTCTCTGCTCCCGCCCACGGCCCTAGCCCCCGAGCCGCCGCCGCCCCTCCGCGAGCACCGCCATTGCCATAGCCAGTGAGCGCCCACTAAAGTTTATGAGCGACCGCCGCCACAACAACCCACAATATCTCTACCTCCAACATCCCCAGCTCATTCATTCCGACCCTCGCCGGACCAAACCCTCCTCGCCCGCCCTCGCTGCCCCCGCCTACTCCCCCCTGCCGCTCCCTCGACACCCACTGCACCCGCACATCCACTACGCCCACGTGCCGCCCCAGCTGCTGCTGCACCCCTTCCTGCAGCTCGCGCGTATCGACGAAGTGCATCCATCCGCCTCGCACACGCCCTTCCCCGCCGTAATTGTGTCTCCCCACTCGCTGAGCCCGCCGCCCCAGCGGGACTCAGGCCGCACCCTCTCCAAGAAGCCTCCCGTCAAGACGGCCCAGGCGCACAACAATACCACAGATGGGAATAAGGCTACACAGCGTAGCGTGCCCACCAGCGCGCCCACGATGACATCAAACCGTCTGCCAAATATGTCGAGCAAACGGGAAGAGGCGGGCGCCCAGACGCGCGCCCAGCGCCCGTCCATCGTCTCGCAGCACTCCAACTCCGTCCCCTCGACGCCCCTGCAGGTCGCCCGCAAATACACAACGCGCTCACGCTCCCCGTCGCCAAACGGCGGACTGGGCAGCCATTCGCCACGCTCCGTCTCGTCCGAAGCAAACGGCACCATGCCCACGCTGAGACCCGCGCGCCCATTCAAGTGCAGATTCGAGACCAACGTCGGTATGCTGGGCCGGAGACGCATGCCCTACCAATCAGACGAGATACTCGAAAGAGCCCAAGAGGAGCCCAAGAAGAGTCTGGATCCCCACGAGGATGACAAGTTGAGCGGAGACATGCGAGAGCTATACGACCGGTTAGAGCCGAAACAGGAAGACACCCACATCCGAGAACGCTTCATAAAGAAGATGCAGGGCATACTCGAAACCGAGTTCCCAGGCACCAAGATCATGGTCCACGTCTTTGGCTCCTCTGGCAACATGTTGTGGACTTCCGAAAGCGATGGTATGTTCCAACCCGCATCAAAAGGCCCGCACTAACATGGACAGTCGACATTTGCATTCAAACGCCCATGAAAAGGCTCGAAGAAATGCACCCCCTGGCTGAGGCCTTGGACAAACGTACGTTGCTACCATGATTCAGCTTGACTTAGACTAATCTCCCTAGACGGCATGGAACGTGTGGTATGCATACCAGCAGCCAAAGTGCGGATTGTAAAAGTTTGGGACCCTGAGCTGCAAATCTCCTGCGACATCAATGTGAACAACGTCGCCGCAATCGAGAACACGCGCATGATCAAGACATACATCCAGCTCGACGATCGTGTTCGACCGCTCGCTATGATAATCAAGCACTGGACAAAGCGCCGGATCCTCAACGATGCTGGTCAGTCTGCCGCATACCCGTCTCCTCCTAATCTAACATCGCTCAGGCATTGGTGGCACAATTAGCTCGTATACATGGATATGCTTGATCCTCAATTTCCTCCAGACCCGGGATCCACCGGTCCTCCCTACCCTGCATGACCTTCCCGATCGAGCGTTAGACGAGACAACCGGCCAGCCTTCATTATCGAGTTTCGCCGACGACGTCGACAGATTGAGAGGCTACGGAGATGACAATAAGGAAAGCTTGGGCCAGTTGCTATTCCATTTCTTCCGTCTTTATGGTCACGAAATCGACTATGAGAAAGAAACGATATCAGTACGTCAAGGCAAACGGATACCGAGAGAGGAGAAGGGGTGGCATCCTGGCGGTGGCCAGAAGGAAGGTGTCAATCGCCTCTGTGTAGAGGAGCCTTTCAATACCGATCGAAACCTTGGAAATTCCGCGGACGATTATGCATGGCGGGGCATACACCTGGAGCTCCGCCGCGCTTTCGACCTCCTTGCAGATGGCCAGCAGCTTGACAAAGCTTGCGAGCAATTTGAGTATCCGCCAGAAGAGAAGTCTAACGCGATCTTCAAGAAGCCGCAATCCCAGAAAGCCATCATTACCTCCAGCGTTCCGAACCGGAACGGACGAGGTGGCCCGAATTCGAGAGGAGGTAGAGGCGGCTTCAACCTAAAAGGCCAGCATGGAGGCAGTAGACGATCTTCCGGCAGCTCCAACTACGGTCAGGGCCGACCACCGTTTCTGCATAGTCCACCTATTCCAGCGAGTGCTGGTCCAGAATACTTCAACTTTCCCCGAGGAATTCATGACCAGCTACATGACCAGCTGTATCAACAGTACCAGATGTTGGAAATGCAATCGAACTCTCTACGTGCTCAGCTTGCTGCTCAGCAACACGCTCAGCAAGCACATCAAGTGCGAGCCGCGCAGATGCACGCTCACGCCGTTGCCCAAGCACAAGCGCAGGGCAGAGCGTCTAACAGCACAAACGGATCGCCGCAGAAGTCGCCCTATGTGAATGGTCGACAAAGTCCTCGTTTGGCTGAGCGTGGGATACCGCCAAGCGCTCTTCCTCAGGGCTTCCTATACCATTATCCTGGCTTTTTTACTGCTCCCCAATCGGATCCCACTGGCTCCCAAGATGGGTCTCGAACCAATCCTTCTTCGCCATCTTTGAGCAACAGCATACCTGGTGTACACCGAGGAGTGCATCGCGCTTCGAATGCGAGCGAAACAAGTTCCCTTCGTTCGCATTCGCAGCCTCCTCGCAGTGCGGGACAACAGCCTATCATCGTGGGATATCCACCCGTACCCCAACTCGTTGATTCTGGAAGCTTTGCTGGCTATCCTATCGCACGATCTTCGCAGGATCTCTTGAGGCCGCAGATGACGTCGGATATTCCCACAAAACCAAATCTATCACAGCCGGAGTCGATTCCATCTTCCGATACCAGTTCGCCTAAGGAATATGTTGGCTATTATGTTGAGCCACAAGTACGCCCGCGACAAGAGTACTCTGTCCCATTGATTCCGTCATTTAGCGAACTGGCTCAGCGTCGCCGACGCGTATCGCCAGAGATCACGCAGCCGCTCCTGAACACTGCGTTACGTCGAGTGACACGGTCTCCTTCTCCGCTCGGACATATGCGAAGCTACTCTACTGGCGTGAGTCAGCCGAATGAGGTGGCCACCCCTGAGCTGCGGAAATCACGTATCGACTCCGTCCGTCCACCTGTCGACAACGGTCCAGTCATTGTCAATGGCTCATTTCCAAGCCAGCCTCGTCACAGGAGCGACACGGTCGAAACTGTACCACCGGATATGCCATCTCAAGCTTCACTTGGGCTCTACGCAAATGACCAGGCCATACATCAGATCCAGCAACTCCAAGCACGTCAGCAACTGGTTCTCCAAGAGATGGAGAGACAGAAAGCAGTGCAAAACATGGGGCCTCCCATTGTTAATGGCTCCATGAATGGCAACCCACCGATGGAGACAAACGGCTTGACCCTCCCTGGCGAAGGCCAGCCATCATTTCCCACGTTTAGTGAAGGCTGGGTGAATTACGAGACCACAAATGGCCATCAAAGCGACCGTAGCGACGACATCTCACCAACTCGCACTGTTCCTCACCAGTGGGGTACCCCGACTTACACTAACGGTCTGCCTCCCCTGGAAACTTCAAACGCGCAGCGAGCACACCCTCAAGAGATCAAATCTGCAACCATACCACTGCTGTCTCCCGTATTTGAGACGCGTACGCCTTCCCCTACCGCCAATAGGTCGCCTGAGTCGAGCAAGCTTGTCAATGGTAACAACGGTCACAAGTCGCAGGCGAAGTCAAACAATCAGCAACATCGGCGTGCGTCGCTCACAGGTGCACCAAATGGTAACACCAAGGAGAACCGCAACGGGCAGCAGCAGAAGAGCATTTCAAGCAACGAGAGGATGAACAAGTCGAATGCAGCGGGGAACAGTCCCAACTCTTGGCAACAACAGCAACCCCGTAAGAAGGGAAAGAACAAGAAGACAAGGGCGTCGGACCAGAAGGCATCGGGGGAGCCACTGCCCGTCAATGCTGCGGATCGCAAGGGTGGCTAGATGTTTGCATTTGCCATTGATGCGGAATTACACATATTGCTATCCGATGGCTACCCACCATGTGCTTTTGGATACTTGGAATACATCACAAAATTGTGCTTGAACATCGAGCAACGCAGGATCCGCTTGTAAGTCATATTGGGGGTTGGCGGAGCAGGCCAAGCTTTACGATGCCACCACGAGCATGCAAAAGGCGAGACGCCATAGGAACAAAAAGGAAGGAAAAAACGCAGGAAAACACCCGTCGGTCGTTTTACTCACCGAAAACATGTCGCTGACTTTCGTGTCATAATCAGCGGCGCGAACCACGCGCTCGCGCAAAGCGCTCTGTGCTTCTTCCCATTTGCTCGGCGTTATTGCTCTTGCTACGCGCGACACGTGCATGTTATCGCATCACCTTGGAGTTCTGTTTTCTTTGTACCTGTTTTCTTTGTTCCATCAGCGGCGCGGCGGTGTTCTCGGTTCAAACGGAATATCTCGGTACGCCACCAAAGCGTTGTTTTGTTCCCCTCTTTTCGGTCTCCTCTTGGCTCGCCAGTGTGCGGAACTCGAACCATGGGCTGGCTCATTTGCGATGTTTGTTACTGGTTAACCAAATGGACATTGAAAGGAATTGAGTTATGTATAGATAAAAGATGAGCGGATTTGACCCTATTGGCTTGGCTTGTACAAGGCTGGGGCTCTCTGGGATGAGGTAGCGAAATGATAAGTTTACAAAGTCAATTCTTGATATCATGCGAGTCGTCTTGTGGCGTGTGGGGTTGGAGGAGGGATAATGTAGAGGGCAAGATGGCTTCGATGTTGACTTTGCGGCCTATAACGATGGTTGGTGATGGTCTAGTACTACGTTTTCGCCCCACCCCAAACATTACAACTGTCTCTGCGCGTTCGCTGCGAGAGTTATGATGCTCTCAGCCCTCATACAGATGACAGTATACATATACATCCAAATTCGCATCTCGGCGGGCGCTAGCTGTAGGAACAGGCATTGACATTGTTCACCGTTTCTATTCACTTCTAGCTTCCTCAGTCCATGTCGTTACACATTCTCGACGGAATGTTCTGCCGCTCTATGGTAGAAGCAAGCACGAATATTGAACACATCAATATCAAATAAAGTTATGTATCCTTGCGCAATCGAGGACATTTTACAGGTCGGGGAAGTGTATATTGTGTTCTGTGGATGGCGTGAATATGCTGCATGTCTGTCGTGTGTGTAGGGTCGTTCTTGAGATGGAATTGATCAATGCCAGGTGTAGAGATGATTGCAGATGGACATATGTGGATGAGTAGTGTCGTTGCTGAGGTTGATACGCAGGATCCAAGCTAACGTCTAGAGGGTGGCCTCTCGAATAGGAACATACCTTGCTGATGGCATAACCACTCAACACACATGTCATGAGCAAACAAGACGCGGACCCAAACTCTGGAACAATCGGAAATGCATTTATGAAGAAGACTACATACCGTAGGCGCAGGTTCCTTACCGCCCAGCTCTAAGAAGAAGCACAAACTCCCCTACGCTATCATGTCCTTCCTATACCCGCAGTTGATCATGTCGTCAATCGTAGGAAGCGTAGAGAGGAAACGAACGCCTTGCTTTTAATGTCGTACTCTACTGCCTGTCCCTCAAATGACGAGGGACGTACTTCCCACCAGCCGGTGCTTGCGCAGGAGGCCTAGACTCACGCTCGCCGTCACCCTCACGGGCTGGTGCACTGCTGCGGACACCAGGGGCGACATAGCCACCGGCGTTGGCAGGCGATGCCTTCCTGTCCGAACCCCATCGGTCTCCTCCGCGAGCAGCCTCGAATCGGCCACCAGTAACAGGAGACTCGGTGCGCTCAGGACGCTCGGCACGGGCAGGAGGCGCGCGACCGCTGCCGCTAGCCTCACGCTCGCGCCATCCACCCCCAGGAGCGCCTCCCTGGCGGAGTGCTGGTGGGACGTACCCGCTCCTCTTGGGGGCTTCGGTCTCAGGAGCTGGTGAAGCAGCTGCCGGTGCGGGCGCTGGAGATGAGCTGGCAGGGGGAGGAGTTTGTCCCGCGGCCTTCATGGCCTCACGCTCTCGCCAGCTGGGCTTGCCGCCAGGGAGGGCGATCTTTGGTGGGCCAGAAGCCGAAGAAGACTCCGCAGCTGGCTCGCGAGAGAACGTTCGGTCCGGAACAGCACGGGCGGCACCGGCACCAGCTTTCCGCTTGGCCATGGCCTCTTCCTCGCGCTGAGCTTGAAGACGCGCTTGCTCCATAGCGGCACTGCAAATTGTTAGTGTATGGTTGTGGAGATCCACGGGTACTACTGACGCTCGCTCTTCCTCCCTCTGTGCCTTAATCTCCGCCAATCTCGCGCGCTTCTCCTCATCAGCTTTGGCCTTGGCCTCCGCTTCCTCCCGCTCGCGCTCTTCCTCCTCTCGCTGGCGACGTTCGGCCTCCTCGCGTTCCTTCTTCTCCCTAGCGATACGCTCCTTGACCTCCTTGACACGTGCGGCCTTCTTGCTCTCGAGCTCCTTCTGTGCAATCTTCTGTCGCTTCTCGAACTCAGCCTTGCGTTGTTCCTTGACGGTCTTGACGAAGGTCTGGTATGGGGAAACCAGCCTTGACAGACGATGCTTGAGTTCGACGTCTGCCTTGTGCCTCTCTTCTGACTCTTTCAGTTCCTCAGCCTTGGCCTTCTCATATGCTGCGAGATCTTCTTCCTGCTGCTTCTCGTAGTCAGTCTTGAGATGCTTAATCTCTTCCTTGCGGTAGGCTCGCTCCAAATGATCGATACGCTTGCCGGCAATGCGGAGTTGCTCGCCGAGCTGGCTCTTCTCCCTCTCAAGAGCTTGAAGCTTCAAGAAGCGTATTCTCTGGGAATCGAGATCGTCAAGATCCTCAGGAAGCTCAATGTCGACCTTGGTAGTCGCCTTGAGCTCTTTGATTTGCTTCTCCATCTCCTCACGTTGGATGCGCTTCTGTTCAGCTTTGATGCGCTGTTCAGCACGTTGCTTCTGCTCTTCGGCCAGGCGTCGAGCTTCCTCATCCTTGATCTGTTGTTGGCGAATGAGCCTCTTGGTCTGCTCTTCATTCTCCTTGGCCTGTTGAGCCTTGAGCGCAGCCTCCTTCTTTTGGGAGATAATGTCGCGGCGGGTGAGTATCTCTTGATGCTCCTTCTCGGCGCCTTCCTTGGCTCGTGCAAGAGCGGCCTCCTTATTGCGCTGCCGTTCCGAGTTGAACGAAGGATCGACGTATTGGCAAGTGACAAAGAGTGATTTAGCGAGACGAGTGAGCTGAGATCGGACAATCTCAGCTGGGGTGCTCTGCAGACGCTGAACAGAGCGAGACTCAGTTTCGGCTGATCCGGCACCTGAACCGGGGTGCATAGCTTTAGCCGAGGAGAAGACGTCAGAATCGAAGGTGAGCACACCAGTAGCATGGTCGGTGCGGATGGCAAGGTCTCCCTTCTTGCATCCGTTCATGATAAACTTCTCAATGGTACCGGCGCTGACGTGGAACGGCTCAGGGAACTGGGCGAGGCCAAGCACGAACTTGATCTCAACAGAATCGTAGACTTGAGACAGTTGCTGGAACAGGCGGGTAAGGATGACCTGCTGGAGCGGGCCAACGTACTTTTCCATTCCCTCATCAGCACCAATCTGAGACAAGATTGGGGAGATCTTCTTGCAAATGGAGAGGGGATGGAAATCGACCTCGAGGATATTGTAAAGATCGCGAATTTCAGGGCGGGCACGCTTGAGCAGACCCTTGCTGAGAGCATCCTTGAAGAGAATGGCACGGGTGGGAGCCTGGGACATGCCGAGTAAGTTGGTGAGGCGTGAATTCTTGTTCTTCCTTGCCTCGTCAACGTCAACGAGAGCACCGCGGGAGCGGGAAGTGCTGATGACAGGGATGGCGAGAGCAGAGAGGAGTACAAAAGAAGCAGCCTTGGTCATGTCGGCTTCCGTGACAGCAGGGTTATCCTTCTTGGGGCTCTGGCCAGATGCAACGGCTGCAGCGGACTGGCGAAGGAGGTTGTAGTATCGACTGTAGGCGGCAGCGTGGAAGAGGTAGTTCTCGCTGACCAAGAAGATGCGAGTAAGCTTCTCGAAGTAGTTGGCCATCATGATGTTCTTGGCTGGGCGCTTGCTCAAGCTGAGCAGTGTGTGGATGTCCTCGACGCTGCGGAAGGCCTCCTGCCACAGCTCAAGCTCAACGGCCACGTTCAGCTGCTGGAAGCGGGTGTCTAGATGGCGCTGTAGGGTGTCTGGATCAGACAGGTTGATAGCGTGCATCTGAGAGGAGAACTTGGCGGCATTCTGCAAATGGTTGCGGAGCAGCTCACAGAGACGACGGAACTCGGTCTTGCGGGCGTACTTGGAGCAGAACTGGAAGGCCTGGTGGGCGGTCGACTGGTACATGAGCTCGAGGCGGGCGTTGTTCTTGAAGATGTCCAGGACGGTTCGGTAGGTCTCCCACAGGAACTTGAGCCATGGTGTTACAATGGCACGGTCGGTGCGGTCGCGCGATTGCTCGCCAGAGACGGTGGAGAGGAGGATCGACTCGGGCGTCTCGGTGGCCTCTAGATCGTCGACGTTCTTGTCGTCAGAGGGCTCGAGCGAGGACTGAACCTCGTCTGCCTTGGCCTGGGCCTCGGTGACCTTTTGCTCGGCGAGTTCGATGAAGCGCTTGAAGACAGTCTATGGCGGGTTAGTGCCAGCCGACGACAACGCCTTGGGCGGGTGTCCTACCTCGATGGTGCCAACGTTGGTGTTCTGGGCGGTGTTCTTGTACTGGTAGAGACCGTCCTTGGCCAGCTTGCCCTTGCGTAGGTCGACACAGAGCTCGACAAAGAGGATCATGACAGGCTCGAGCGAGGCGATGGGGCTGTTGCGGGTGCGCTTCGAGGTGACATGTTCGTGGAGTAGCTGGAGGGCAGCCTGCTGCTGCTCGACTCCGATGAGTTCTTGGGCACGTTTCCTGGAGCGTGTCAGTGGTGGTGCGGCCTAGAGGGCTTGTTCGAGGCGGGGCGCACAGTGTGTTCTCCGGCTTGGAGTGCGGTGGAGGCGCCATGCTGGGCAAGTTGAGGTCGCGGATCCAACTGCACGAGTCGGATGGGCTTTGTAGCAGGCAGGCGACGCAGCGGAGGGCTTGGGGTTGAGATATGGGTGGGCGGGTCTCACACGGCGACGGAGTCAGGTCTGCAAAATGGTTGTGGTAGGCCTTAGTAAGCGAGCGGGCGAGGTATTCCCAGGCGCCGGCAGGTTCGCGCCCGACTCCCCGCAGATGCACGCGGCTGCCAGACGTCGGAGGCGCGCTGGGGCGTCTGAGTGAATCACGGCTACGGTGCGGTCGCAGGCAGTCACTCTGTCGCATGCAACGCGCACCTCGAGTCACGGGATTCCTCTTGGGTCGACGACACGATGGCGAGAGATTGGCTGTGGCGGCGGGCGAGGACAAAGCGCTCGTTAAACCCAATATGGCGCTATACCGCAAGCGTTGGGGCCCGACGAACAGACCCATCAAGGGGAGGGCCCTCATCTTCCAACCACCTCTCCTGGTTCCCGTGCTTCACCTGTCGCCCATCTCAGCAACTCGTCGTCAACGCCCTCGCAGCAGCCTTGCTCTCGCGCTGATACTCGGCGGCAGGCTCACCCGGCTGGCCGTCCTTCGCTCCTTACTCTCCCTTCACCAGCTCACCCTGTCCGCGCCGCACGCCCGACACGCCCAAGTCACGTCGCACCACGACGCACCCCCCATAATACCATCAACCCCAACGCCCCTCGCACCCCCATAATACTCACACGCGCCCCATGCCCGTCATGATGGCTCAAGCACCCTACGAGATACGGACGGGCGGCGACGGCAAGAGCAAGAAGCAGAGCATGGCCGAGCTCAAGCTGCGACGTCTGACCGAACTCAACCAGCGCCTGCGCGAGGACCTCGAGCGCCGCAGGATACCCGTATCGGAAGCCGCGTTAGAGTACGTTTAGGACCAAGTCGCCGTGCCCCGACGAACAAGACGGCTAACAGGCACCCGCAGTCTCATTGCATTCACGGATAAAGAACCCAAAGATTGGATGGTACCGTCACGATGGGGAACGGTCAGTACTCGCGCCCAAGCTGTTCGGCTCACTCGACTAACGCACGCCCAGATTGACAAGCGCGACGACCCCTACGCGCCACAACAGAGCAACGGCTGCTGCATCGTAATGTAAACGACGAAGAAGATGCAGGTGGTCATGTCCTTTACCGGCGTTCTGCGGGGCCCTTTTACGGCAGAGCCTGTTTTCTTTTACCCTTTAGGAGGAAGTTGATTAATACCCAAGGACCCGGAGTGGCCCAGTCTCGCGCAGTCGTCCTGGGAGCGAGGCCACCAGACGGGCCATGTACTTTTCAGCAATGTGTAAATTACTCGGATGCGGAGCTCGCTGCAGTTGATGTTTGCAGCGCAGCGGGGATTTCTGCATTTTCTTTTGGTCGGTCACGGCGGCTTTTTAGGTTCTACAATCACGAGACAAAAGCACTCTCATAATTCACTGTCGTCGTCTTTGACATTCCCACATGTGACCAGTGCTTGTCATAGCCAGCCTCGACATGTCGCCGTAGAAACGAGGCCATCTGGACAGGCGGGAACTTGCTGGAAGGGGTAGGTGGCTACATGCTAGGGCAAACGAGATTAACAAGGCGCATCGACATGGCGCGCTCCACCGGCAAACAACCGTAGTCAGTCGCGCTACAGCCCAATCAGCCTGCCGTATAACAAACATGGCTTCGCCCAACCAGACGCCTTCACGTGCAGCTGCAGGACGAGGCAGCGCAGCCATGTCCAATGCACCATGCACTGGCATGGGACGCAAGTCAACAAGGAACGAATGCAAAGGGCAGCTGTCCTCGCCTACGCCTCCCCCGGTGGAGTGCGGGACCGGCACTATTGGCCGACTAGTCTTGTATGCAATCCATGGCTGCAGCTTCGCAGACCCTGAAGCGCGGCCCAGCAGTCGAATCAAGTGAATGACGAGGGCATTGCGCAGTAGCTGTTCTCTTGTCTATGTATGTGTGTGGTGTGCATCCCACGCGCGCGAGTCAAGTCATCTGTGAGCCGCTGGTCAACACCATGCACCCAACTCGACGACCGGGCCAAGGCTGAATGTCATGTGGGCTAGTTGCTGGGTGCTGGCACGGCACCTGATAATAGGCTGAGGACGCGAGGCCAGGTTTTGCAAGCCGCAGTGGGCTATAGCCCGCGCTGCATTCGACGTGCGCGGGCGAACTGCCCCCCCAGCCCAGTCTTATCAAATCACCGTGGGGGCCTACCACCCGGCCTCTTCTCGTGCAGTGCCTCGTCCTGACCCCGACGACACTCTCTTCAGTATCCGCTGGAGAGAGCGACGCCCGAGTCGCAGCCCGCTGCACCCTCGCCAGACGCGAACTTGAGCCGACGCACATGCGAAGCAGACGCAGCAACCCGGTCCCAATCCCGCGCAGCCCCACCCGCCCATCTTCGCAACGCCAATTTTCTCTCTCCCCTCCGCCCAGGGTCCCGCGCCGACGACATGAACAGCTCGACTGCGCAGTCGTGGAGTGCTGCCGAGCACTTCCAAATGGACCCGCCCGCTGAAGACTTTGCCGGCGCTGAATTCATCGACTTCGACAATCTTGACCTGCACTTCAGCATCGATGGGTACAATCACGAAGGACCCGCCTCTAATGGGAGCCAACTCGCCGATCTGACCGAGTCGCTCAATGTCCACCATCTCCAGGGCCAGTTTCCCCCGCAACTTCCCCAGGACCACCATCATGGCCCCAACGCCAGACAGCACGCCCAGAATCTGCCTGGCCATGGCTTGTCCCAGTCAGCCAACACTTTCTTCGACTATGGCATGGCCCAGTACAGCCAGGCTGGCACCCCGTCTTTCACCCAGGCCCAGGACCAGATTTACCGCCCACACCAGGGTGTTCCGCCCACGCCAAATAGCATAGAAATGCATGGCGACCCCCATCGCTATCTCCAACAATCAGATCACCACCAGTCGCTGTTCGACCAGAGATACCATATGCGCAAGGACGATGCGGTATGTTGGACTCGGACACTACCACAGAATCCCACTGACCCGTATAGACTTTCACCCCACTAGTTTCGCCTGCCGTGACGCCCCACGATGCGCGCTTCCAGATTCCCGACTTCACAATGCCCGGAGCCTACTTCAGCCCTCTTACATCCCCTGCCTTGAATGCCCAGAGCCAACAGCATGTGCACCACCAGTCGCAGCACACAACATCCGGGAGCTCGACAGGCCACTCGCCCATCGATGTGGATATGGACATGCTAGGGGAACCTGCCCTGGTGCCACAGGAACAAGGACGCAGGAGTCTACGGAGTACCAACAAAAGGAATGCGCCGCGCACAAACGGCAACGGCCGTGTACGACAGTCCCCTATCGTTAAACCTAACAGGCGGAAAGCAACTGTGTCCTCTCTCATTCCACCCAAGGAGGTGACCGAACTCATGCAGGATGCGCGACTGACACGCCCGTCTGCCAACGGTCTGGATGTGCCAAGGACTCGTGAAAGCTCAGAAACCGATTCTATATCTCCTGAGCCTATGCTGTCGGAGATGCGACCGCCGCCGAAGCCTACTTCTTCAACAGCTTCCCCTGCCATGATGGCCCAGCGCAGCAGCCAGAACGGCACTCCGGCCACTCCTGCATCTCTCATGCGGATACAACCTTCGCCCGATGTCAGTGGCTCCCAAGAAGCACCACCAATGCTGGAGGATCTCACCCTACCAGAGGCATCACTAGACAGACCAGGGCTATCAAGAATCGATACAGCTATCCGGAATGGTGATGGTGACGCCTCTCGTATGTCTGCGCGGAAGACACCCAAGTTGAATCCTCTGAGCACGCCAGGCGCCTCCATGTCGGCCAGACCTAGTCCGATGCTGGACGCCATGTCTACCCCAACGAGTCCAGCCTTCTCTATAACTAATGGCAAGAAGGACCCAAAACTGGCGCGCAACCCCAAGAAGAGGAACAGCGTTAGCTCGAGTCTTGTCAGCCCTGCATTGAGGCCCAAGATCTCACCAAGCATAAAGCCTTTACTACCCGACGGCGGAAGTGGTAAGTACCCCTCAGTATCTGATTTGCTGTCTAATCTAATTTGCAACAGGGGTAACTGACAACACCCACGCCCTTCTCCTAGCATCCAAGTCAAACTACCAGAACATACTTGATGGCACCACCGTCCCCGGAGTCGTCTACCCCACATCACTTTCCACTAACCTCACTTCAAAACGCACATCTCACAAGATCGCCGAGCAAGGCCGCCGAAATCGCATAAATATGGCCCTCCAAGAAATGCAGGCTCTTCTCCCTTCACCGCAGCTTGGTGCTATTCCAGACGCCAAAAGCCCCGATACAAACGCCCAAAACTCCAACAACTCCAAAGCGGCAAAAGTTGAAAGCGCCATCGAATACATCAAGCAGCTGAAACAGGAGGTATCAGAGCGGGACGACTTGATCAGCCGAAAGGACCAAGAGATGGATGCACTGAAAAAAGAGCTCGCTGCGCTGAAGGGGAAAGGATCAGAGGTTTTGACTCCCGGGGCAGCAGCCCAGCTCAAGGCTGAGCCCTCTTCCAGCCCCAACACTGAGAACGAGACTTGACGAGGCACGGTGATGATACGAGTTATCCATCTACCTGATATTGCTCGGCTGAGCATTTGGTAACATCTGCACGCTACGTACGCATCCTGCTTTCTGCACTGCATCAGAAACGACGTAGTCGCCACATGGCAACGTCAGTTCGACGTTTCCATACTGTCGTGACCGTGTTCAGCAACACTCGAGACGGGGCCCATGTTCCACCTTACCGTACATGCTACATTAATTTGGTGGTTATCGGATTCGCGTTGAACTCAAGGGAAAACGTCTAGTCTGGACAAGACGACGTTTGTGACTTGTTCACATGTTAATACCCAAGATCCATACCTTGTGTGTGTTACAATGGCATGCAAATGTTTGTCTGGAAGCAGACAGGATTGTTAGCATACCAATTCATGTGAAAGCATCATGTACTGGTACAACCAGATGTATCAAATATTTGAACCCAATCAATATGTGTGGTGCATCTTAGAAAAACAAAAAACATCAATGCTTCAAGTCTTTCCAACCTCAACGCCCTACTGTATGGCTGCCACAGCAATGCGAATGGCCAAAAAAAAATACCCTATATAGTCCCTTAACGCTATATGCAGATGAAAACCGTCCCGCAAAAAACTCCGGTGTAATGCAATGTCATGAGCAGATCATAGCAGTAACCCGGGAAAACGCCTCGCTTCATGCTCTAGAACTGAAAGGTGAAGGTAGTGTGAAGTCCAACAACATAAGAGACAAAAAGCGAACGTGAGAAAACGACATGAACGAAACGAAGGTGTTCTATCCCACGAGAGAACTTGAACATAGAATAAAAGTGGCATGATACTTGTGTACTTACACCTTCCGCGCACCAAAGAGACTTAAGTTGATTGCAGTCTCATTTCCATTCGGGTTACCAGAAGATTCGGCTAGAATTTCCCACCTAGGCTGTACAAAAGGATAGTGCCGTATCTCCCGGTCTTGCCTCATTTGAAGCTTGCCCGGCGCCTGCGCAATCATCTGGCTCTGGCTACTAGATTGGCCTTGACCCGCTGCAGGAGTAGGACGCTGCGAGTAGACGGGCGATGGTTGCATGGCGCGCTGTTGCATTTGCTGCATCTGTTGCATTTGCGACATTTGCTGCAGTGGAGAGGGTGAGGCCTGGCCTGACGGGGTTCTTTGGAGTTGTGCGGGCAGCATCTTGTTCTGCGGGTGCTGGTGGTACTGCTGCTGCGCACGTATCTGTTGAGCCTGTTGAGCCGCTTGCATTTGCTGTTGTCTTTGTTGTTGCTGTTGGAAATAGCGTTGTTGCGGTGTTGCAGAGCCACTCGCAGGTACCTGCGGGCTCTGGTACGGTGATGGCTGATTCTGAAGGGGCGTTGGTGTCGGTGGTTGCGACGATGCCTGGACCAGAGGGGTGTTGACGGGCTTGGCCAGAACAAGCCAGCCGTCGACGGGAGCCGTTACTCCCAGGATGAAGACACAACGCGCATCGCTTGCAAGCCTTGCTCCTTCCAACCGAGTAACGTGGAACCGAACGTCATCCGTTATGTAATCGGCCAAGAACACAGTGACATCAAAGACATGTTCGGTAATCGTAGGATATAGTTCCAAAGACGGATGCATGAGCAAGGCAGCCATGGCACTCATCAAAGCGGTCTGATGTGGATGTGTAGCCTCGGCCAACATGTCCGGTGCATGAGATACTACCAGACGAAGTAGGGCGTTCAACCAAACATAAATCTCTAGAACAGAGAGTCTGTTGTCTTCAAGAGCTTGACTTATGCCTTTGAACCTCTCGACCAAGGCTTGGAGAAGCGCAATCTGTTCCGTAGATGTCGCGCGCTTGTTGGAAGTCAGATCGATGACAGTGAGATATTTTTGTACTACTGCGGGCGAGACCTTCTCTGGTTCCTCTACTTTGACGGTGGATGTCATACACAAAAAGCTAGAGGCATTCAAGATCTCGCGTTCAGCGTGCTGTCGTATTTGGTCGGTGAGAGCAGCGTCCAAGCTCGCAAGTAGCCCTAGTCCTGAAGGTTGATCCTCTTCCACTGCTGTCTTGATGGCACTCAAGAGGGAAGCAGAAAGTACCTCACCGGAGCCTCCCAGCGCGGTTGCACTAGATGAGAACAGCTGCTCGATAGTCGCTTGGCAGATTGGTAAAGACAACTCGCTAGTAAGTGCAAAAACTGCAAGTACCTGCTGTTCGGGGCTCTTGTCGGGCAACCGTAAGTGACCTTTGGGGTCAAGTAGGCTGTCCAACGACGGCTTGAGCAAATGACTCGAGGCATCCCTGTTCAACTTTGACAAGCATCCTGGATCGCCGGCAATGCGATGTTTCAGAACATGCAGCATGGGCTTACTGCGTAGGAACTCTGAGACTTGTCCCTGAGCCTTCTGAGAAGTAATGGTTGAAGCAAGCCCAATCACCTCACTAACACATTGCGTAAAGCACCCTTCGGTTTCCAAGCAGAGCTTTCGTTGCTCCAAGCGGTATCGATATGCATCTTGCGGCGAACAAGACTGAACTAGAGCGTCAGACGGCAGAGTGATCATCATGCCTTTAAGAGCAGTTTGGAGGCCACCTTCAGAAGGATTGGTCTTGAATTTTGCGATGCAAGTTCTGAGTGAATCAAGGAAGGACGCCAAAGGAATACAGCCTGAACCAACAAGTGTAGGCAAGGCTACCCGTAGGGTATCAGTCCTTTGAGCCATCAAGCTCAGAAGCAGCCATTCATTCACGACCATGTCGAAGGTCGGCTCATCGAAGCAGCGCAGCCGATGGAACCATGCATGGTGATTGTTCAAGTGGAAAGAGCCCTTGGCTAGATGTTCCTCTAGGTTGCTGACGATCTTCCTCAGTACTCGTCCCATCATCTGTTGATCCATGCTGGTACCACTCGAAAGTATGCGTTCAATCTCGTCATTGGAAGACGATCCTGTTTGCATGACCTCACCCATGTTGTCGGAGGCTGGTGAACAGGCTACAAGAGAGTTCCTTTGGTTCAGTTGGCTCAAATCATAGTTGAGGAGCTGGGGGAGTTGGCCATCAGCTTGTGCTGTACGAGCTAGACTGGCAAGACTAAGCAGTAATTCGCGATCCGGGAGTCGGACAGTTCGTAGAGCGGCATATCTTGTGGCAATTCTAGCAAACAGTGGGTCAAAGGCACCTATTGCACGAAAGGTTCTGGCGTGGTAGTTGATCGTGTCCGCAGCAGAAGCAAGAACACTGGAGTCCAAGGATGTAGTTGCGACGCCGACAATGTCCGCAAGGATAGCAAGGTCTCCGAATCGCTCAAGGTACGATCTTACAGTGTGAAAGTCCCAGGGCGTTAGAAGAGAGACCGCGGCGGTTTCTTCGACTGAGGAGTCCTTCGTGGGTATGCTGTATAATGTAAGCGAAGTCATGGTTAATTTACGAGAATACTTACTGCGCGCTAACCTCGGCATACTGAGCGACGTGTTGACGCAACCAAATGCCCAGTTCGAGCTTGATCGTCGAACTGAGCTTGTCTAGCTCTTCGTCGTTGAGCTTATTTGTGGTACTGTAGATGCCAAACAAGGTAGGTAAGGTCTGAGATATCATGTGCTCAGCGTAGCCAAGAGCTCGTTGTTCCAATTCGGCGGAGTGTAAGGTTCCACGGAGGAGTGTGCTCCGCAATGTACGGATTTGGTCCGGTAGCCCACTGAGGGGTATCTCGGTGATCAAACGCAACGGCCAGGACTGCGGCTATCGAATAGTTAGAACCAACAGATGGAACTTGTGGGGCATGACTTACTGAAGACAGATCTGTATTGTGACCTGTAGATCCCGTAGCAATAAGCCACTGAAGGTAGCGCCCAGTAGCGAAAGTCTTTGAACGGACCAGTTCAGCAACGATTTTGAAGAGTATATTTGAATCGCCGGTAGCAACCCACGTCATGTCGCGGAGGTGTGAAACTATGCCGTCATATACGTCCGCGCCGAGGTGGTTCCATCGACGAAGTAATCGCGTCGCCAGATAGATCCTGTGTGCTCCTGCTCGGTAATAAGTACATGCCCACTGGAGGAGAACACCGATCAAGCGTGGAGCGTCGGCGATTATCTCCATGCAGTCACAGGACAAGTCCTCAATACGCACTGGCTTGCTGTAGTCTACCGAGTCCAGTACCCGATAGACGCGGCCAGCCGGTGTCTGTGAGGCCGAAGGAACTTTCTTCGGCGATCGCAGGAGCCTAGCGTTCCTCAGCTCGAGCCTCCGGATCGCTTGCATGACATGTGCATGATTCTTCCTTTCAGCGAGATTCCGCAAGAGGGGACAATATCTGGCCCACGCAGTCGGAAGCAGCAGGCAAGCAGGTCGTGTGGCGAGCAAGCGGACAATGGTGTTTTCAAGGTATTGCAAAACGGCGATATAAGGTCGCAGATCCTCAAGTCGATAGATTTTGTCGAGCTGGGTGAGCAATGACTCGGCGAGACGTTTGCCGCGGCGTCGACAGCAGGTTACAGCGGTCCAGTAGTGTGATATGGAAACGACCAGCAGCCAGATAAATAGGCGTTCCGAGGGACAGGTATCCAAGCCATTGACTATCCAGTCGAGAAAGTGGTCGTCGTCGAGCAGATGCTCTTTGTAGAGATGGGTCGCAAGCTGGAGGGCGTAGGTGATGCGGGGTTTCCAATCACCCTGGCCAATGGTACTGATGACGCCGTCTATGAATTGCTCGACCGAACTGGTCCAGCCTCTGCCCCATGTCACGGTACCGGCCTGGCCCTTTCTTTTATGCGCACGCAGCTCGTTGATACCTACGCATTTGGCCAGCCACAGGGCTCTCGGCAGAGGAATGTGCTTGTTCAGACATTGTTCGAGCAGCACTTTGCCAGTGAGGCCGTGCGGTATGGTGCGGCTGAGGCGGCGAAGGCCAATGGTTGGGTTGGCCAAGTCGTGCAGCCACTGCTCGCGGGTCGAGTCTCGCAGGGTCAATCGCGGCGGGGGCTTGAAGGTGTTTGGGGTTTGGAGGCGGCCCGTCTGCTGTCGCTTCTCCAGCACGGCGACGAACAGGGTCGACAGGGTGCTGAGGCCCGACTTGTTCTTGAGGTTGTTGATGAGCGAGGGGCGTGCGGTATTGGACTCGTTCATGATCTGGGGCTTGTTGCTGACGCCTGCCTTGACTAGCGCCTCGGACAGGTTGTCCTCGGGGTTGTTGCCGGTCCATGGAAACAGATCGGCAGCCTTCCCACCGGGAAAATGGACGGGTGGAACGACGACTTCGGGCCCACCGGGTTTGGGCGCGTCTTTGACTCCGGTGCCGCCGGGCAGTATGCGACGCTGGTGCGAAGCGTCTCTCAGGTGCAGGGAGCCCGGGCGTGGGGGCTGGGGCAGGTTGGCGGCCGGCTGGTAGGGAAAGGAGTGCAGGGGCAGCTCGGTGCCGTGGGTCGGGATGGTGGTGTAGAAGAGCGGCGGGCGTCCTCGCGGGGGCGGCCTCGCGGCATCGTGGAGGGCAGTGTGTGCCGGTGGACGGTCGTCCTCTAGGGCCGGGTCGATGCAGTCCGGCTGAAGGAGGGTGTGGGCGGGCTTCGAGGGCCGGCGCTGCACCTGGGACCGAGGAGGCAGGGCGCTGCCACGAGTCTGTAGAGATTCGTGAATCCCCGGGCCAGGTCGAGAAGTCATCGCACACACAGCGGCTTCATCGTTGTATCAGGCGCATGCAGTGGGTGGGCCAAGGGAGCGAGCGACGAGGGCTGCGAGGTCAGGAACCGCGTCGATGGGGCGGCGGCATGTGCGAGCCTCACACGCGGGCAGCAAAGGAGGGACGGCGGTGCGGCTCGGATGGGGCTGATGGACAGAGCGAGGCGTGTCGAGGGAGCGACGGTTGACGTGATGTCTGAGGTTATCTTGGATTGCGAACAGCGGAGTCGATCACCCGGTAATACGATAGAGCGAGCAGGGATCCACGCTACGACGCACTACGACGGGGGCCAGCGCCATGCCGGCCCAGCAAGACACACAGCCGCCGCTCACGCCGCCCAGTCCGAGTGCTGCACCCTATCCTCCACCACCCATCTCCACCCGCCCACACACCTGCCTACACCTGCCCGACACCTGACCGCCAGCTCCACGATGGCCTCCAGAAAAGACATGCGCCGCGCCGACCTGAGTACGTGATGCCGCACCGCGCCCTCATAGGGGTTCCACGGCTCGACCCGTCCATCCCAACGCCATTGATCACGTGTCTAACCCACCTCCTCCTGCAGTCGTGCCCTATGCCGAGCCAGAGAAGGCCAAGGACGACAACGACATGTCGAGCACGCTCTCGAGCACACTGCCCATGGCTGCTGTAAGTGCTGCTCTCCCAATCCCATGTTGCACGGCTGATATCGTGTCCCAGATCTTCACGCGGAACAAGTAGGCAACACCCAGATGCGCGCAAAACTCCATGACTGACATCACGCGTGCTGCACAGGATGATCGGCTGGTAGGCTTCCCCATCTTGTGCCACGTTCCCTAATTGACTCGACGCAGGGTTGCTGTAGTATTCGCTATCCAGTCGTGGCTTGCTGAGACCCCCGAGCAGAAGAAGACGTCGACTACACCCGCCTACTTCCAGGTTGGCATGTCTGGTATGTGCCGATTCCCGTTGTGCTTGCTCAGACAGCTAACCAGATCACAGCCATGTCGCTCCTCGTTGTAAGTTCGGCCCTGGCTCCGACAGATCTCGTGTTGATGCTGTACCACAGACCTACTCGTCAATATTCCTCCCCCCACCACCTATCAGGCCGGGCCAAGCATCTGGCACGGAGGCGTTTGCTGCTGCGCCGCCGTCGTAGGCCGCCGTAGGAGAGGTTGGTGCGTAGCCGGTACTCAGGTAGCAACGGTACCGTGTAATTGTATAATTCGACGTCCTCGCCGAGCAAGCGACAATACATGTCAGCTCGCTCGTAATACCCATATCACTTGCACGCCCCATGTGTCCCATGCTACCCTCGTCTTGTCTCATTCGCACCTCCAGCCTCGCATCCGGTACCGAGCCCTGAACGGCAAGCATCACCCTTTTGGCGCGCACAGACCACGGCGGGGCTCGCCTTCCTCTCCCGCCGCATTCCCCACCTCTTTCTCTCAGCCTGCTCTACGCTACAAACCTTGGAACCCTCACTTGCACCCTCCCGACTTGTCACCACCCCAAAACCACCCCAACTCCACTCCCAGCCCACCCAAGAAATCGCCGCTACCCAAAGCATCCATACCCAACTACCCCCCACCTACACGCGCGCTCACCGACTGTCGTATGTCCATCGAGAACCTCAAGACCTTCGGTAAGTCGTGACCCTCGAGGCGCATACCAGGCAGCTACTGACACGATATTCATAGACCCGTTCGCGGAAGCGGATGAAGATACCGGCCAGGTCAAGCAGACTCAGCAGGACTACATTCATATTCGTATCCAACGTAGGTCCCTCACCGCCCTTGCCCACTGATGCAAAAACCTCACCACGCACCCAACCCATTCGCACACCTCGCTCCTGCCCATAACGGCCCGCATCTGCCATACGCTATTCTTTAGCCGCACCAGGCTAACACGACATTAGAGCGCAATGGCCGCAAGACCTTGACGACTGTCCAAGGTCTCCCCAAGAAATTTGACCAGAAGAAGATCCTCAAGGTGATCAAAAAGAAGTTTGCCTGCAATGGCACCATTGTAAGCGACGCCGAGATGGGCGAAGTCGTCCAACTCCAGGGCGATCAGCGCAAAGACGTCCAGGACTTCTTGACCGACAAGAAGGAGGGACTTGGTCTCGATGCGAAGACGATCAAGGTGAGTCACAGCCCGGCACGATTTAGCATCGAGTCACAGTCTAATCAGAAATCAGGTCCACGGTTTCTAGTCGTCCATGACTACTACCTTGTGCCTCCTCGATATGCCAGCTGCCCTCGTCCGTGGCACGGCTAAAGCGGCACAGCTTTTTGTAAGCTTGCGTCATACGCCTCTATACCAGGATGAAGAGAGGGGCGGAGTACGAGGCTGGTTCGAGCACATGCGCGGCAGTGGAATGCTGGGCGCCGAATGAATGCGTGTACCTGGATTATCGTTATTGCTACTGGCAAGAGCTCAAATGACATGACCACCTTCCTCTACACAGTGGACTTTTTTCATGTAGCATGCTCCACGTGATGTCCGGTTCAGAGTGGAGCGCATATCTGCAGCTTCAGAGCTGGGTTTCCAGATCATACATGGCTACGTCTGAAGTTTCTAGGCACAATTACATGCCCTCATGATGTCCATCACATGTACAAATATTGTTACAACGTGTCTATCCCCAGAGCTACCAACACTATACAGCACCACCAGCCTGTACGTTCAGCATCTGCGACCAATACAGCTCTTCTCTCGCAAGCACACTCGGCGTGGACGCCTCGGTGAAGCCCCAGACCTTCCAGTCCTCCTCCGTACCCTTGATGACTCTCTTCTGCAACACCAGATACTCGACTACAGTCTTCTTAACTCCATTATCGATAAACGCCTCGTCACTCTTGGCGACCGGCTTCTCCGTCTCCACTTCATCCTCGGATTTTTGCCTCTGTTGACGTGCCTTTTCCGCTCGTTGGCGCGCAGCATCTGGGACCCAGGGTAGCCGAGCAGCAGATATGGGAGACTTGGAAATTTTGGGCGATGTCGGCGTAGACCGTTCGACGGATTGAACGGATACGAGGCGTACAACGACTTGTCTGTACGCTGTGTCTGGTGTCTGCTCGCCCAAGGGCGACGCGCGGTGGCTCATTACGCGCGCGGATTTGAATTCGTGCAGGTTCCATTTCAGGGTCGTCTTGCCGCGGGCGGCGATTCGTTGCTTAAGTTTCTTTACGAGGGGTGGTAGGCATACTTGCTTGAGGGGCGTTACGTTGCCTCTGTTGGTTGGTTTGTGTTAGTGTGTTTGCAAAGTATGTCATATGAATTTTCGGGAGAGACGTACGAGGCGAAGCTTCTGTAGATGTGCTGGTAGTATCTCTTGGCTAGGACTTTGTATTGTGTGTTATGGAAGAGGTCGACGGGTAGATATTTTGTCCAGCCGGACTTCTGGATGCAATCGCGGTAGTAGTATCGTCTAAGGGTTTAGGTTAGTCCTATACGCTTTCAACTTTAATTTCGGATGTGTTGTCCTTCTTCTTCTTCTGCTTCTCCCCTCATGTCCCAGGCCCGGTCCTAACCCGAAGAAAGTCCAACTTACGAGTAGAGACCTGTTGCCTTTTGCTTGACAATCTCCCAGTAATATCTCAGGACCCCTCCGAGGCCGGGCGATTCATTGTACACGTCCAAGAATGGCGCCCTCACGATAGTATTTTGCAGCAGACCAATGTCCTCCGCCATGGCATCTGTGTTGGTTTGCGCTTGCTCAAAGTTGACATTTGGTGAGGGCGAAATTTGGGATCGGGCTGCAGCTATGGCTTGCGCTTTATCTTGTCCGAGTTGTCTGTGCTTTGCTGGGTGTGACGGGGTGCTGGAGAAGGCGCGGCGGGAGGATGGGTGGGTTATGGTGGGTTGGGCGGCGTGCAGGAGGGTTTGGTGGCGGAGGAAGAGACATTGTCGTTGCAGCGCCGGTATCCGTATGCTCCGGAGTGGCATTTGTGAGGACATTGCGGGGGGCTGGCTTATGCTCGGGGCGAGCGTTGGGCGTTCGCGATGAGGATGCTTAATATGTCAAAGTCGATCAATGTTCGGGCGCGAAGTTCGCGCTAGTGAGGTACATGTGCGATTGGTCGGGTCGCACCGTGCCCTGCTGAACTTGCACACTCACAAGCAAGTTACAAATTACAAGGACCAATGCAGAGAGTACTAGATGGTTTTCTGGTCAGGAATACTGTTCAAGTGCACTTGGTCGAGTGGAAGCCGAATTCCGTTCTTTATGCGCAAATCTCATGTCGTCATATATTCTTCCATCTTTCTAACATAATACAAGTACATGCTCGGCAGGAGCAGAGTGGTGATACAAGACGCCGTGTATGCGTCGCAAAATCCCAACTTTTCATAACGCCGTTTGTATGCATCCAGTCCTATACATGTTTACACCACCTCTATACCGGCGTTGGTAATCACATGTTACTGCTCTCTCCGAGGAACTTGAGCACACCTTCATATGTTCCAAACATGATGGCGGCACTAGGTACCACACGGAACATGTGAGGAACCAGACCGCCGTAGAGTGCTGCCATACCCTCTTCCTTCCATATTAGTCGAAAACACTGAACGAGGCCAGTGTACTTCTGTCGGCCATCTTCCATTGGTGCTTGCCGCAGACGCGTTCGCACAACCTCATGGGGATATGTGATGAGCGCTGCGACAAATTTGGCAGATCCAGCGGCAGTCAGCTTGCCAGTCCATGCTACAGTCTGGTCCCACACGGTTGGCGGTCTGCCACTAGCAATGACGCGCTCTTCTCTCCGTGCTAATGACAGCTTCATTTGCTCGTAAAGCATCCACTGTAATGTGCTCTCGGTAACGCCCAAGTAGCTTGCAGTCAATCCGCGATATAAGCCACGGACACCCTCCTTCCGTATGGTCTGCATGGTGCAGTCGAATGCGTTCTTGTATTGCCGCCCGCGGCCATCCGAGTGTGTGTTTTTGTCCAGTTGCAGTCGTGTCTTGACCAGCCAGATGGGATTCGTAGCGGTCCCAGTCACGATACCAGCCGCTGCTGCACTACACAGATGTACCCATGCTGCCTCTTGACCATTGTTGAAATGTGTGCTGATCAGACGCTTGCCGTTTCCGTATGCAAAGAAGTTGATTGCGCGTGCGGGGACTACTCCGATGAGATTTGGTCCCAGTCCTTTGAAGAGAGCTCGCCACCCCTCTGCCTTTGGGACCTGCCATAATATCTCTCCAGTTTCCCGTATGTGCAGTAGCGAGCTGCGGCCGAAGGACATGGTCTCGATGGGGGGCAGGCCGCGGGCGGTGCGCATTGCGGCAAGATGCTGCTGGTAGAAGGTGGATTGCAGCCGAGTCTTGAGGACATCGAGCGGGGCTGTCAAGGTTGCTGAGGCCATGCCACCCAGGCTGTGACAATGTTAGTCCTCAAGGCGTGGTCCAGTGTGAACTGTAGTCTTACCCTCCGGCGACAAAATGCGCCCACGACTTTCCAGACTTGACATCTTGTTTAGCTACCGGTGTCCCATCTGGCTGTTTTGGAGGGGTGACTTCTCCCAGCTCTCGCGACGAAGGGGGCAGTGGTTGCAGCGGCTGGGTTGTGGCGTCTCGGAGGCCTCGAGGTCTGGGTGCTTCTTGCAGTGGCATCGAGGCAGGGGAGGCGCGTGGCGATTGGTGGCGGCGTGGGTTGAGGAAGGCGCACGCAAAGTCAAGGGTCGGAGGTTCGGGGCGTCGGCTGCTGTGGTATCATGAGGGGAAGTCGTCGCGCCGGGCAGTGGAGGGTGGTGGCATGTGTTTGCACATGCAGTGGTCCCCAGATTTTTGGAATGGTCATCCAAAGCGGCTAGCGGCTGGCGAGACTACCGCGGCGTCATTCACACCCCAGTGCCATGGATTGCGTTGTGAGCTCATCGAGGCCCCTGGGAAGAGCACACACCCCACGCAGCCATGCGACCAACATCGGCGTGCCTCGCGCCTGGCTTCGTCAAGCGGAGTCTGGACGAGTTCAAGCGCCTCTCCAACTTCGGTGAGCTCTGCAGCTGCATGTGTGCATGCGCCGCCACTGACACGCGCAGCACTCAAGCTCGAGGGCCTGCGCTCCCCGTCCAAGCCCTTTCCGCTTATGCACTTCGACCACGCTGAGGATCTGGAACGATGCAAGCGCATGAGCGACAAAGACATCGGCGGCTTCTCCACCGTCAACTTCGACCACCATCCTGTCTCCCAGACGGAACCCCCCCACGTCCGCTTCCATGGCACCATATCCACACAACTGCCACACAACCAGCCACACATCCAAAGAACGGGCTATGCCGGATGGAGGACACTTGATCGAGGCTCCACCATCTTTGGCAAGTCCCTGTGGGACGTGAGCATGTACAACTTCCTCGCAATCCAGTTCAAGTCGGACGGCCGCAAGTACTTTGTCAATGTGCAGACCGAGTCGATTGTTCCTACAGACATCCACCAGCACCTGCTGCACTCCAAGACACCTGGCGAGTGGGAAACCATTTTAATCAGGTGGAACGAGTTCGTGCGGACGAACCATGGGCAGGTCGTAGAGCCACAGAGGGAGATGTTGACACAGAAGGTGAGGACGGTGGGCATATCCTTGATAGACCGTATACCGGGGCCCTACGATCTGAGCATTAGCAAGATTTGGGCAACAAATGCGACAAACGAGGACGAATTTCTGAACAGCGCTCCTGTGCCGCGTTTGCAGTCAAGTGCGAACGATCTCAAGAAGGTCGCGAGGAAAGACTCAGGATTTGGCCATGCGTCACGGGAAACAGTTGCATAGATGTAGACGTTCATATCCATATCAAACTATGAAATCTTGTATACAGTCGTGAAATGAAGTCTGTACCGCCAGATCGCCGGCAAATTGATGGCTTGGTAACCTAGGCACCAATCGGGTAGTGATTGGGGCACCTGGGCAGTCTTTCGGGCGCATGACTTCGCGACAAGTATTGTACGCGCTGCGCGCCGCCTCGGTTGTTCATTCCCTCCCACGACCTCCAACAAACACCACATCCTGGACGTCGCAGCCTTGCCTGACAATCAGCAATCGCCTTACCTGGATACAATGCACATATCGCGCGGAATCACACGACAAAGGTTTTTCTGTTGGCGATAATCGCCAACGCTGACACCGTCAACGCCCAGCGCTGTGTTCTGCTACAAGCATTAAACCGCCAAACAAACATGGCCACACCGCGCTACCTCACGGCGCAAAAGATCAGCCTTCTTGTCTTGACCCGTCTCTACTGCACTTCAAGTCTTCCCTATTCCGCTACGATACCCGTACTTTCCTTCATCTTGTCAAACAATCTTCCTTCGGCACCGTCCAGCGCTCGGCCACAGCGCTCCAACATCTCCAGTCAACAAGACACGTGTTTCTCAATCGATGCCTTTGAAGATGTACTTCAAGAACACCCCTCCAACATGCCGGGCCGAACTCTTCTCGATCTCTTCCTCAAACACATGTGGGAAATGAACTCTTTCGATGCGCTGCACGCTCTCTTCGACAGTATCCTAGATTTGGTTACACCTCCGCCACACGGTACACAAGATCAAGAATCACCAGATCGGATCCATCTTTCCAAGACATCACCACTTGGAGCTTTTGTTCGTAGAGCGCACCTGGAATTCACGAGGCTGCAGTTCGACGATTCAATGAAACTATGGTCTTCATTTATCAGGTACAGAGCCCCAACAGCTCAATGGACAAAGAGATTGGCTGGCTTGGCATCAAGTGGTGTAGACATGGTTGTATCCGAGATGGGTCTGAGAGCTGGCGACGACATGTACGAGATCGCGTACGGGAATCTACAAGAAGATCAAGAGGAAGGAGCGGGCATGAGTTTGAACGATCTGGATCGAATCCTGGACTTCCAACTCGATAGGCTTCAGAGGCTCGGAGACCGTGTTCCTGGCGATATGAAGAGTCAACTTCGCAATATGGTCAAGTCGTCCGGCATTGTACATCGGCAAGCGCATCTCGTACAATTCTTCGATGCCTGGAAAGCCGGAGACTACACATCTGCTTTTGACAATCTACATCGCTACTACGATTACGCTATGCAGACTCGCGAGAAGATCCATTACCAGTATGCTTTACTGCATATGGCTATCCTTCAGGCCGACTTCGGCTGCTTTGGCGAAGCGATAGCTGCTATCAACGAGACAATTGCCACAGCCCGGGAGAACCAGGACATGACTTGTCTGAGCTTCAGTCTCAGCTGGCTAAATCATATGGCGAAAGCCTACCCCAAGCAGATGAGGGGTGCCGGTTACATGAGCATGCTCGGAACTGAGAGGGATGCGTTGGCCTTTTTGAAAGCGAAAGCCAAGGAGACCAAGATGTACAGCCTGCTCTGCGCAAGTTTACTCAACGAGGCAAAGCTTTCTCTAGCGACGGTACGTAGTTCATGATCGCGTTGATAGACTACCAGGACTAACTCACACATAGGGCGACTCTATTCCCCGGGCATTAGAACATATTTATCAGTCTTCACATCTCAACATCAAAGAAAACGTCAACAGTTACGGTAGTCAAATGCTTCTCACAGGGACATTCTATCAGCGACTTGGCATCCCACATCTAGCCAACATTCATTACGAGCTTCTCCTCGATTGCTATTCACATTCCTGTCCGATTGAAGAACGTCTCCGTGCGATCGCTCGCAGAGCTTTCGTTACAAGCCAGAGCGGCCGCTACGGCGAGGCTATCATGATGCTAGAAGCTGTGGATTCCTCGGTGTACAAATCGCTCAAGTTTTACCAATTCTTGATACTTTGCATTGGCCTCATTAAGCTCAGGAGAGCCATTCGAAGGTACCATTCTACCCGCACCTGCCTAGATTCAAGTCATTCATGCTGACATCAGTGTAGATCCGACTGGTCAACGTCAACTTATTTGCTCGAAACCCTTAAACCGACAGCCTCGCCCTCTACCCCAACTCTCGATCCGGAACTCTCTTTCCTTCAACACGACACGTACATTGAGTACCTCATCTCCACATCGCAGTTTCCTCTAGCCTATCAATGCATTTCATTACTGGCACAATCTCTCAAAGAAGACAATGCAGACATCCAGCAGCGTGTTTCAGTGCTGCTAATGCAGGCAGAGTTATGGAGAAAAGCAGGTAAACCGGAGAGGGGCTTCAGCGTTGCGCTGCGGGCGGCAAGTGTGAGTTTCAGGGCGCGGCTTGCAAGTTCGCTATGGTCCGCAGTGGGCTGCCTGGGTGCGATACTGAATACTCTGGGGGAATGTCGAGAAGCGAGGAGGTTGGTCGAGACCGTGTTGCCGCAGGTACGTTGCCTTTTTATCCTTACTCGCTACGGAGTTGCATATGCTGATGTCTGGAGCAGGCTCTAGAAGGCGCAGATACCATGCTTACAGGCACTCTGTACTCGCACCTAGCAGACTCGTATATGGGTCTCGCCAATCCCACCGCCTTGACAGTCTCGACGTCGAACGCTGGTTCCCATCCCCCCTCAACACCGAGAGCAGGCGAGCTGACATCAAACCGTTCCCGTGTCGCAAACATCGCCAAAGCGGAACTCTACGTCGACCGGGCGAGGGAATGCTTCCAAAAAGCAGCGTATTTGGATGGAGAGTGCGAGCAGCTGATGAAGAAGGCGATTATAGCGAAATTGAGAGGTGATGAAAAGGTTGCAGAAGAATGGGCTATGAGACATAACAGTGTTTGGGATGAGGGTTATGGATCACAAGATGTATAGGCTGCTACCAGAATGTCACATATCACAGGACAAGGTGCAGACGCAAAGGAAATGTATTGCTGGCTACCCCAGCTTGCTTTCGCTCGTCGTACTATATACACATTGAACCCCACACTTGACCCAAATGCTGGCCCGCATGATTCTTGAATCAATGCTTGGGAGCGTACTGTGCAATAGCTTACTCATCCTTCTTGTGGTAGTTGACTTTATCGTTCCAGAAGAGGGTCTATCGTCAAGTCAGAACACTAGCCCATCACGTTGCCGTCGAAGTCTTACCTTGTCACCATCTCCCCAGAAGTAGTTCTTGGTACGGATGTTCTGGTATGCGTACTCGGGCCTCTCGGAGCGGGGGTTCTCGTGTTCCTCGTGGGCTACGTGCTCCCAATGAGCATCCCACCTGACCTTGGCGTTGACACTGGCGACGATGATGCAGGGGACGGCAACGCTATCATAGCATTAGCAGATTCTCTTGCTTTATCAACAACCCTTTTAATATGATGATCCGATACCACCATCCTCTCGCATGTGCCCTGGCTCCACGCCCTTCCCTCTGCCCCGTTTAACCCCCTCCACCTCCGGAACGGCCCCAAGTATCTAGGTACTTACTAGAGCGACAGCTTGCGCCAGAACTCGCCAGACTCAGCGGCGTGCTGAGCAATGTGGGCACGCTCGCGGTTGAACTCGTTGTCCTCGGTTCCGGCAAATTGCTTGGGGCTCTCGGAGCTGTAGTTGCGGCGGCCGGCGCGGGCAGGGGCGCGGGCGAATGCCTGACGAGGCGCGGCGCGGGCGAAGGAGCGGGCGGCGAACATGGCGACGTTTGTTCGGCGTGATAGAGTGGAGGGAGGGTGCAATTGGCGTTGGCGTGAGACGTGACGACGGGAGCTCGAATTGACGAAGCAGAGGCTTGGCGGATGGGCTGATGCGGAGTTTCCCGCTTGCTCTTAGCGTGGCCGCGCTCGGCTGCCGGTAATGTGACGTCGTGTCTGGCGCGTGAAGTCGCGTGTGACCGTGTCTTGCATGTTCCTGTAAAATACAGAACAAATGAGATGACGACGTGATGATGTTCTTGGTTCGCGCTCACTGTCGCTCTTCATAACCGATCAACGCCATGGTCCGCATCACCACCTGGAATGTCAACGGCATTCGCAACCCGTTTGGCTACAAGCCATGGAGCAACACGAGGACCTTCAATGCCATGTTCGACATCCTCGAGGCGGACATTGTCATCATGCAAGAGTTGAAGATTCAGCGCAAGGATCTGACGGATGACATGGTCCTTGTACCTGGCTGGGACTGCTACTTCAGTTTACCAAAACACAAGAAAGGCACTTTCCACGTTACACAGTCCTTGTTCAGCGGCCTTGCACTGACACAGTCCAGGCTACTCAGGCGTTGGTATCTACACTCGCCAATCCATATGCGCCCCCATTCGCGCCGAAGAAGGCGTCCTAGGCGCTCTCTGCCCTCCCGGCTCGACCACATCGTACCGCAACCTTCCTGAATCCGCCAGCATTGGCGGTTACCTCAGCGCCGCGCAAATGGCCCATCTCCCCCCCGATCTCGACGCTGACAGCCTCGACTCAGAAGGACGGTGTCTGGTGCTTGAATTCCCAGCCTTTGTCCTCTTCGGCGTCTACAGCCCAGCGAACAGCAATGGCCTACGAGACGGTTTCCGAATCGGCTTTCTCACAGCGCTGGAAACACGAATACGGAACTTGACGAAGATGGGCAAGCATGTGATACTCACGGGTGATCTCAACGTCTCGAGAGATACCATCGACACGGCCAGGGCGGAGGAGAATATGCTGTCGCAAGGCATGACGCATGCCGAGTATCTGAGCACTCCGAACAGGCGAATCTTCAACCAGCTCTTGTTCAATGGAATGGTTCCGGGTCAACGAGACGAGGGGAGAGAAGAGCCGGTCCTATACGATCTGTGTAGGGAGTTCCATCCTGACCGCGAAGGAATGTTCACACACTGGGAGCAGAAAATCAACGCTAGGCCGGGCAACTTTGGATCACGGATCGACTTCATACTGTGCAGCATCGCGATCAAGGACTGGTTCAAGGAGGCCAACATTCAGGAGGGACTGATGGGGTCGGATCATTGTCCAGTGTACGCTGTGACGAAGGATGTGGTGCCCATGTCACAGATATCAGCGACCGGTGAGCACGGTGCTGAAGATCAGGTGCACGTGTTGGACTTGATGAATCCAGCGGGCATGTTCAAAGACGGCATGCGGCAGCGAGAGTATGACATAGTCAAAGATCTCCCAGCACTCAGCGGAAAGCTCCTAGCCGAATTTACGAAGAGGAGGAGTATCCGAGACATGTTCGCCAATAAGCCCACCCTACCAAAGTCTGCACCAGCGCCTACGGCACCGATTGCCGACGAAGAAATGCAGACAAAGGTAGATGACATGTCTACTCCCAATACGACCATGGACGACTCCGACAGAGACCTTAAACTGGCCATCGCGGCTTCCATGGCGGAAATGCCTTCAGCAGTTGATAGTCACCTTGCATTCACCCAGAGCCCGCTCAAGTCGGTCGAGAAGCGACGCGCTTCGGCATCAGCATCGCCCAACAAGCCAGTCAAGCGGGGAAAATCTAATACCACAACCACGTCCAAAGCCCCCAAGGGCCAGCAGTCGCTCAAAGGCTTCTTCCAAAGCCGAACCAAACCCGCTGATGCAGAGCCCCTCAAAGATGCAGCACCGCCCGCCTCGCCGTCTACGAACAACGATGCTCCCAGCCATTCCACCATAGACATGCCTCGTCCGCTGTCGCCCATAACCTCCGAATCTTTGGACTCCGATCCGCGCGCCTCCCAGGAAGCGTCAAAAGAAGGCTGGACAAAGCTCTTCTCCAAAAAACCAGTACCGCGGTGCGAACACGGCGAGCCTTGCATCTCGTTCACGACCAAGAAACCAGGCATGAACTGCGGAAGACAATTTTGGATGTGCCCTAGACCGATTGGACCGACGGGGCAGAAGGAAGTGGGCACGCAGTGGCGGTGTGGGACGTTCATCTGGTGTAGTGATTGGAAGGGTAGTTGAGAGAAGGGACATAATATATGGATACTGATAGATGGTTCTGCTAGGCTATGAATACGCTTCCCTGCGGCTCGCATTGGTTCTGCTTACGATGACGATGCTAAAATCCTCAGGGCAGTTGTGGAGACTGAAGCTCACCGCAGAAATAGCAGGCAGATCAAAAGTGTCTGCATAGTTACAGTATCACCTATCAGGCTCGGCAATGAGATTAATAGTCACGCCGGGGCGAGTAGAAGGAATTTGAAAGTTATAGGGCCGTCCATGTCAGACCATATCAATATGTCATGTTCAATGGTGCAAATAAGACCACAGTCTCGACAACTAATATACTAAGTGCTCTACAAAACCGTTGACGTCGATCCTAGAAGCTACAACGCTATATGCATCTACGTAGTACGCCGTAATGCTACTGTGGTTTCTCTGCTCGACTTAACACTGAAATAATATGTGTGTGTTGAGATGTTGCATTAGTCGTCTCTATAATGGCACTGCATTCGGCTATAACTCTACTAGTATACATTAGACCTTGAAGACTGCTCTTAATACACTTTCAGTACTTGTTATGAAGCTGTGAAGATCTCAGGGAGTTCTAGTAAGTGTGTTAGGGTCACTATCTTGCTTTTTGTCAGCCCGTAGGCCTGCCTCGCAGACAGGCATATACCTCTATATAGCTGTACCAAAGCACTGCCGATAAGTTTAAGAAACATTTGAAATGGTGAAAAGACAATTTAACAGGCGCTCTGTAAAGGCTGAAAGGTCTATGAGCCTTTCGGTCATATCCCTTTACTGTAGAACAGAGAGGAGTGTATGCCTAACCAACATTTACCCCGGTCGTGACTCCTCGCAGCCAGAGCCCGGACGTCACCACTCGTACGTCGGTCACGCCCAAAGCTATCAGAGGTGCATTGAGTTTTGTACAAATATTTAATTCTATGCTTACCAGGATTGACGTAGAAATGCATTGTACATAGATGCTACCTCTTGGACTGAGTTATAACACCTAAGCTATCTGTTGATTTGACCGTACGACCACTGTGTACAAGGTCACAAAAACTTTGCCTAACTCATCTTCATATATTTAAGAGTCTTTCATGAAGTACTTGCCAGGCTAGACATGAGCTTGTGTTGGCGATACTCCTGCCAGTCAGCCATCCTCGATTTCAACATCCAACCCGACACCAAACGAAGATGTCGTACCTATATGTCCCATCCACCTATTAGAGAACCCGAATGTTGATTCAAATCCTATGAGTCACCTCCGCTTACGCCTAGGCACATCAGAGTCCTTCAGCACATGGGCGCGCTCGGACGAGCGGCGAGACAGTTTCGGCCATTATGATACCTGGGCACCAATACACCACCACCCCTCCAAAACCGCAGCGGCAGAGATATTAATACGCGACTCATGAGTCCGGCAGCTTCACTAGGGGATACTATATAACGACCTCAATGTCGGGACTGAAACACCACCATCATGCAAGCCCGTCACACCCTTCCATGCAGCCACCAACACTACAATCACATACTTGCATACATCTCCTTACATGCCAACTCAAAGTCATGTCGGTCAAGCAATTTAGTAAACAGATCACTGCATATTGCTTTCAGATCACGCTAGGGAGAGGTGAGCTTTTTATATGTGCATTTTTGGTATCTTTTATTTATCTATTTTTGGAGTTGATATGTTCGTCTGATGCTGCGCATGCGCGTACGACCGATGATGTGTATGCTACACCGTGTAAGACATAGGGTCTGGACGGGGTATCTGAAGTGGTGACCACGAACCATATATCGTTGAAGGCAACTTGGTTGTGATCGAGAGAAAAAACACACGCTTCACCCATGTTCCCATCATCAAGACCCAGAAGTCTCTTTTATGGGATCGTGCATCCTGTATGCACATTGCGTCAGCTGTCGTGGGTTGTGGTCGTAATCGTAATCTAATCGTAATCGTAATCGTAATCCGGGAAAAGAGTGGAAGGTGTGCCTGACTGGGCGCTTCATGAGAAGGTGGCAAGCTGGTGACAAGCGAAAGACTTTTGGGAGCTCTAAGAGCAAGGGATGTTGCTAAAGCAAGGGGAATGCCTAATCGAGACGTAGAGACGGGCCGGTTGTATTGCCAAAGGAACGCAAATTGTATGCGGAGCAGATCGACAGAAATCGGGTGACGGTGTGTGGGAGTCGCCGGTCTTACAAGAAGCGCGAATCCTTGGTCAGTGACGTGCAGACCTCTGGCACATGTACTTTCCAGATGAGGGTTGGATGCTTGAGGCGTTCCTAGTAGGTGTCATGGGCCAAGGCGGGTAGTATGGCATCATCGTCTGCGCCGTCGCGAAAGGCGAAGAGGTCGTCATCAGCCAGCGCAAAGGTTGCGTCCATGTTGAAGTTGAAGCCGAACTCGTTGTCAAGGCGAGCATGACGAAAAGACTCTGAGTCGTAGGTGATGCTGGCAGACACTGGATCTTGAGGGAACATGTCGAGCATGTCGGCCACATCAAAGAACGGAGCGAAGTCGTTGATAAAGGGACTGCCAATATCAGGAGTGATGTCGTTGACGGGAAGCGCATTCTCATAGGTCGAGCTAGGCGATGATATCGCAATGTTGGGGGCGACTTGAAAGTTGACAACCTCAGGAACAGTCGAAATCGCCGATGCGCGCTTAGCCTTGCGTGACTGGCGCTTCTTCTTCTCGCCTGGCTTCCTAGGACTATACTTGTAGTCCGGATGCTGGCGCAAGTGCTCTTCCTTGGCCGACTGTGCGGCAGCCTGCCAGGGCGCCTTGCCAGTTGGTCCGAGGTCCTTCCACATGTCGGAGCAGAATGAAGCTAGGACATTGTAAGCATGTTGTATTAGAGATGGAGAGTGCTGTGTGCACTTACATAACTCTTGAACAGTGAGCTGCGGGAACTCGATCTTCAGATCCTTAGCCATCGCATCTCGGAAGATGATCCAACAATTCATTGGTCGGGGAGCCTTCTTGATGACGTTGACAGAAAGGGCGTCCAAGCCGACAGCAGAATCGCTTGAAGTCTTCACCAACTGATAGTTGGGTTGGGCCTGAGGTGAAGCTGCGGTGTTCTTTGGCATCTTGACGATAGTGTGTGAGGTTTTGGTGGTCTCCATAGGAATGAGATCAATGAGTTTGATCGGCAATCCTGTCTTTTCGGCCAAGGCCTTCTTGAAGAGCTCTGCTACGCCGTTTCCGAGCAGAACGGGGAGGTTGTCCGGGATGATTACCATGGTGTCGCCGCGTTCGAAACCCTCGGCGCAAACGCGAAGAGCGTTTTCTAAACGGCTCAGTGCGTCCAGGGCGAGCTGAGACACTTCGCCAATGTCAGCGAGAGTGCGGTGGATCTCAGCGTTCATTGTGGTGAGACGATGATGTATGGGCTGGACAAAGTTGTTGTTGCAGAGAAAGTATGGAGCAATTGCGAAATGAAAAAGGATTTGAGTAGTGGAAGTTGGTGGTATTTCGACGAGATGGTGAGAGCAGAGACTTTGTTTGTGGCCGCGCCAAGGCTGAGCAGGCCAGGCAACGAGTCTGCGCGTTTGCAATGGTCAGTGCATACGTCAACAGCAGTATTTCCTCGCTCACCTGATGAGACTGTCTCAGTCTCCTTCACTTCGCGAACAATCCCGGATGGTCTCCTCTATAGCGCTGTTAAGAGGGATGTTCTTGCATACTGAGCCTTCTCACAAATGCTATTGGTTGTGACATACACCGTGATGTAACTTGAGGATGAAAACGAGATGAAATTGGAGAAGCCCTCAACTTTTGTCGGCGAAGTGGTATTTTGAGACAAAGGAAATAGCATCAAGCCACGCACGAGGCAGCGCTAAGACACGTGTAGCTGATTTGACGAAAGGTATGTCACTAACCAGATGCTGCGCAAATACGGCAACCCCTTGCATACACGACGCAAGCCGTAGAATTCCGAACATGCCGGTCGTTTCCAAAAAAAAAAAGACTCCTGGTGTTTCTCATGACGACATTCCGTTTGGCTTGATTTCTTGTGCGTTTTCTGAAAGGCTCCAATCTCTGACTTGGCCTTTCCAGTCTGCGATGCGCCCGTCACGAACCCTGACTACGACAACTCTGACCTCTGCTCCCTCGACGTAACACTTGGTGCCCCCGTCACCTTCTCTTAGTGATTCATCAGCGTTTTCTCGTGAACCTATGCCCCCACCGCCCCATAGTCCTTCGCCAGCGGGAGGAGCCGAGTGTGTGTCCTCGCCACCAGGACTAAAGGTATTGTTAGCCAGGTGTTGGGCTTTGTACCATGTCTCTTCCTCGGAGCCAGAAGGCACGAGTTCAGCAACGCCATTGATGGTGGCGCTGATGCGACTCAGGGACGCGGTGTTCATGCCAAGGAGAAGTTCGGCCAAGGATCCCGAACGTGGCGCTGGACCTGACGGCGAAGGCGAGCGACCCGGCTGGCTCAAGGTTGGAGGGCGGTGAGAAATCCAGTCATGCACCAGGAGAGATACTCGAGTGTTGGCCTCGAGATTCTGTGTTTTGCGGGAAGTTGAAGGTGTTGTCATGATGATAGTGGGAGTTGGAGAATACGGAGTGTTAGGTAAGTAGGTGTAGTTCATCAACGAGACGTGAGGAATGTTTTCCGAGCACGTTGCAAGATGGAGCTGTTTGAACTTGTTAGCACATAAGCATACGAGAGATCGGGGGTGTTGGCAATGCATGTGTTTATGAGGCGGGTATGAATCACGACACTTGGTAGGAAGGGTTTGGGGGGAAATGAACTGCTCGAAACAAGCGAGGAGGGGTTATGTAAGCATGCGACGTGTGTTGGAATGTGATCCCGATGGAAGAATGAGATGAGACAAGATAAAAGTGTTTGGAGGGACTCACAAAGCGGGCATTCTGGAGGCAGGTCACCACCTCATCCGGTAAGCCGCTAGACATGGCGAGACGGATCAAGAGGGGGGTGAAGACGTGAGTCAAGAGAGGCAGGCTGCGAAAGGTGGACGGTGCTGCCGTGCTTGATCAGGCGCGTGAGGACGGTTGGCAAAACTTGACGGCGGGAAGGATGACGTTGCGTGGAGCTTGTCCGTGCAGCATCTCCGCCTCCGCCGAAGCGCGCGGCATTGCGCATTCCGACGGCGACCCGGCGACGCAGCCATTACCTCCTGCCACAACAGCCGCGTCTGCGATGGCTGCCCCGAATGCAATCCCGCCTATGGAGGGCACTGACAGCGTCCATGCCGACCCGAACAGCGTATCGTCGCCCACGCATGATGGTGCCCCCGCCTCGCCCATGGATGAAGCGACTCCCACATCGCCTGACCAAGGGAGCGCACCCCCCAACGCGCAGACGCAGCAGCGCGTGCAAGACATGTTGCACTCAGACGTGGGCGTCTCCACCCTGCTGAACCGCCTCAAGGCCAGCATTGCGAGCGCCAGAGTCAGTGGCCACGAAGCCGGGCTGTTGTGCATTCCGACGGCTAACACGCTGGGCAGGACTTCGCCAGCTTTCTCAAACGCCGGGGAGCTCTCGAGGAAGAGCACGCCGGCAGCCTCAAGAAACTAAGCCGTCTGACGCTCGACGGCGTGCGGAAGCCTGACACGCGGCACGAGAGCTACCAGACGCAGTTCGAGCAGGTCCTCCACGCAAACGAGCGCATCGCCGACAATGGCACCCAGTTCGGCCTTGCCCTACACGCCATGCACGAGAACCTGCTACAGCTGGCCAACAAGATGGATACAAGCCGCAAAACTTGGAAGCAGCAGGGGCTCTCGGCAGAGAACAAGGTTCAAGACGCCGAACGGCTGGCCGAGAAGGCCAAGGCCAAGTACGACCAGCTCGCCGAAGACCTTGACCGGGTCAAGACAGGCGACACAGGTGCGGGCAGGAAGTTTGGCTTGAAAGGGCCCAAGTCAGCCGCCCAGCACGAGGAGGACCTCCAGCGCAAGACTCAGGCGGCAGATCAGGACTATGCCAGCAAAGTCCAGACGGCACAGGTCTCCCGCAAAGAGCTCGTCGCGACTCTGCGGCCCCAGGCTGTCTCTGCGCTGCTGGATCTCATCAAGGAAACCGACGCTGCTCTGACTATGGAAATGCAGAAATACGGTAAGTCCACCTGCTGCCCGCGTCAGCTTCGACTGACGCTGTCATAGCCTCGTTCAACGAGAAACTTGTCGTCAACAATGGCCAGGTCGTCAGTCCACAGCCACCCAAGGGCGCGACTACTCAGGCCCCGTCCAGCATCAACCAGCTCATCTACCAGATCAACAATGAGCGCGACTTTGACGAATATATTTTGAGCCATGCCTCCAAAGCACCTATCACCAAATCAGAGCTACAGTACCTGAAGCATCCGACACAGGCGCAGACGCGGTCACATCCAACACCACCTGCTGCTGCGAGTAGTAACCGACGTACCTCCATGCAGCTGCAGAGTCAGCCGCCGCCCTCTTTCCCCATGCCGCAGCCAGATGCCAACCCTCTATCGCCTCAGGGCCCTTCCAGTCTCGAGCCCTCGTTTGGGGGTCCCGCACAGCTGCCACCTTCGTCGTTGCAATCGCAACCACAGCCTTCGCAAGCGCCGCAGTTCAGCAACTCGCCCTACTCACCCGTGGGGCCCACGCCTTACCCACAGTCAGACTATCCTCGTGGACCTGTCGGTCAGGCTACGGCACAGCAGACTAGCGGAATTCTTTACAACAATGCCCAACCCCCGGTCAATCCCGTCTTTGGCGTCACTCTGGAAGACCTGTTCCACCGAGATGGCTCACCCGTACCCATGGTAGTCTATCAGTGTATTCAGGCTGTGGATCTATACGGACTGGAAGTAGAGGGCATCTATCGGATCCCTGGAACCTCGTCGCATATCCAGCAAATGAAAGCTCTCTTTGACAGTGGTAGGTGATTATGACAATTAGTCAATGCGGGCGACTAACGCTATACAGACGCTTCCCAAGTAGATTTCCGCAACCCAGAGTCGTTTCAGCACGACGTCAACAGTGTGGCTGGTTTGCTGAAACAATTCTTCCGCGAGCTTCCGGATCCACTGCTCACCCGCGAATTCTACGGCAAGTATATCGATGCTGCACGCATCGATGACGAGACCATGCGACGTGATTCCATGCACGCGCTAATCAATGCTTTGCCCGATCCGAATTATGCGACACTTCGTGCCCTTGTTTTGCATCTGCATCGTGTGCAGCAATCCTCCGAGGTTAACCGCATGAGCACCGCAAATCTGGGTATCTGTTGGGCGTAAGTCATCACTCGACCGAATCTATGTATCGACTAACCTCGTATAGGCCGTCCATAATGGGTCCTCATAAAGGCAACAATATGGCCGATGCCGGTCTGCAAGCCCGCGTAATCATTACCATTCTTGACAACGTGCTCCAGATATTTGACGAGGACTGAACAACTATCTTGCCTGGGCAGGGGCTCATGTCTGTCATGTTCTTGCAATCTCAAATCACGTTTCCTATTACCCTCTAGGTGTTCAATGTCTAATCCAATGCGGGCTCCGCTTGTGCGGGACGGCTACCGCATTCGTGAACAGCACTTTGTGTATGATTATGGTAGAGTACGAGAGAAGCAGGGACTAAGCTACATCATAAGAAGGCATGGTCGCTGCTCGCTGCTCGCTAAGGGGTATGAATAGCCACACGCAGGGATGGAGCAGTCAGGGACAGCGAAGTTCGAGGTCGAGGTTTAGAAGTGAATTGATCCAAATGGTCTCTTTCTAGTCTCGTGGTACATCTTGGGCCTCTACGATCATGTCAACAGATTAGATGCAAAGAATACGACCATGGATCTGGATGTTGGCCTGAAGACGCGATGAAAGTGTTCTGCGCTACATTGAAATGTAAACAGCGTTGCAACGCTTCCAGTAGAGCAATGTAGACGCGTGACGGAGGTTGGTGAGGTTTGCAGTGGGGCGCGCTTACCCCAGTGCCCCGGGCGGATACCTAGGCAGCGGGACGCTAGTGAGCTTGACAGGGAGAGCTGCAGTAGGCTGATTGAGGGGAAGCTGTGCTGTAGCCCGCCCAAACCGACACAAACACCACCACTACTCCACTCCATACACGCTGTCGGCGTTGGTGTGCAAATTGACCTCACCCTCCAGCTCCGGTCCCGACAGTACCATCATGCTCACACGCCGTGTTTGTGCCAGTGTGCGCGGCATCCTCTCCCCGCCGTGTGCCACCGCCGTCCGCTCTCAGGCCTTCAGTGCTGGCGCTCCAACACAGAGCCCGGCTAGAGCTCCTACCCTCGCCGACATCACACCCGATAGTGCTGCCAGCTTCAACGAGAAGCAGAAGAGCTTCCGCGACGGTCTGGTAGCTGCTCAGAAGCGAAAGGAACAGGAAGAGAGTCCGTTGCACGTCGCCCAACCTGAATTACCCAAGAGCGCTAACGTGAGTAACTACAGAAGATGCCCGCGCCCGTGAGCAAGAAAACGGCAAGAAGAAGGGCGGTGCGCTATCATCTCTCATCTACGGCACGCCCGAGGGCCGCGAACTCGACAAGGACATTGAGCGCAGCTTTTCTCAGGTCTTAGCTCGCGGCAAATACGTCCACTCCATTGTATTCCACGAGGTACTGCAAGACAAGGTCGAAGAGTACACCGAGTTGGTTGGAAGCTGGTACCCAAAGATGGCGTCCATTCCCGAGAACAAGGTCCATCTTGTAGGTAGCTGGAGGACTGAAGTGGGAGATTGCAACACCTTTGGTAAGTCTGCAACTCGCTCCAACGCTCGCATCTCTCTCAACGATGCTGACTATGCACCAAAGTACATATCTGGGAGTACCAACGCTACGAGGGTTACCACGAATCGCTACACAACATCCAATCCCATCCAGAGTTCCCTGCGTTCGATGCCAAACTCAAGACCTTGATCAAATCCAAGCACAACTCCCTAATGCAAGAGTTCTCCTTCTGGCCTACGACACCCCCACGCCAGCTCGGTGGCTTGTTCGAATTGCGCTCGTACACACTACATCCTGGCAATTTGCTCGAGTGGGAGACACATTGGCGACGTGGCTTGAAGGCCAGGCGGGAAGTCATGGAGGGTGTGGGTGCTTGGTTCGTCCAAATCGGTGATCTGAACACAGTACACCATCTGTGGCAATTCGCCAACCTGGAGGAACGCAAGGTCCGTCGTGAACAGAGCTGGAGTGTGGAAGGCTGGGGCGAGACAGTGCACAAGACCGTGCCGCTCATCCAGACCATGAGGAGCAGGATCTTGATTCCTTGCTCCTGGAGCACTGTTGCATAAGCTTCGATTGCACCGATCAAGCCACTCATCTGGTGTACGACCAAGTAAATGGCACTGTGCGCTGCTTACAGTGAGAGGGTGTCATGTCTGCTGTATCATGTATATGAGCAAGATCGATCACAATGTTCCAGAATGAGGCAAGTATCGCTAGTAGAGCCATCAAGCCTCCAGCGTCTAAGTGGTGCGAAGTTGCGAGGGGCTGCATCAATGTCAGATACACATTCGTAGAATATGATGATTCATCTCATTCGTTGTGCACACCGAGGTAGCGATCGTACCTGACATACCGTTTCCACGCTAAGATGTTGCCAAAACCGGCGGGCGGACGGGTCGCTACGTCATAAGATTTTGCGCTTGGCGCACCACCACATAGCAACAAGTGCCGCCGAAATCACTTTCGCTGCCAGAACCCCACAACAACTCGCCAACAGTTGCTGGTACTAAGCGAATAACACACCATGGTGTACATACGACAGGATAAGCTACCAAAGCTCAGGGAGTACAAGTACTCTGGCGTGGATCACAGCTTGCTTTCACAATATGTCCTCAAGCCTTTCTACTCTCATGTGGTCATCAAATGCTTTCCTATGTGGATGGCGTGAGTATTTCCAAAATCTCATACAAAGCAATACTAACATGTCTTAGACCCAACCTTGTAAGTTTGGCATAAAAAAAAAGATTTTATATGTCGAACCCCGCCGCAAGAGCTTCGTCCTTACTTACATGATGCTGTAGATAACACTCTCTGGGTTCGGGTTCATCATAGTCAACTTCCTCACCTTACTCTGGTATACACCGACCCTTGATCAAGATTGTCCGCCTTGGGTGTACGCCAGCTGGGCCATCGGACTGTTCCTCTACCAAACATTTGATGCTGTGGATGGGAGTCAGGCCCGCAGGACTCGCCAGAGCGGTCCTCTAGGCGAGCTGTTCGATCATGGAGTCGATGCGATCAATACGACACTGGAAGTATTGTTGTTCTCTGCGACAATGAATCTTGGCCAAGGCTGGAAGACAGTCCTCACGCTCTTTGCATGTAAGCCAGCACCTTGACATTACTTGCTTTGCATCTTATCTTGCTAACTACTGCAGCATCTCTGACATTCTACGTGCAGACCTGGGATGAGTATCATACCCATACACTGACTCTTGGTGTTATCTCTGGGCCAGTCGAGGGTATCATAACCTTGTGCATAGTGTATGCCTCAACTGCCTACCTTGGTGGAGGTAGCTTCTGGCAACGCTCCATGATCCAAAGTCTCGGAGTGAAAGAGCAAGGATTCATTCCAGAAGTGCTGTACAATTTGGCATGGAACGAATGGTATATGGTCTATGGAGGAGTTGTGCTCGTGTTTAACACTGTTTCGAGGTATGAACACATGCCATTGTACGAGACAGTAGGCTGACAATGACACAGCGCGCAAAATGTAATGAAGGCGCGTCGTGCCCGTGGTCAAAAGGCGCGAGTCGCTCTCCTGGGTCTTCTTACCTTCGGGGCGGCTTGGGTCCTCATCACGGCGTACTTGTACCTGCAACCTATGATCTTGCATCACCATCTGGTTCCGTTCATCTTCTACGCTGGTCTCATCAACGCGTACTCGGTGGGTCGCATGATCATCTCTCACCTTACGAAATCCCGATTTCCTCGAGGCAACGTACTGATGTACCCTCTCATCTACGGAGTGATCGATTCGCTCGGGCCATGGCTACAGGAGCACATTGGTGTCGGCTGGCCAAGTGCCTTGGGCAACGATGTTTATCAGGTTGCCTTTGTGTTCATGTGTCTAGGTCTTGCTGTCGGTGTGCATGGAAGCTTCATCGTGGATGTTATTTGGACGATCTGCGATTATTTAGACATCTGGTGTCTCACGATCAAGTACCCCTACCAGCCAGTAGAAGAAAACATCGAACGGAAGGGACAATGACGATCAGGCTACTGGGTCTCAACCACAAGGGGAGATGGAAAGGGTTGATGGGATTAATCCCACTATAAATTCCTTTGTTTGGGGATCTTTGCGTACGCCCGCAGGAACTCATCATCATATCTAGATGTTAGAGCTGTTGGCTGAGTAGCTTTACGAGGAGCACGACATCACGTAACTATAGTGCAGTGAAATACACCACACATTATCAACCTCAACTTCAGATACTCAAATATGTACCTTCCGCATTTCAAGGTTCCTGAGATTGATTGTGCCGGCCCGCATATATGTGTGGTGCCAGCGTGAGCCACGCTAGACCGATGTAGGTCACCCCCGAGCGCGTCTCCGCAATCACTCATCAACCGGAGCCAGGACTCTACAACCTCCAACGCAAACATGTCAACCGTGGGGGTAAATTTGGCTGTTACTAAAGACGGTGAGAGCTACAACAAACTACAGCGGCCCGATGGTTACCTTATGTCGACGCAGCCGCCCTCCATATCCTCCTCGACAGCGTCCCCGACTGCATACGGCAGCAAAAGAAAGTGCGCGCAAGAAGAGGCCGTTGGTGTTAAGCGCGCGAGGATCGCGCGCATCACAGCGCACCCAAAAAACCGGCCGCGCGCTGTAGATTCGTACCAAGAGTATGGGACACGGACGGTGCTACCAGGACTCGACGGTGAAGAGCAGTCATCCGACGAGACCACAAGCGAAGCGTTGGCCTACCTTCACGGTGTCCGGTGAGTGCTTACTTCATCTTTTGCACTCCCCTCACATGAGAGCATTATCAAGTGCATCGCTTATACATGAGGCCTAGGTCTGAAGCATCGGCGATTCCCACTCTACTCGTAGCCCCAAACAATGTCAACGCTGGCAAACTCGACTCAGACCATGACGAATCGCAATACAGAAGCCCGATGGATACTCAACGCGTCATATACAGGGAAGGAACCTGGATTGCCGTGGATTGTGAGTACAACGCTACCAAGTGGGAAACAGACTCGTTCGCCCTTGATCCACAGGAAGCTTGCACCAATGCTCTCCTCCAGCGCTTTCGAAACCTTCGCAAGAAACTCGCCGAAATGCGGAGGTATGGACGACTACCAGACACAGCAGCGAGCCGCGCAAAAGTAGAGAAGTTTGGAAAGCAGAAATGGTCGGAAACCATAGAGAAGGACTTACCGATTCTCCAAGAAATCATGCACATTGACGAGTCGACGCTGTATATGGCTCTACAAGGCTGCACGTTAGCATTGGGTCGATCAGCTAAGATATCCCGGGAGAAGAGCAGCTGGATATGGACCTTGTTGGCCCTAGTTGGAGATTTCGGTACTTTGGATCATGAGCGTGTGAGCAGAATTCGAGACTTGGGGCTCAGCGCAGGCCGGCTAGTGGGCCGACTCTACGCAGACAACAGAACATTGACGTGTGATGCACAAGAAGGCGAGTGCACTAGTCCCGAGGTCCCAGAGACCGATCCCAGAGAACAGACACATGGAGCTCACGACACGAGACATCTCGCGCCGAAAGTCACACAAACTCTGCGCGATGTTTCGGATGAGAAAGACAACGGATTAGACACGACGTCCTTCAGAAATGACAATGCCGTACTCAGCCAAAACACAGTCATTGAAGAGACGGATGATTCTGACGCAGAGATGATCATGTCTGAGGATGAAGTTGAATCAGAAAGCATTCCGGAAGATGGAGGTCTTGAGGAAGCTCGAGCGCGTCTTCTTGCGCAACTCGGAGACCGCTTGGTACATTCACAAGTGCCTCTGCCTCATACGCCCCCAATGCAAGTCCATCATCACCTTTCAAGGGTCGAGGCTGAGAGGCAGCGACAAGAAATACGCCGAGGAGAGCTGCAGCAAACTGCAAGTGCCACCAAATTGGCGCCAGTTTCCGAGCCGACGCAGGCCAAACCGCAGTCCATTACCCCATTGTCCGAGAGTGACTGGAACACGAAGGCAGCCATCGACATGATTCTGACAGTTGTAGCCGAGTGCTATGGACAAAGAGATCTGCTGAAATTTCGACTGCTCTGGTAGTTGCACACAGCGCGATGACTAGAAACCCATGCATCAATTTATTCGTTGTAATCCTGTGACTATATTTTGGCTACCGCAGTGACGTCGGTGTGAAGATGCACGGGCCAAGTCGCGGAGTAGAACGATTCTTTGCACACGCGCGCTTGCTCTTGGGCGATTGAGTCACTTTCCAGGTCCATGCAGCGCATTTCACCCCACTTTGTCTGCCCCGCGCTCTTCCAGGACGCCCTCCGATATACCTTCGCATACCGTAAAGTCAGCCGAACATTTATCCGAACCTACATTCTTGCACCCCGCCGCCGCTTCTCTACGCAAACTTCGCCCTTGGGCTTCGACGACGACATGGGCAAAGAAGACAAGAACAAATCGTTCAACCTGAAGGTGCCAAAGGGCACACGCGACTGTACATTTTGCCCACATTGCGCCCAAACGACTCGCTAACTATGTCAGGGACTGGCGAGGATGCCGCACTTCGCGACAACCTGTTCCAAACGGTAACGGAAGTTTTCAAGCGCCACGGCGCTACGACACTCGACACGCCCGTCTTCGAACTCAAAGAGATCCTCAGCGGTAAATATGGAGAAGACTCAAAGTTGATATACGATCTGCAGGATCAAGGCGGCGAGCTCTGCTCACTGCGCTACGATCTCACCGTTCCACTTGCACGATGGCTCGCCATGAACCCTAGCGTCCAGAGTTTCAAGAGATACCAAATCGCTAAGGTGTACCGCCGCGACCAACCAGCCATGACCAAGGGTCGCATGCGAGAGTTTTACCAATGCGACTTCGATATCGCGGGTTCCTACGACGCCATGATTCCAGATGCCGAGGTACTCAAGATTGCGACCGACGTCTTCGATGCGCTCAAGTGGGACTCGTACACGATCAAGATAAATCACAGGAAGATTCTGGACGGCATGTTCAAGGCTGCTGGCGTCAAGGCAGAACTGATAAGGCCGATCAGCTCTGCTGTGGACAAACTAGACAAGGTGAGCTGCAATCTCCATGTCTCTGCCAATCACTAACATGCTGCAGCTACCATGGTCAGAGGTCAAGCAAGAAATGGAGACCAAGGGACTGCCAGCAGACGTCGCGGATAAGATTGGTGAATGGGTGCAGCGCAAAGGCGGCGACGACATCATCGACTATCTCAAGACAAACGAGACCCTTTCTCAATCGGAAGATGTCAGCCAGGGTGTTCGGGAGATGGAACAGCTCTTCTCATACCTCGATGCTTTTGGTGCCCGCAAGAGGATCTCTTTCGATCTCTCACTCGCCAGAGGTCTAGACTACTACACTGGGCTCATCTACGAGGTAGTTACAGAAGGCTCAGCACCGCGCGTAAAAGGTCAGCAGCAAGAAATCGGCGTAGGAAGTGTCGCCGCCGGTGGTCGTTACGACGGGCTCGTGGGCATGTTCAGTGGCAAGCCTATTCCCTGCGTTGGCATATCTTTCGGCATCGATCGAATCATTAGCATCATGAAAGCCCGCGGCCAGTCGACACAGCGTGCCAAAGATGTCGATGCCTTCGTCGCAGCCTTTGGTGGTAAAGGCTTCACCGGCCTGTTGACAGAACGTATGCAAGTCGCTCAAGAGCTATGGGCTGCAGGCATCAAGGCTGAGTTCTCGTACAAACTGAAGCCGAAACTCCCTCAGCAATTCAAACAAGCTGAGGTGGCCGGTGTCCCGCTCCTCGTCATCCTTGGTGAGGATGAGCTCAAAGACGGCAAGGTCAAGATTAAGGTCCTGGGAATCAAAGATGACAACGACCCCGAGAAAGACGGTGTACTGGTGAACAGGACTGATATGATTGCCGAGATTCGGAAGCGACTACCAAGCGCAGCTTGATTGCAGTTGGCAGGCGGACTTCCAGACTGACAGTGCACTTATAGATACCCATAGACTACATTCTACAAGCTCCCCTACCCGGGGTTCACAGTGCCATTCGCAAGGACCAAATTTGGAGAGAGTCTAGAAGAACAAAAGCATGTGTACCTCGATCTAGGACGGACACGACGTTGATCCTTCCAGTCGGATGAATAACGGTTTCCCTAGCATTACTTGAGTCGGACGTGTATATATACAAAAAGTCTACCGGAAATCACCGTGGTGCTTGAGGGGTTTCTTATCATTCAAGTCCGCATTGATTTTGCTGTCGCGTTGTTAGGCAGACCAGAACTGTGCGGCACCAATCTGTGTGAGGACATTGTAGAGAACTTATTTCATCTGCGCAATAGGTCTTATGTACAGACGCATAACTGAAGGAAAAATCTCGCACTCTGCTGCCATGAGGTTTTGATTGGAATTGGGTAGTTGATGTCAGTTTGCGTGTCTAGTAGCCGTCCTTGCCCCACTTGTTGTATGTGTCATGGAGTTCCTACGCTCGTCAATACAGTCTGATTGCTGGTAATCAAGGGCGTCAGCTTACCTTGGGGAGAGTGACGTTGGGAATGACGACCACGTTAAGCGCAGAAGGCGCATCCTTCTTGACGCTGGTGTCACCTCCGGGGTGGTACTGGTATGGGCCTACACCACCATCCTGCTTCCAAGGCTCACTGCCTGCGGCCTTGGCGACAGCTCGTTCCGAAGAAGCACTGGTAGGAGAGCGGGCTTGCAATTGTCAGCATGTGAAGACGGGCGCACGAGGCAGAATCGATGTATCCGGGAACATACAGAAGTGCCATCCTGCCAGACCGAAAACACCGCTCATGATAGCGAACAGAACCTGTAGACGAATCAGCTATGCGCCCTGTATTGTCCAATTGACGTGTCGCATCCTACATAGAGCTCAGGGTCGCGCTTCGCTCCGGTCTTGAGGGCGTCCTTGCCGGCCTGTCTCTCGCCCTCAGCGGCGGCGCTGGCCCATCGTCGAAGAGCAGGCGTAGGACGGACACGCGGGGCGGCGCGGAAGGCGGAGCGGGCAATGATGGAGGACATGATGGGGGGTGAGTGGCGTGGACGGGATGCGAGCTATGGGATGCGTGCAGCGCGGAGCAGTGGTTCGATGTTGAATCTCGCGGACGCCAAGCTTGGCGGCTGCGTCACAGCGACGGCCATGCCGGAAACAGTCAGGCGGACCTTGCAGTGCGCCGGGCAACGTCGAAGGGTCGAGCATCAACTTTATGCGCCCCTTTCAGCGCAATCACACGTCTTGTCCATCGTTCCATTAGCCTTTCGGCGCCGCAGCCCTTCCATTCACTCACTTCCAGTCGCTCCTTCCCCTGCCGGTCGCCATCCTCGCCCATCCGCGCTCCCCGTATTCGTCGCGACCACGCGCTGCACAAGCCGTGACTTCCCTCCAGCCACACCCTCAGCTCTTTGATGTCATGCTGCGTGCCGAGAGTGTAATCGCGCCCGCAACCACATCACCATGGCCATGACGCCGTCCGAACAGAAGCGCAGCTCGACTGGCAGTCGCGTGTTGGGCATGACGGGCCCAGCAGGCGAGCCCGGCCTGCCACCCTCGCGACCGTCGTCGATTGCGACTGCCAATTCGGGCAGCCAGAACAGATGGTCCCAGGCCAGCCCTGCACGACGAGGCGGCGGCATGAGCGTCGCCGGCAGTCTAGGACACAGCCGCCCAACGACGTCTGCCAGTAGAACCCATGTTCCGCTGGCAGCCCACGGCTTCTTTCGCCCCATGAGCTCGCAGCGTCTTCAACAACAACGCAACCAGCGCCCCAATTCCCTCCTCGGCCACGGCTCGCTCTATTCCGACGCTACACACGAAACGGGCAGCAATCCGTACCGCCAGAGTACAGGCTCTACGCAAACAATTCGGCACGGCGCCCCAACCCTGGGCCTCCATCACGAGCTGGACCCGCAGCCTCCGCCGTCGCGCGGCACCGACATCACCGATAGAGACATGCCCGACCGCACCACAGCCAACACCACGCCCACGGGCGCAGAAACAGTGCGCAGTCGAGGCGAGAGCATCACTCCCCTGCAGCGACCCAGGCCTCAGCACCTGGATCTCTCCAATGTTCATGGCCACGATCCCGGCAAGCTCCCAACGCCCAGCAAATCGCCCCGCTCTTTCGGTTCCAGCTTCATGTTGTCCAGTCGCGACGGACGCTCAGCCCAAATACGACCCCATCAAGGACACGAGAAACTCACCTCTGCCGAGTCGTCACCCAGAATAGCCCGCAAAGAAGCTACTAAGGAGGCAGTCAAGCGGGAGCTCGGCAGGAACTACCAGTACTTCTCTGGCAATACCGCGTTTTGCTGGGGCGGTAGATTACAAAATACCCGCGACCGTCCAGTCAACGTCGCCACGGCAATCCTCATCATCTTACCTGCTGGCCTTTTTTTCGGCTTCTCGTTCGTGGACTCCCCTCCACTGCTATTGTTCCTCACGCTAACTATTACTATAGGGCCCCTTGGCTATGGACCAACGTTTCTCCATCGATACCCATCCTCTTTGCATATTTGCTTCTCGTCTCCATCTCCTCTTTCCTTCATGCTTCAGCTTCAGATCCGGGCGTATGTCATGCACCTCCTTTGTCATGAACACTACTAACGCCGTATAGATACTTCCGCGAAATCTACATCCATTCCCCCCTCCTAATCCTAATGACGATCCGCTCAGTCTCGGTCCGCCCACCACTGAGTGGACCATGGTGGTCTCCGCAACCGGTACGAATGCAGCTATGGAGGTGCCGACGAAATATTGCAAGAGTTGCAACATCTGGCGACCTCCACGTGCTCACCATTGCCGTGTATGTGACAATTGCATCGAGACGCAAGATCACCATTGCGTCTGGCTCAACAATTGCGTGGGACGCCGCAACTACCGTTACTTCTTTGTCTTCGTGTGCGCCACCACGTTGCTAGGTCTTTTCCTCCTGGGCGCTAGTCTGGCACACATACTAGTCTGGCGGGCGCAAACTGGAGCATCCTTTGGCGAGGCCATCGATCGATGGCGTGTACCCTTTGCCATGTGTATATACGGACTCCTCGGGTGGTCATATCCCTTCAGTCTTGGCATATACCATCTGTTCCTGGTTGGTAGGGGCGAAACGACACGTGAATATTTGAACTCACACAAGTTCCTCAAAAAGGATCGGCATAGGCCCTTCACGCAGGGCTCCGCGTTAAAAAACTGGGTTGCTGTATTACAGCGACCACGCCCACCGACCTATCTCCATTTCAAGAGAAAGTACGAGGAGGGCGACCAAAGGTTTGGCTCGCGCAAAGACAAACGGACTGCGCCTCTAGTGCCAGAGCAACAGGGCGGCGGGGTGGAGATGCAGGATGTTAGTGGGTCTGGGGCATTCCAGGGCCCAGCCAGTAGGTCAGGACGTGACGCTGCAGACGCGACTGTGGCATGAGACGCTGTTTCTGATCAGCGTGATCATGTGGTTAGCCCATCTTAAGTAATAGCTTCTTCACAATACACGAGTGCAGGCACGGCACCATATGATCGTTCGCATGCACTGATGAGTGACTTCCTTGATTATGTGTACATTCCATGATAACATTGCAGCGGGCTCGGTTTCGAAGACCCGGCCCGTACGTGCCGGTAATAAGACGGAATGCGAGGAGTGGTGGTGCTGGTAACATTGGATATACAGGGCACGACGGCCTAATCGGCTGACTGACTAGCTGCATGTGTTTACCTCCCCAAATCGTCCATCCGTCCATCTATCTCCCAACTTTGGCTCGATGCGCCTCCCAATGCATGCCCACACACTCTCCTAAACCGGACCGACAGTTGTACACGTTTCTTCGCGTGCTCTTTGCCTATCGCGCGCAGACTTTGGCAGTGTTGCTTCGTGAGCGCCGTTGACCCGCCCAAAGCGTCCACCTCCTTCGCGCGTCAGTGCCTCACCCCTCAAGACCACGACCACGACGCGTGCTCCTGCCTTGCCCGTCCGCTGTCATGGCCGAGCGCGATCTATCCCCAACTTCAACATCCTCTACGCTCTCGAACATCACGGTGCGAACTGACAAGCAGGGCGATGCTCGCGCCACGTCCAGCGCGTCGCCTTCCATCTCGACGCCACCTACCAGCCTCGGCGACGAAGCCAGCGTCATGTCCGAGATGACGAAGATCGAACAAGCTGTCGAAGTGTACGAGGAGGCTCCGGGCCTCCAAATGCTCGGCGAGACCTCAGCGTCCGCGCAAACCACCACGCCCGACGCCGTCAACAACGAGGCCCGCCGCCCTGCTAGGAGCTCGCGCAAGTCCGTCACCACGTACAACGTGCAGATTCTCGCCGGAACTGCGATTCATACGCCGACCAAATACCTTGAGAAGCACCACAAGAATGTCGTGCACGGCTCTCTTGAGGAGCTCGCGAGGAAGGAGAAAGCCACACCTATGCGAAAGAAGATGCTGAAGCGGAAGTCTGACATGACTGATGCCAGCGATCAGGTCGAGGATCAGCTGGCTGCCGAAGCCGCCCAGGCAGCACGACGTCGCACCTCCTCTCGCGTGACGGACCTTCGCAAGGAGGTCCTCCGCAAAAGCGGTGTCGGCGACACCGTCGCAAGCATGTACTCAGGGGGAAAGGCTTTCGTTAAAAGCACTTTACGGCGCAGTACTTCAGAGCCATCCTTCAAATCCGGCCAATCAGCTTCCCCCGCGGCTTCTCTCAAGCGGTCTCGCGATGCTCTTGAGGATGGAGATGCAGATAGCCAAGACCAGGAAGGAAAGATCTTCTCGCAGCCCAAGTCGAAAGTCTGGCTCAAGCAAGGTTTGTATGTTGGCCAGGATCGCGACTTTGATCCTCGTCTCTCAGAAAGCCAGAACCGCGCGAAGAAGAGGGCCAAGAAACCATGGCAGGCCACAATCTTGCCCCTCCCGATTTTTGCCTGCGAACGTCTATTGAACGAGGACCCAAAACATGTATTCCGCGATTTCAAGTTGCCATTCGATACTTACAGCCCTCTACCCAGAAAGGTTAAGGTCGACGGCTGGGTCAAACTCAACAAAAGTAACCTCACTATGATCCCACTCAGTCAACAATGCTAACGACATGCAGACAGGTTCATCGGCGACGCATCTGCGCTGTGGAAACGCGACAAGCAAGACTCCTCCCAATGCTATTGCGATGAAGAAGATGGCTGTGGAGAGTCCTGTCACAATCGGATCATGGCGTATGAATGTGACAAAACCAACTGTCCACTGCCTCCGGACCTATGTAACAATCGGCCATTCGCAGAGCTCAAGAAGCGTGCAAAAGGCAACCGTTATGACTATGGTGTGGAAGTTCTCGATACAAAAGACCGAGGGTTCGGTGTTCGTGCTATGCGAACGTTCGAGCCACACCAGATCATCGTAGAATATGCTGGAGAGATCATTACCCAGTCTGAATGCGAGCGACGCATGAAACAGGTCTACAAGAAAGACAAGGTACGTTGTCAAGGTCTTGCCATACAGATTTCTGCTAATCCTCTGCAGTGCTATTATCTCATGAGCTTCGACAACAAAATGATCATTGATGCGACTCGTGGGACTATTGCTCGATTCGTTAATCACTCGTGTGAACCCAACTGCGAGATGATCAAGTGGACTGTGGGTGGAGAGCCTCGGATGGCGCTGTTCGCCGGTCCCCGCGGCATCATGACTGGCGATGAGCTGACCTACGATTACAATTTTGAGTAAGTCATGTCCTATAACATATATGTTGAACCGTTCTGACTTCCTTAGTCCGTTTTCCCAAAAGAACATTCAGGAATGCCGCTGTGGCACTGAATCATGCCGTGGGGTCCTCGGTCCCAAGCCAAAGAAACCCATTGAAGAGAAGTCAATAGCTTCAGTGCTCATCACAGGCACGAAACGCAAGCTGCAGGATTTGCTCGGTCCTCGAAGGCCTGGTTCTGAAAGCACCCAAAGCTCCCCCAAGAAGCGCAGGATGCTTGCAGGCAACTCAGCTAGCGCCAAGGCGAAAAATGCTGTCGCTCGATTGGAGTCTGCTCGTGAGCGAGTCGAGAGGGAAGCAGATGCGCTGTCGCGCCAGAATGCATCCCGCGAAAACCGCGCTCTAAAGCGATCAAGTTCCGGAACTCTTGATAAACGTACGAGATCAGCTAATCTCCGGACGGCGAAGCCATTTACCGTCAAATCTACCCGACACACAACCGTCAGCTTTCAAAGGAAGGTTACTAGGCCTGGTGCACTGAAGAAGGTCAAGAAGCCTACTCGACCACTGTCAAGCAGAAAGGCACTTCGCTCCCAACGACCGAGCACGCCAAATCGAGAAACGAGCACTGAGGTACTGGATTCAGAGGATAATGCTTCACCAAACATAACCCCTGCATCTTTACGCAGCGCTTCTAAGAAATCGCCTTACACCAGCCCTGTCTCACGAGAGCCTCTTGCAAAGGGCGCCACGACTGCAGTGAAAGACCATGTTTCACACAAACCTTCGGTACGGAGCCTACGAGGAAGGTGATGAACGTGTCATTAAACTCTGTTGTATCGTAGCTTTGTTTCAACCCACATCATGCGGCAGATTTTCGCGAAGGGCTATCTGACTTGAACAGGCTTGCTGGGCTGTTTCCCAGTGACTTCAGATGTGTATGTACAGGTAGTCCTCTCCGGTTTTTAACGTGAACAATAGAATGATGGTTCCATGCGAATAGTAACTATTGCGGCGTGATGTGTCAATGCTTTGTTCACATTTTTGCCGCTACCCAGTGGTCGTGTTGTAAAGCTCCTCCTGTTGGTAATATCTAAATCAGTGGAGAGATGTCCATATCTGTGATGCACAAACGCCTCTCCATCGCCATGTCGGTGAGACTATATCATACCGTTCGAAAGCAAACACAGCGGTAAAGATCACGCTGACACATTGAGACACGCAGTTGTCGCAAGTGCTTACAGATAGAAGATGTATGTGGCGAACGAGTATGTACATATCATTAAGCTCCCTCTGAACGATCGCTGCCCTCAATACAAAGACCAAAGTCAGAAACCATCCCCCAAGAACTCAACCTGGCGTACGCATTAGATACTAGATACATAATTTATAAGGAAAGAAGATGCCACGCCGTAAGCAGAACAAGACTCCAATCCCATCGCCGCATATGTTGTTGTGGTCGATCGGCCATGTCGGAAGATTCTCGCATGTTTTTTTATCGGCATTATAGCAAGGCTTTGAGGCGACTTGTATCCGCGTACTTGTCAATTGGCGTAAGTACTTGGACAAATCCCCTTGTTATCGTGTAAAAAGGGATGATCGAAGTGAAAGCGGTGATGAGCTGAGACGGCATCAATCTGTAGTCGTTGGGTGTGATGCAACTACAGGCAGTGTCTCTCTGTCGAGTCTCTGTCGAGAGAGGGAGGAAGAGAGGAGAGTGATCTATTGGACGGTACAGCCGCCACTGACGCCGCCAAGTTGGACGGTGCAGCCGTTGACGCCGCCTTTGGCATTGCGTTGGATGGTGCAGCCGCCTTTGGTGCCGCCTTTGGCAATGCGTTGGACGGTGCAGCCGCCTTTGACGCCACGATGAAGGGCCATGCTGACAGTTGAGTTGGCTTGGGTGGTTTGAGGTGATTGAAGGATATGTAGAGAGCTTGAAATTGTAGGTAGATAGTGTTCTGTTGGCTGGAAGAACAATAAATTTACGGACCATGAGCACCGTTTTATACAACGGAAAAGAGTATATGGGAAAGGACGAAGCTTCCTTTGTGGCTGTTGTTGTCAAAAGGTCCAGAGCATGGTCCCGACAAGGGTAAGGCCCTCGATGTTAGCTTACTATTGTTCTCGGACATGGTATGTCATACCACGTGACTTTGCTTACTATTGTTCCAAAGCCATTGCACCTGTAAAGAATGAGAACAAAGGAGATTCAAGCGGCAGAGAAAAGTCTCGACAAGGTTCTGTGCCGAATTCTAAGCAAGGGGTGATCTGAGTCGCCGACTATTGTGTCCAGTAGAGTGGGCCCGATTCACGACCTCAACAGCTAGTCGGTCGATCTAAACATCACATTGGTTGGTATGGCAATGTACATTTTCCTCAGTAGGAAAGTCCCTGCATGTTGCAAGTCATGTCAGTTGGGAAGGAGCAAGTGAGTTTCCACGTGGGAAATATTCACTGCTGAAGGTTCGCCTGTTGCCATGAATGAGCGAACACAGGCATACCGTCACAAATGTTCTCTCGGTCAAGGAGCTAATGGGTATCTAAAGTCTTCAAAGAGAAGCAGCGTGATGAGGTGGATAATAAACGTGATTTAGAGACTCAATGAGCTATGCAAAGGTACCGGTGTACGAGCACTCAAGGTCATATGTCTCCGGTGCTTCCGGACGGCAAGCGAAATCCTTACATATGCATGACTTCCGAATCGAGAAGATTGGCGGTAACATTGTCGATCGAGCGAATGGTAGAGTGATGGTTTGCTCCGAGTTGTATACGCTGCCATTCCTTAGACGTCAGCGTGCCTGCGCGCAGAGGAGTCGGCTATGAGGATCGGACAAGCTGCCTCTGAGTTCCGAACCAAATATTTGGTACTTGGTGTCCAAATTATAGAATATATGCAAGCTCAGGGCTCATGTGTAGTATCAAGATGGTATTGAGATTGTTGTGACGCAACGGTGGGTAACGCGACGATGACTAATAATTTCCCGACGGGCATGCTGCTGCAGGGTAACCGTCCAAGACATCACATTATCACGAGCAATCCGCAGTCCACCAATGACGATGTACGCGATGAGGCTACTTGCTCGCTGCAGCTACGGCCTGCCTTTACGCCGCGCATTCCAGACGGCCGCTGCTCCCTCGGTCCGTGCCCCGGAGTTTGCTTTCGCTTTCGAGTAAGGCATGCGCACCATCAGCTTCTCAACACAGCAGCTGACGGCTGTCAGTATCGATGGAGTGCTCCTAAGAAGTTCAGATCCGCTGCCCCGAGCTCAAAAGGCCCTCTCTTACCTGCAGTCACAGGGCATTCCCTTCATACTTCTTACCAATGGCGGCGGCAAACATGAATCCGACCGCGTGGCCGAGTTGAGCAGTAAACTGGATGTGTCTATCGATGCATCCATGTTCGTTCAAAGCCATACCCCCTTCGCCGACATGGACGACCTCAAGGACAAGACGGTCATGGTGGTGGGTGGTGTGGAGGATAAATGCAGGAAGGTCGCTGAGGCATACGGGTATGACGGAACGACATTACATGGGGCTACAGCATTCTAACAGATTGCATAGTTTCAAGAATGTAGTTATACCTGGCGATATCATGGTTGCTCACCCGGATGTATGGCCATTCTCGCAGCAACTACTGTCCTACTACAAGACCTTTACTCGACCGCTACCCGTCCCTATCGACGTTGACTCGCCATCTAGATCGCTCCGCATCGATGCAGTCTTTGTATACAACGATCCTCGAGACTGGGGGTTGGACGCGCAGATCATCAAGGATGTCTTGTTATCAGAGCATGGCATCGTTGGAACTTTGTCACAGAAGAACGGCAATCCAGCTCTGGAGAATCGTGGCTACCAACAAGATGGACAGCCCCCACTATACTTCTCAAACCCAGACCTGCTATGGGCGGCAAAATATCACCTGCCACGTCTCGGTCAGGGCGGCTTTCGCGAAGCTTTCGAGGGTATCTGGGCTGCGATAACTGGCGGACAGACACAAGGTGTTAAGCTGCAGAAAGTCGTAATGGGCAAACCACACCGACCTACGTACGAGTTCGCTGAGAAGCGTCTGATAGCGCATCGGCATCATTTGATGCAAAACTATGGTAGTCCGCTGGGCCATCTGAAGCGCGTGTACATGGTCGGTGACAATCCCGCCAGTGACATTGCTGGCGGTAACAACTACCAGAGTCCGCATGGTACAGATTGGGCTAGTGTGTTAGTGGAAACAGGTGTCTACAAGAAGGGTACAACACCGTCGCCTGAGCCGCGCAAGATCGTGAGCGATGTTTGGGACGCTGTAGCGTGGGCTGTCGCGCAGGAAAAGTGGGCATCTTCAGCAGATGCTCCGTGATATTGAATTATGTACATGTATTGTCATTGCAGATATGATGATGCTCTTGGAGTGTCTCATAACAAGACTTCATTCCAACCTTCTGGGATACATCATCAGAACCGTGCGCATGAGTCGTCTGTTAATAGACTTTCACACCCAACCTACTGCTGCTCCAACCACTGCACAAACATCAAACCGCCGGACCCAAGGACCTCAGCCGTAGCCACCGGTTTGCTGTCTTCGATCCTTCCCGTTTCTAGATTTCGGCTATAGACAGCAACGTTCTTGCTAAATTGGTTCGCAATCGCAATCATGGATCCGTCCTTATTCATGTTGAAGTGGCGAGGGTAGTATCCGCCTGATTTGGCGAGTTGGACAAACGACAACCTTCCGTCCGCTGTCGGCTTGAATGTTGCAAGTGAGTCACTTGGAACCTGGGTGCTGTTCTTTGGGTCGGGATTGTCTACTTTGAACACCGTGCCGTTACGATTCGCCGCAACGAGGAACTTGTTGTCGGGTGACAATATCATCTCCGAGGCATATGACACTGGCGGGAGCGTAGTGTTGCCATATGTGCTGACCTCGTCGACCTCGGTGAATTCCAGGCCGCCGCACTCAGGGTAGTCTACTTTGTAGCTGATGATCTTGTTGCTTTTCTCGTGGACGACAAAGAGGTATGTGGTCTTAGAATCGGGGCTTGTCCAGAAAACTGCATGCCGAGGACCGTATTCCGGCTTTGATTTGAGTGGCTCGTGTTCGGTGAGCTGGTGGCTTGCGGGATCGATACAATATACGTGGACTAGATTGGCACCGAGACTAGGGAAGATCATGAATTGGCCTGTGGGGTCGAGGACAGCCTGGTGGATCTGTTCAGGCTTCTCGAAGGTGAAGTTCTGTAGGGATGAGAACTTGTTGCTTCCGTCGATGGTGAAGAGTGAGATTGCTGCCTGGGGGCCATACTATTTGGATTGTTAGTACATGTTCATCAAGGATTAGAAAGAGAGGGTTGTACGTACATGGGCAAGGGCAAGCGCCGTTCCGTTGTTGTAGGATATCGAAGACACCGCTCCTCCCAAAACCGGGCTGCTCGAAATCTTGCTGAGGCTGCCATCAGCACCAACGCTCAACATTGTAAGGTTGGCACCAATTTCTACTTCGTCTAGACACACTATCCTTTCACGACCAAGGGAAGCATCGAGCCATGTGGGTAACTTCCCACACTCATAGCTCTCATGAGTAACCTTCATCGTTTGGCTAGTGTTTTCGTTTGTGCTAGGTGGTAGTTCGAGAGTCTGGATAGCGCCAGGAGTAGTGTCATTTCCATATGATGCGACGAGGAGCCGACCCGCGGCTACTTGTCCTATAGTCGCTAACGCGATGAGTAAAGTGTTCATTGCTGCTGATAATGAAGGTATGGAGTTGTGTAGTAATACAGAGGGACCAAGACTTGTGTGGTTGTAAGAAGAAGGGAGGGCGTTGTATCGTAGGGATTATATTTTGTATCAAAGATCTATGAAACTGTGAAATGCAAAGAGAGACAGAGTAAGGAATGTGAAATGGGTCCTTGTGAATAGATGCGGGGAATCACAACCTTTGTTCTCATCGCGTGTGTATATAGTGATGCGTGTCGCATGTTTCACATTAACCGCCATGGGTCCTGTCAATAGGGATTTAGGTTTTAGTAGGACCGACAGATCCTAGGCACCGAGTTCAGCTCTAAGGGGCGGGTGTTTCCGTAAACGCGTGTGTGAGGGTCTTGATTGGTGAGTGCGGGGTTGAGCGTGAGCTGTGTCTCGGTGTTACTCGGTGATAGCCCAAAACACCAGTCGCGCTAGTGCGTCATGTCGCCATCTCTGCGCGCACGCGCTTGTGCGATGACCTCTTCACGAGTCCAAATGCATGTACGCATGCTCACATGCAGCCACACTAATCATGTCTACTTCCTCTTCCAGTTATGCCAACTATCTCCCGAACGAACTGTTGCTTGAGATCTTGGCGTACTTTGCATCGTGGGGCGAGATCGAGAGGCAAACCGCGCTTGCACGCTTTTCCGCTGTCAATAGGTAATGTGTCGCATTGAGGATCCTGGTCACATGAGCTTACATCAGTAGACAGTGGTATGATGTATGTGAATGCCATGCTACGGGCCATCAAACGTGTTGTGACTAATTTGGCTGTTCGATGCATAGATAGCAGTTCAACCACTATACGAATCACCATATCTATCAGGAAGTGCGTACGATCTCTTTGTACGAACGATATGTCCTTCTGTGCTAGCCCGCATCAAGGTAAGGATATTCCGAGTAGTTGGTGATACATGCTAACCTATCACAAGCCCACAGCATTGTCAAGTCTAGTAAAGTCGCTGGACTTATCCCACATCGTACATCAAGGCGCCAAATCGACAACAGCTAGATTGCTAGGCCGAACGAGATTATCTCTTGAAGTCTTCGTAGCACCTCAAGCTAGCTTTGCAATCAACTGCTGGGCTAGCCTGAGCAAATGCACCCGGCTACGCGTTCTCGACCTGAGCCTGTTGGTAAACCCCAGACACACGATCTTTGTTCGAATCGTAAACTGACATGCTCTTCTAAAACCAGGGTATCCGAATGCATCAGTTTCCAAAGCTTAAACCAAACGATACGGCAACTTGGGGATCTACGCGAGCTTTACTTGCCTCGCTGTTCATCTAGATATGAACCCTCCGCCACACCCGGTGGTCCCAGTATTCGCTGGCCACCTAACCTGGAACACCTCGCTCTATCTGGATCGGTCTCTGGTCAATTCCTATGGGATATGCTACGACAACCGGCCAACTTCCCTCCGACTTTCTCTTCGCTGAGTATTCACCATAGTCCAGGTCTAGATCAGTACGTCAAGACTCTATTGCAACGAGTTCACCGTACGACTGCCACTGGAGGATTGGATGCTAACATAAAGACCGCAGGCAAGGTATCAGACCCCTACTTGACAGCCTATCTGCATCGCTTACGGTCGTCGAACTCCGCGATCTACCAGCCGTCAAACAAGGCCGATTGAACAGTGTACTAGACTGGCTACCAAACCTCGTCTCTCTAACCATAGCACTAGACTACATCGACAGTCGATTCGGAAACATGCCACCAGATTTCTCACCAGCCCGATGGCAAGAAGCCAAGCCACTATACAAACTGACTCTCCTCGCTTGTGGACGGACGGGTGATCCCTCACGTAGTTTCACGATGACTGATCTCTTCACCTTAATAGACGAACGGTATCTAGGCCGTTTGCGCTATCTAAACATAGGACATAGCACGGAGTGGCAAATTGAGGATGAAGTGCTGGGCGCACTCGAGTCCAGTGTATATGAGCAGGACAAGGAGAGTTGGTTGGGCCGCAGATGGCACTACGAAGACGTGGATTTCACGGATACGAGGGGTTTGGAATACGAGCAATGGATCACAGACATGGCGATTGGGAGGGAAATGAGACCTCGGTTTCGGCTTTTGAGGAATCGATAGTTGAACTGCTTGGTGATACTCAGCACTTGCTCACGTTCTCATTCTAATGTATAGTTCAACGCATTACTCATTGAGCTGATAATTGAATATAAGTTAGCACTCCTAGTCACATGTGCTACTCAGAAAAGAAAACCCCGAAGACAGTGTATCGCGAAGCCTAAAGTATACCCAAACCATCTAAGACTGACAATAATGAAAAGGATGTAACACTCAGAAATACATTTTGGTTCGATCGCCTCCTTGTGTCCCCAATTGCTCTCCCTAGTCGTCACCCAAGACAATCCTTCTTCTCCTCCAGCCACTCAACGGCCTGACGCTCTCCCTCTCCACCTCTCTCCCGCCAACCCTATGATAGCTTCTCCACTTCTTCTGCTCGGTCTCCTTCTCTTTCTCCTCGAAAGGAGAGTCGCCCCAGAAGCTATCTCGTCGTGTACGGGTCCTTTCCCGTGAGGTAGACCGCTCACGAGACTCCCAACGCTCATCCACCCACCACTTCTCACTACGATGGAAAGGATCGCATGAGGGTGAGAGAAGCGAGAAAGTATGGTGATGGTGCGACGAGTGTGGACGGCTGAACTTAGCGTTGATGCCGAGGCGGAAAGCTTGGTCGTCTGGCTCGGAAGAAGCGGCGCGGTCTGAGGAGTATTCGTACGTACGTCGTGTGTCGTAGCTACGGCGTCTGTTCTCGTCTTCCGCATCGTTTTGGGGGCGCCGAGTGTCAGTCCAGACGTTGAAGCGCTCGAGTTGAGAGGGCTGATCCCGTACTGTTAGGGAGCGGGATGACCTGACTGGCTTATGGTTGGACGAGTAGGGGTAGTCATCATGGCCATCTTCGTCATCGAGATCTGAGAGTGTGATGCTCCGCCGGTGTTTGCTGGAGTCGTGATGAACGAGAGGACGTGAGTAGTAAGATTCATACTCTGGAGTGCGCTCGCGGGTGCGAGTACGCGTTAGGTGCAGGTATGACATAGTCGGCTGCCTGGTGCGGCTGATTAGTCAGGCCTTGAGATGATGACTGTGATTTGGTAGGTATGGAATGATTGTAATGACAATGCTCAGGAGAAAGTTATGCGTTTTGCAATGTCAATGGATTGCAGGCACTTATATTCGTACAGGTAAGGACTGGAGAAGTAAGCCCACTGTCCTCCAGAACCCTCTTATATTATCTGACGAAATGTTTCAACTGCCTAGACGACTTAGAAATCACCTTGTTTGGCTAGCATGGGCTCCATGAATTTCAACGTGCACCGCCTCTTTTTCTGCGGCTCGATTGTGGCTTGTGCAAACCGCTCCAGGATTTGATTGGCTGCGCCCACTGTCGGCGTGCTCCGCGTGAACGATTATTTACCGATGAGTTCCTGACCGCCAGAACATTGAGGCTTGAATGGAGTCTTCAGAGTTGCCTAAGTATATGATCCTAAGGGCCCCTGCAGTGTGTATCGTGGAAGGGTCATGGCAGCTGAATGTGCGGTCGCCACTACGAGGCTGTGACAATGTGGAGGTGTGGGGGCCGAAAACACGACGGTGAACGTTGGGTTTGTGTAATCAAGGTGCGAAAACGTAGCGGGTAATCTCCGATGTTGAGCTGGATGCCTACAGCATAACTCCATGTTGTCCCGATGTCTATGCTGATGTCTCTGGTTATTCGCTCTCGTGGGTACCTCGCCGGTTGGAGCTTACGACGCTCAAAGGGTCATGCGCTTTGGATGAATCATTGTTTGGGTCAGGGGCTCCTTTTTCAGCCTTCTCGTTAGTAAGGTTTGGTCAAGAACAGCGAGTATTGGTATGACGATGTCGCAATTGAGAGATGGGCAGTGAAGAGCATGACCAAAATTATGATCCATGTAGGCGATGTCCTTCGTCGCAGTGGCAGTGACTCATCGGTTGCGCACTTGCACGTCGTAGTCATTCGGATATTGATGTCTCCTAATCCAGGAGGCCTGCAATAAAGACTGACCAGGCGGTTGACGCACACTGATTGAAGAGCATTGGGAATCTTCCCCATGTGACCCTTACGAACAAGTGTGCTGCCTGGGAGGTGCCATTGTTGGCCAGCCACACAGATAACGTCACCCAAAACCTTCGTCCTGTTTCTCACGGATCTTCGCTGCCTTCTCGTTCGGCTCATCGCCTCGTCGACTGCCTACGCAGCTCTTGTACCTTTCTCTCTCCAGCTATTCCTGTTGCTTCTCTTAGCGCTTCTCACGAAATAGCCTTATCTGCAGGTTCGGATTTCAGCGCAGTAGTCAAATTAATTAGACTGATTAAATGTAGACAGTATTGTGGCTTATAAACGTCAGATTAGAAGCCAGACTGTTGGCCTTACATTGGTATACAAGATAAAAGCCGAACAGGTCTACAGACTACATAAAGATAGAAACTTGCAAAGCAGGTTACTTAGCGTTAATGTAGGCTCTAGGGTGTTAGACTTTCATTAGGTTAGTGAAGGCGTAAACGTACTGACAGCACGTTCGGGACTGGGCTGTTAGTCGCTACGTCTGCGTGTGTGAAGAGACGGAGGCAGCGCTTGAGTATGCATGCGCTATACCAGCCTGGTTACAGGATCACACAGGGCACGAGATACGAAATCAATCGTGATTCATGGGTCGCAATCAACAATTAGAGGTCTGTCGTGGAGGTATACAATACGGTACCTAGGTATGTTCGAGGATATGTGTGGGTGTGAGCCATTGCGTATGCTTCTAGAGCGTAGTGTATCCGAGCGTGCTGAAAAAAGAATGGACGTCTTCGCGTTCCCTTGAATTCGATCCTTCTCGTTGGTGGTATAATTGCATCTAGACGCTTGTGCATTGGAGAGGCGGAGGGACTCAGATGCCGGTCAGCTGCAACGCGTTCTTTGTACCGCCACTGCCGCGATAGTGCATGCACAACACCTGGAAGCGTCGCCATATAAGGCAGGTATGGGTCCTAGTGCTGATGTGAATCTTGGAGGATCGCTGAACCGTCGCTGTCGTTGGTCGTAAAGTTGCAGCGTGGTGCATGAGACTTCGGAGATTGTGACAACGCCCGGCAGCGCTTGGCGTGCTCGTCGACGTTCGGCTAGCCACGATGAGGCTTGCCCTGCGGCACAGCGCGCGAACTTACTCACTTCGAGAACATGGCGGGACGCAAGGGGCCTGAGTGTCTGAGGGCGCTGGAGGCTCTCGCTGTCTCCTTACCAATGCCAGATTGACGGCATGAGGGAGCGCCGCACCGACATGCACCTTCCGCCAGAGCTCTTGACGCTATTATTTCTAGCGAACGCCGCAGCAGCTGTCCCTCGTGCGCAACCAACATCGTACCAACTTGAGGGCATACACGCTAATTGCAAACAGAGACCTCTTTCTTACCCAACGTCACCGAGATTGCTCCCACCCAACAGTCGACCGTATCGATCGCGGCGCAGATAACAGAACCGTCCGATGCCACTGCTACCGAGAGTTCTGTAGATCGGGTCGACGTGAAGGTCGAAGTGTGTACTCTCGACGCCAGCAGCTGTTGTTCTATCGATCCGGGTAGTTGTGGTGGCTTGCAATGGATTGTTCTTCCGTCTGCCACAGGTTGGGGACTGACGGGTCCAGCTACCGATCGCCTCGTGACACTTACTCCGACCGCCACGACTGTCACGACGACTCGGCCGACCATCCTCAACCTCGAGACCAACGTCCTCGTATGGGGGACCGAACAAGAAAGCGAGGGCAGTGCTGGACAGCCGGGCCTCATCATAGGACCGAGCACAGTCAGGGCTTCGAACACGATGGGAGAAGAACCCGGTGCTACAGGATCGGCGCAACAGCAGATAGAGCAGAACAGTCTCCTACTGCAGATAGTCTCTCAGATTGGGCGCGCACCATCGAATGTGCAGCCAGCTCAACCCGCATCTCCTGCGACAGAAAACCCTGGTCAAACTGTAGCGCCCATCGATAACCATAATGGAGGTGATAGTGCGCTTGCCCAGCCAGCAACCACTCCCGACTCTGGCATGGCGAGCAATACGGACATGATATCTCCACCACAAACAGCGCCAGCAGTAGCCATTGGCGAATTTGTATATGGAACACAGACGTTAACGCTTACGGCTGGTCTTAGCACCAACATCGGGAGCAACTTCTTCCCTACCTTTGTAGGATTAACGACTGACGCCGAAGGTAACACTTTGGTCTCGGTCTTTTCGGACGGAACTGCTGTCATTGCCACTGTGCGTGTTGCGCCTACTACAATGGTTGTACCAAGATCTGGCTTCGAAGCAAGTACCACTGATGCTGCAAATCCTGGTGAGCAAACTGGCGGTTTGGCTACTACCTCCAGCAAGGAGGCTGGAGCCGGGAGGAGGCGTAAACTGGAGTGGTGGATGGGTGTCGTTTTGGGCGCACTTAGCTTCGGAGCGATATTCTAGTAACAGGTGACATGAGCATTCGATTCATGCCGCCTTAACATAATGATGTTCTAATGAACAATAAGTCGCGATCATGCGCGCAATCACCTGTCAAACTGCACACTCATAGATTCCCGAGCCTCCACCTTAGACAAGCAAGAAGCTAAACAGGCCTGCAGCCTACATGAAGATCATGATGTATAAAGTAGGTAACCTTACGTTAACGTAGGCTCTAAGGTGTTTAGTTTTTTCCTTAGATAAGGTGCCTCTGCCGTGCCCTACTACTTGTTCCACCGAAGCCGGCTCCGCTCTCTGTTGTCTCTTGCTCGCGCTCCTGGCTGAATCCAGCATGTGAGAACCAAGAATCGAGGCTGGAGAAAAGGTGATAAATTCAATTGTGTGTGGAGGCGGGAAGGACGGTAGTTCATGTCAGATACTGGTTGTTTTCAATGCGTCTTTCGATAGTAATATTGTCTATGCACTTGCTGTCAGTAGATACGGATAACTAACGAATCTTGGTTGTGTTCATTGCTTGAACCCATGGTTTCCAGAAATCCTCAATACCGCGCTCGTAATTCCAACCAGTCCAGTTGTAGTTTGTCATACCCCACGTATCTGGGAAACCCTGAACACCCGATCTGATTCTGTACGAACCAGCGATAGACCACATCATCCAGCTGATGTCGTTCTCGATGGTGTACTCCTTCAAGCAGTTTTGTAGTGTGTTATTGAAGAGTGTCTCGTCTTGCGCACTACCGAACTCGCTCAGGATGACTGGTGTCTCGCGCACAGCCTTCGGGCAGTCACCCGTAATGTTGCAGGCGGCTGGTGCATCAATGCCCAGAGCATTGAAGCCGTTGCGGTAGAAGTTTGCCTTGACGATGTCGCAGGTGCCCGTGTCGATGTCCTCACTCATGCTGTAGAGATGGAGTTCCCAGACAAGCTTATCAGCCCAGGGGTGATCGTCGAGATTGAAGTACACTGGCTCCCTCCTCGCGGCGTCGCGAATCGCGGTGCACTTGTAGCATGGAGCGGTGAGAATGTTCTTGCCGCTAGTGAGTGCTGACAGATCTTGCCCGTACTGCATACCTCCCCAGAGGATAAGAAGATCAGGGTTGGCCTCGTGAATTGCGTCAGCGCCAGCGGTCATATTGCCGACGAGGGTGTCCCAGTTGTAATAGAGATCCGTGACGTTCCAAGATTCGCGCAGCTCGTTGCGAAGAGACATACTAACTACGTTTGGGTGATCCTTTGCCCAATTGGCAACATAGGAAAGACCGCGGCGCCAGTGCGTTGCGTTGAACTCAAGGTCGTCGAACCATGCGGTACCGTCGATGTGTGAGCAGCACCACTGCGCTTTGCCTGTGTGCACATCTGGGCTGATGAAAATGCCTTTGGTAGCAGCGATGCGTGCGATGTCGCTCCAGATCTCGAATCGAGTGGTCTGAGCTGTCCAACCAGGGTTCTTCTCGATGATATCGTTGGTTACTTTGGTGCCGTTCACATAGCCCAGGGCGTTGATGAGGCCAACCTCGAGTGGCACGTCAACGCCGTTTCGATCGTAGACTTGGTCAATCATCTCAATGGCGTAGCCCATGCGGATGTAGTTGAAGCCAACACCCGCGATGTCATCAAGAATCTCTTCCGCTGACGCCCACTCAAGTCCTTCAGGAACCATAGTCTCGCCTACAGAGGATCTCAGTTTCTTGCAGTGGGGCATGAGTCTGAACTTGATACATACCACTCATTGGCCAGTTAACACCAGCCCAAGTCGTCTTTTCGCCATTGCTATCAACAATATCTCGGCCTCTGGTACTGTACGGACCGTTGAAAGATGGAGACGTGCTGTTCGTTGCCTGTCGACGCGCATTGTACCGGAAAGCAGTGTGGCTCGAAACTTCGGGCAAGTATCCTGCCGAAACGACAGCGCCAGCAAATGCTGTGCCAAGTAAAACGCGCAGTCCCAGCATGGTCAGTGAATTGAGTGATGCCTTGCGGGGTGTGGCATAGACACTGGGTACATTCGGACCTTTATACTTCTCGGTACAGCCATCGTGAACAGCTAACTGGGAAGAGCCTCAATGCCCGTCGGTAGGCTTGCTCAATGTAAGCCAAAATCCGATGATCATCGTCACTTCTCGCCGGGTTGTCGGATAAAAGCTGTCCGAGTAAGGGTACATCCTCCGCATTTGCGGGGAAACATACGAGAAATTAGTACTTGGCAGACTGACGCTCTCACCACGGAGATTCCGCCGGCGCAGAGCCCAGCGGAAGTGTTACGCTTTTCGAACTAACAGGTTTAGCTCAGCTTTTGGTCTTAGGCACTCAAGACTCAGTTTAAGCGTTGCTGTGAGCCATGAAGGGTGCCGTTGTTCGGCTATACCTAGGGAATGGCTTATCTTATCGACACGTGCAGCGTGTTCCTAGCGCGTTTCTGAGTCCCTTCACGCCACACGACTTGAGCCCGCCCTCAATGAGACGTCATCTTTCGCACAAACCGTCATGGACGCATTGTTGGAAGGGCTTAACGACGCGCAGAAGAGCGCGGTGACAAGTCCCGCCAATGTTGTTCAAGTGCTCGCGCCGCCGGGGTCAGGCAAGACCAAAACACTTACAGCACGCGTCGCGTACCACATCAATCACGAGCGACTACAACCATGGAACATCATCGTATGCACGTTCACCATCAAGGCCGCACGGGAGATGAAGGAAAGAATCAAGGGTTTTGTTGGAGAGAAACTTGAGGCGAAACTGATTCTGGGTACCTTCCATTCGGTCGCGCGTCGCTTCCTGTCTCGGTACGGTCAAGAGATTGGGATTGATAAGAACTTTGGCATCGCGGATACTAGCGACAGCACAGCAATATTGAAGCGTATCGTGACGCGCCATCAGTACACAGTAGAGCCTGGCCATGCTCGCTCCAGGATCTCCAAGTTGAAAGCCAAGGGCGTCACGGCCGACGACTTTCGCAGAACAGCTAAGAATGTCAACGATAACGAGTTTGCTATGGTATATTCGTCCTACCAGGAACACTTAGCCGCCTCAAATCTCCTCGACTATGACGACCTCCTCGTCCGCTGTGTGGATCTGTTAAGAAAATCACCATCTTGTGTCTCGACGATACAGGCTGTACTCATTGACGAGTATCAGGATACCAACAACATCCAGTATGAGTTGATGAGATTGTTATCTCAGAAAACAAGACGTATTACCATCGTCGGTGATCCGGACCAGAGCATATACAGCTTCCGATCAGCCGAGATCAAGAATTTGCTGCGGATGCGCACTGATTACCCAGAATCAGTTGTGATCAATTTGGAGAACAACTATCGATCTTCGGGATGCATCCTAAGCTCCGCTATGGCTGTCATAGAGCAGGATGAGAGTCGGCCACAGAAGTCGCTGATTGCTACCCACGGTGTCGGCGAGCAACCCACTCTTCGCCATCTTATATCGGCGAATGTGGAGGCAAAATGGATCGTTGAAGAGATACACCGGACCAAAACGCTTACAGCCGGGCTGTTGAGCTTCAATGACTACGCTATACTTGTGCGATCGTCTCCACTCACACTACAGATTGAGAGAGCGCTCGGACAAGCTGGAATTCCGTATCGCATGGTCGCTGGCACGAAATTCTTCGACCGTGCGGAAATCAAAATTATCTTGGACTACCTCCGTGTGATAAGCCAGCCTGAACACAACGATGCGGTAGCGCGTGTCATCAACGTACCTTCTCGGAAGGTCGGCGATACTACTGTCAAGGCCCTTCTCGAAGAAGCAGAGATCAGGAAAGTGACCTTGTGGAAGTTAGTGCTTGACGTGGCTCAAGGCAGAAGAAAGCCGGAAAGCAAAGTGTCCGCCCAGGCGCAGAAGGGTATTGAGCAGTTCGTCAATGTTATCATCACCTCTCGCGAGAAGCTTCTTCCTGCTAAAGGCGAAGACTGCAACCTGCTAGGTCTTATATCGCACGTCACAACCAAGATTTCTTTCCAGTCCTATCTCAAGCAGGCGCACAAAGAGAACTGGCAAGATCGATGGGCCAACGTGGAGGAGCTGGTGAATCAGGCGACACAAATGGCTACAGCAGTCGCCAATGGAGAAGAGATCTCTGACGACGCCTTGCCAGCAGTAGAAGGCATCGAACAGCGGCACGACACTGCAGCTGATATCTTGTCCAAGTTTCTAGCCAATGTCACCCTCTCGAGCGCGGCAGACCAGGAGGGCAGTGAACTAGACCAGGTCACCATCTCCACCATTCACGCAGCAAAGGGTCTTGAATGGCCTGTGGTCTTCATGCCTGCTGTTTACGACGGATCCATCCCCCATTCCCGAGCGGACGATCACGACGAAGAACGGCGCTTGCTATATGTTGGCATGACTCGAGCACAAGGCTTACTGTACTTAAGTTGCCCAGTCAAACAGTCGGGCCAGGAGCAGACGACACTTTCGAGATTCATATCGGATCGGAAAATCCAAAAGCTTTTCAGCAATAGAGGGCCAGATCTTGCATTTAAGAGGAGTACCGTACCAGAGTTAGCCCGCATCCTTCGCAGAGAATGCCCATCATCTGAAGATATGAAGACAGCTCTCTGCTTGTTGGAACGTCCAGAGGATGACCAGTACCCAACGACTCGGGAGGAGATTGACGGAGATGACCCAACATGGGCCGCATACGGTGGCAAAACCAACGGTGCTGGGCTAGACCAATCTTTCAAGCGGCGTAAGTTGGAATCGTCAAGCTCTCTGTCTAAAGACTCAGTAGCATCTACGATGAACCGAACGTCTGCTTTCTCGACAGCGACAACCACGATGCAGAGTGTAAAAGCCGGGTTCACTAGCGCACGAGATCTTGGAGACCTACAAGCAATGCAAAGAGAAGCAGAGCGGATTCGCACTCTAGCCAGTGCTCCATACGTCGAGGCTGGTAGAGAAGTCTACAAGGATGCGAAGAAGGCAGAAGCAAAGCCTGCGCGCGCAAAGGTTGTCAAGCCACGTGCAACTGGTCAAGGTTCCATTACGAGTTTCTTCAAGCGATCAAACAGCACGCTGTCTGAGGAAACCGAACCACCGCCATCTTTCGACGCGCCGTCTTTACAACGCTCGCAGTCTTCGTTTGCAACCAATACTCCACTCTACGATATCTCCAACACTCAGCCCGCTGTCTCACGTCCACCACGTCCATTCCAGCCCCTTTCGATACCCAGTCACAAAGTTACAACCCGACCTATCCTCACCAAGCCAAAACGTGCGGAGCCAGAACCTGGGATGGAGAGCACGCGGTACGTTCTTTTGTCCAGCTCACCGCCTAAACCTGAGGCGGAGAATACATACCAAGCAGAGAAAGAGCTCGGAGAACCGGCAAGTCCAATGAAGCAAGCATCGTCATCTTTTAATTCGGCAGCGGGTTTCCGTCCGGCGTCGACATTTCATACAACATCAATGAGTCAGGTACAAACCCAGTCGGCACAGAGGAAGACACTGGGCGCGAGGAGAAGCATGCAGCCGTGGAGTGTAAAGCACAGTGCTATGCCGAAGCCACGGTCATCTTGATGTGCGTTTGGGGGGCCTTTCGGTTTTTGCGATGAGATGGATTTTGGTTGCATGGATCGGCGTTACAGCGCTCAGTCACGTTGTTCAGCGGCATCGTAGTCGTTGGTTGTTGTCTGTATTACTATATTTCAGTATGAAAGGCCCATCATGCTATACAAATCGATTATCCCCTACAGCACTGCGAAAGCACTGCAGTACGATACACTGCTATGCTGCACACCCTCGACCAGACTGCTCCTCTCATATCGCAGGAACTTGAATGTGCCCTTTCCTTCACCTAATTCACGTAGCTCACCTGCCTTCTCTACCGCGGCCATGAACAGGCCGATCGGATGTCTTCCGCACACGGTGTTGCCCGTCTTCTTGAGCTGGTCTAAGAATCGTTTATGTGACCTACTCTCCACAGCGTCGATACTCTCGTGATCGACAGCGGCAATGCTTTCGTGTATGGGGTAGTCGCTCGGCACAGCAGAGCTTGACTTCAGGTGGGTTGCCGCTGAACCGTCGGGCGGCTGGTAGTACGTGTACCGGAAACGGGACCCCCAGTGACAGAAGTCAGATGATATGACGAAGACATTGTGGGGATCGAAGAGATAGGGAGCGAGCATAGAACCATAGTATGCTTCGAGGGCTGCCTCAGTATTGCCGACCATGATAGGAACCAGAGGAACAGATTTCGAGTCGTTCTGGAAGCTCGTGTTCTTGAGCGACAACATCTTGTAAATGTAGGGCAGGTGCATCTCTAAGCTGTGTTCGTCCTCGTCGGTTCCCTTTGACATGATTTCCAGATCCCAGTCTTGCTGTATCTCCTCCACCAGGTCTCTGTCTATCGTGAGGTCGCCGAGCGGTGTACGGTACTTGTCGCAGCCTGTTGTCGCAGCGCCAGCGAGATAGTAGTGGTGGGAGGGGCCGAGGAGGAAAACACGTTTGCTATAAGCCGTCAGTATGGCAATAAACCTCCGCTTCATAGTCTTGCACTCACGCATTCGCCCAGTCAGCGCTCTTGTAGGCCCATGCAGCAGCAGGCCCTGAGTACGAGTATCCGGCATGCCTGCATGTCCATGAGCCTCATGTTCTCTATAGCTTCTTCAGGGAGCCTACGGGGCGATGATGGCTCGCGCATCCGGCGTCGGTATTGAGACTTGGCCCTGCTGTGAGGAAACGGAGCCGATAGGCGTGGTGGTAGCAGGAACGTCTGCGAGCCAGCCGTCGAGTTGCTGCGATAGGAGCTGTTTATTGTCCGTATACCAGGAGCCGGCGTGGGTGGCTTTGCGGGTGACCATGGTGGGTTTCGGGAATTGTGCGACGGAGCGGGATGCGCTGCTAGAGATCTTGGGAGCTGGTATCGTGACGTTGTATCGAGTAGTTGGTGTTGGGAGCGTGAGGGGCAGTGGGGTAAGCTGAGCGCGACCTTCGTACAGCCGACGTAATGCCTTTGCCTGCCATCATCGCCTGCTGGGAATGTGCGAGGGACATCTCTAGACGCCAGATACAAAAGCCCACCAAGCCATGCTCCATGACGCCTGCTGCAACGAGTGCACAGCAGGTCACGTGTGGATGTTCGGGGATGTTGCCCAGGTGCCCGGTCGGAGGGTAGTGATGCAATTGCGATCCCGACACGCCATCACGCGACGCGCTCGCGCCGACAATTCGCGTCTCCCAGGCCAGCCACTCAGCATCATCACTCCCCGTTTCATCCCATCTCGCTATCCCTTTCGCATATCGCTCTACGAACCCGTAAACAAACATTTGCTGCCATCCACACACCACGAATAATACCCCGTCATTTATCGCAACCCGTCAACACTTCAATCCGCAGCCATGGGCCTCAAGCGCAAGCACTCCTCCGACGAATCGCCGCTCTCCATCTCCAGCTTCGGCGCCGTCTCCACACCGGATGCGCAATCGCCCATGTCTTTCACCAAGGGCTATAACAAGATGATGGATACACATGCACATGCGACCTCGAGATCCAATGGCTGGGACTTCATAAGCGCGAGTCGAGTCAAGGGCAACGATTGGGGCAACCGCACACAGAAGCGGGTTCGCGACAACAGACCCGACGAGCAAGCGATACACAGTAAGCCATAATGACTCGGTGATTCGAGCTTCTAGTTGCTAATCATATCCCAGAAAACACGCTGAACATGCTCTTCGCCGCGCAACGTGAACATCCAGAGGCCGCGCCCATCCCGTCCGACGCTCTTCCAACACACCAGCCATCAGCTTTGGCCTCGTCGAAACCACAAAAGTCTACGCTGCATTCTTTCTGGAAACAGCTACCCGCGCCGCCTGTTCAACTCATCTTCTCAATGCCTGTGCAGCAGCACCAAGCTTCGTCACAAGTGCCCCGATGCGAAGACTGCGATACACCATTACATAGCGAGCGAGAAGATATGGATGTAGACATGGATATGGACATGGGTGGAGCTGTGGCGCATAGTCCTTTTGCATGCAGCGACTGTGGGCGAAATGTATGTGGGACTTGTGCGGTTGTGTCATCGACGAGGCATTGCCTGCAGTGCGCGACCAGTGGAAGGAATTTGAGGCGGTGGTGGTAAGAGTGGAGTGTGAAGATAGTTGGATGGTGCATAGCACGGCCATTGTGGGCAGCATAGGTTCCTTAGCATTGTTGTATAGCGAGGCGTACAGGTGTCAGCAATGGGTTCACGCGCTGGCCAGATAACGGTAGTATACCCCTTTCATATTCGTCATTAATTCTAGCCAAACATATGATACAAATTCTACACGATCTATCTCTGCACATGTGCAGAAATCTCTCAGACTTGACCGAGTTTCAAGTAAAGCATAATACAAGATACATGACAGTTCATCACCGTCTCTATTGTTCTACATAAAGCTTCCCAGGCTCAAGACAATGAGTACCTCCGCGCTCTGGTTTGAGTTTTGTGGAAAGCGGCAATAAGTGCCGCGGCATTGGTGCAGGTGGTGTGAGAACAACAAGCTCTGGCTCTAGAGAACGAGAAGTAGTGTGGGTAATACATGTTCACAAAGTGGGAGCGTGGTACTTAGGTAGCATGGACTTGGACATACCTTATACAAGGAAGAAATTGAATAGCTGCTTTACTGTCTACATTGTCTTAGGGGATATACAAACTTTAACTAAATAGCCACTCTGCTGTCTACATTGCCTTTGGGAGTGTGTAAACTTTGACTAAATAGATACTCTACTACCTACATTACTATAGAGGTTAAAGTTTATATACTCCCTAAGGTAATGTAGACAGTAGAGTAGCGTTTCAGTTTCTTCCTCGTATAAGGCGGGCATTACGACAAATTGCAAAGAAGCGATTTTGACACTGACCCCACCAACCCCGCTGTCGCCATTCCTCAGTCCCGCGCATGGGCTGCCTTCGCCAGATGACCCAATCAGCAGCGTTATGAAATAATCGTAGTGTATATTTACGCATTAAATTGAAGTTTATTCATCAATCGCCTCTCAAGCGAGCGTAGTCTAGGTTCGTTCCCTTATCCAACTCTCCAGCGCCTTTCTAACGTTGAATTAGTGGTTATGATGTCTGCTTTACATTCTAAATGTAAAGTTACGCAGAAGGTCGGGAGTTCGATCCTCCCCGCTCGTATGAGCTATTGCATCATTCTTTTTGTCTTTTTAGAGTGCTTCTCCAGCTGTCCTAGACATGTGGTTGTGGACTCCCCTTTTTGCAATTTTGCCATCACCAACAAGTGGAACAACCAACCCCTCTTGCCCTGGACCAATTCTGCCCTCGCTCGAATACAATGGTTACGCGCATATACTGCGTATGTTGTACTTTTTTATACCCTGTACGTCGTTTCTGGCGTTCTGGACAATTGTGAGAAGTTTGCCGAAATCGGTGACTTGGACCCCTCTTTTTTGACTTTTGCGAACATGATGCCCCACCACTTTGTGGGCTTGTTCAAGTCTAGGCGTCATGCTTCTTGACGGGGCAGCTGTTCGTTTAAAAATGATACAGACGAAAACGTCGGATTAATCGAGTGCAGCCTGAGTAGCACGTTGGCTGCTTTATAAACGATGTAACGGGGAGACCCGTCATATTGCACCATTTGAAGCATCCACAGGTTGTGTAGTGTATGTTGATCCACTATCGTAACATCATGGAGTATGCGCTCATTCGATTCTAGGTAGTGGTTATCACTTCAGATTTTGACTTCATCAATATTCTGATAACCCCGGTTCGGTAAGACATTTCCTCTGCTGTGACCTCAAGACTTGTTCCTAACGTTGAGAAGAACCCGGGCACGACCTTAAAGACTTCTTTTTTGCTCATCGTTGTTTTCTTTTGTTCTTTTCATACTCTACACAGAAAATATTGTTATCAGCAAGCTGTGTTCTATATTTTAGAGATACCAACTGCATCAGATCTTGTGCTCGTCGAGGCAGAATGCAGTGTGTGTAGCTCCAGGATGTAGTATACCGGCGTACTTGGGATGCACTCTAAGTAACAAGCTCCATCGTGCTATCATCCTAGGTTTGCCCGTAGACCAGTGCTATGTGCGGTACGGGAACCTTGTCTCTCAGAGATATACATAGATACATTGTGTCATAGGAGTGAGAGCATGCTTCGCGGTGCAATTCGCGATGACCATTACTATAGAGGAAGCTGCCACACTTGCCATTTCTTCTACGTGACACGGGAACCTCTTGTTTACATCTACTCAAATGTTTTGTGTCTCTACGCGTAGAAACTACCTATCTAGATCTGTAATTCTATACCACGTCGTAGCCGTGTAGCATCTCTCAGCTTTATAGAGTGTTATTCGGATTTGCAGTCGACGACCGCATCATACGAGACACTCGTAAAATCTGATGGTGATGTAAACTTCTGGATCTCAACATACTGTCAAGAAACCCGAGGTACCTATGGATGGGTAGTAAAAGAATGGTGTTGGGTGGCACCGTCATGTCCGCATGACAGGCTTAACTCCGGTGAACCTCAGGCTCACCACAGCCCCATCTCACCAACCCACCATCCACCACCCACAATGTCGCACACGCTCTTCACCAAAGCGCCTTCGCTGCGCAATGTAGCCCAACGCTCCGTCCCGCGCCAATTTCGCGCCTCGTACCACAGACAGTCCTCCCCGAAGATGGCATCCGGCGCCGCGCCCATCCGCACTCTCCTCCGCCAGACGACGCTCCGTGCAAGCGCAATAGCAGCGCAACGGACGTCCTACCCGGTCACGCAACAGTTCTCCTACCAAACCTACACACAACAGCGCTCACGGTCGCCGTCCCCACCTCCACCATACCAAGCACGCAACACCTCCATCCTAGCAGCGCCAAACCAATGGACGCGCTTCACCACACCCTACAACACCCTCTCTGCCGTCCGCACATTCACTTCAACGCCATGCGCTAAATTTGCATCCGCCACGTCGTCAGCCCCATCCTCGCTATCTCCAGAAGCTCAACAAGCGGTTGAGGAAGCGATCGAGGAGATACAAGAACTCTACGGCACAGCCAAAGACGAGTTTGAAATTGCGTCGGAAGAGAGCGAGAAGAACACAACGTATGCGCCTGACGACCGTGCTGCAGCGAGGGAAGAGCTGGATAGGTTGCTCGAGTACTACAAAGGGGTTGTTGAAGGTGAGGATAGGCCGGTCGCAGATGAAGTGAAGAGGAGGGTGGGGCAGAGGATTAGGGAGCTGGAGAATGCCGTGCTGGCTATGGAGGAGGCTGCTACCCATGGCGATTAGATTTTCGTTGCACTGTTACCAATCAGAGAGGCAATTGTACATCACGGTAGAGAACATGGAAGTACACCAAATGGGTATTGCTCAAGGTTGTTGTTGTAACATATAGTCCCAGTCAACTCTATGAATAGCTAATTCTTTGTGGATATTTCATGATAGGCTAAAAGCTAGCTACTGTCACGCCAAAACGCCTTACTGTCCTGTGTAATACCGACTAAGCGGTCGCTACTCAAACCTAGTCTGACTGGCTAGGTACTCGAATTCTGGGTGCGGATGTTTGGGACGTCTCTCTTCACCTCCATGCAGAATGGCGTCCAGCTCATCTCTGAACTGAGTCGGGTTTGGTCGAGGATCCGCTGCCTTTGACCGGCTAGGCAGTTCCCAATCACCCTTGCGGTTCTTCTCTTCCATCTCCTCGCGCAGAATCTTGACCTGCTTCTTCATCTCTTGCCATAGCTCTAGCTTGTCAAGATCAGAGTCTGGCTCTGAAGCAGGGTCGTATATGTCGCCAAAGGGCAGTCTCCGTGCGAAGTTGGTATGCAGAGTGCCGGTGGTCGATTTCATCGGATCCTGGGGGCCTGCCCACCTCTCTGCATCGCGGTCGGCGTCATCGACGCTCTTACCACCCCGCGCGGCAATAGCAAGGAGCGACGCAACGAAAGCCTCCTGCATGTAGGCAAAAGAGAACTTGGGCGTAATCTCGGCAATCTTTCCACAGAGCTCGTCGGGGAAGTCGAGATCCTTGTTGTCTTTGAGCTTTCCCTGCCAGAACTTTGCGTATTGCATGCGCTGATCATAGTCAGGGTTTGGGAAGTAGTACTTGCGATCGAAGCGGCTAGGCCTCTTTGCAATTCCTGGGTCCAACCTGTCTAGGTGATTTGTGGAACCGACCATCAAGATGCCGTCATTGGACTTTAGACCATCTACCTCATTGAGGAAGTATGATCGTACATGGTCGCTGACGATTGAATCCAAATCTTCAAAGACAAGGTAGCAGGGCGCCTGCTCGCGAGCTTTGCCAAAGATCTGCGCTAAGGAGTACTCAGGTCCACCGAAAGAGGTCAGGGTGCGGACGTAGAGGGTGGGGACGGCGAGTCTGGAGTCGCCTTCCTTGCCGCGCTGGTAAAGGCTGTGCATCATGGCCTTGATGCTGATGGTCTTGCCGTTTCCTGGGGGTCCGTAGTAGATGACACCGCGCTTCCATGGCACCTTCAGGTCTTCGTATGTCTGTCTGCCATCGAAGAAGTTCTCCACATCTGCGATGAGCGCCTTCTTCATGTCCTCGTCGAGGATGACGGAGTCCCATGTACTCTTCTGTACGGAACGGTACAGCTCCGCGCTCTTCTGCCAGTAGCCACCGTCAAAGACCCAGACCTCGTTGTGCAATTCGCTACCCCACTTTGTCGCGTCCTTGATCAACTCATCCACCTTGTGCGACGCGTTGGAGAGGACATAGTGCAGCGTCGGGCTTGGGTAATACGACCCTCCGTCGCGACCTTCGGCAATGTATAGGATAGCCTCCTGGTCTTTCCACTTGTACATGTACTTGCCAAAGATGACACGTTCGACCATGTAGCCAGGACTGGGGTCGAGCCTGTGGCTTGGGGGAGCATAGGAGCGCCACTTGACTCCAGGACCATAGACAGGATCCGTGACCGAGTCTTCGAGGGGCGTAACTTTTGCGAAGCCAGCGGATGCGTATGCGAGGAGGTTCAGCCGTCCCTGAGGCGCGACGGTAAGGTCGAGGTTGGGGTATTGCGATCGGATTGCCTCGATGAGGACGACATCGGTGTTGATGCGCTTGCCCGACGAGTGGTCGAAGTAGGAGAGGGCGGCCATGTCCTCCTGGGACGTCGTGTTGTCGGACATGATGGACAGGACAGACTGTGTGTGGTGTGAATAATTTGGCGTGTTCAGGTTATAACTCCCTCACGCGTTCAAATGAGCGTGTCTGCCTAAACCCCGAGTACACCTGGGCAGGCAGCTTGGAGCTTGGAGCTTCCCCGCGCTACCTATCGATCGCCAACCCATTACGTAGCCAGCTTTCCGCCCGGAGACGCGCCTCACCACCAAACCAAACATCGCGCACCAGCTTCAAGGCGCGACTTGATGTTCCCGACAACGCGCTCGGTAACTTTGACACCGTATTCGGCCCTCCTTTACTTGCCGGTGTCTGCGTTGGTAGCGAGATGCGCCAAGCAGGTGACAAGCCGGCAGAGAGGGACAAGAAACGCCACCTCTCTGCCCATGTCCTCTTTGTTGCGACGTCCTCTCGTCTTTTCCACCTCAGAAGCCGTGCTTCGAGGCGCAAAATTTGCCTCGCAACCACAAGGACGTTATAGGTAAGTTGGCGTTGGCCAGACAGATTGAGGTGTATGACCATGGTCAGCCTTGGAGCCTCCAAGGCTCGCTGCTGCTTTAGCCAAACCTAAGCAACAACGACAAACAGCATTGGACTTATTTACCCTTTCACACACGCATGACAAGTCACCTGATGGCTACTGGGAATGGATACTGAGACTCGTCACTCATCGGCGAAAAGACACCCGTAACTCCCGGCCGTTGTATGGATAGCAGCGTGCCGGAGGACCGCGGAAACCACTTGGCTCCCCGGTAACTGGCGGGTAACCAGACTGTCTTTCCGCTTTCCCAGACTCCTGACTCCTGGCACGCTCTTACGCAGGGTCGAAGTGGAGTCCCCAGATCTTGTCTCTCCACAATCTGGGTGGACCCTTCTTCCTCGTCTCCGAAACCTTCTGGCAGTGCGGCGGAGCCGTAGCCGATCACCTCAGGCAAACATAGGCATGACATATCAGCACTCGTTAACTGTCTGTCGTGTGGATGCGGCTTAAGGAAAGACCGGCCTTTCTCTTGTCTCGTGCAATACACGAGGAGCTTGCTTGTTTCATGCAGGTACCACAACGCGCCTCGACGGCGGTATACCTAGATCAATATTGTCGCGAAGCTCGGAACACCCAACATAAATTACAAGCAATAAAACGCACTCTATGTATCAGGCAAAATGATTACTATTCTAGAGAGCTTGTACAATATGCATGTCTGTAGTACATGCGGGTTTCACAATGAGAGCAGAGCCTGATCGTTGCTGGGGCATGTTATTGACAAAAGTCAAACAAGAAAAAACCCGAACAGGCCCGCCGCTACATCAATATGAGAACCTACAAGATAGGTGACCTGGCGTTGATGTAGGCTCTAGACCTGTTCAGTTTTTTCTTGAAGCACTCCAAGCAATGCCACCACAAACATTACAGACGCACCTTTACAGTGCTTCATTAGCCTAAAGTGCCACGCAATTGCGCCGTCTCACTGTCTCGCGCAATTGACATGGATGCCTGGAGTGATCCGTTGTCGTGGAAGTCCTCACACATCGATGTTGTTGGATCTTTGTTTCGATCCTCTCGCGCGACCTCAGCTATCTTTGACAACGAAGGCACTGCGAGGACAATCGGTTTGTACCTTCCCGGAACAGCACATAGCTCTGAGACGGCATCAACCGCCACGTCTAGCATACACACCACTCCTGTCACGGATACAGCAGACACGGAACGGCAGGGTGCAGGTGGAAATGACTTGACATGTGTTCCCGCTGGACCGAGGACGTGCAACAGCCAACCTGCATCTCAACCGCACCTCTAGGATGGGTGGTGAGCTGCTGCTCCACTAGGGGGCCCCACGCAGCCCCGGACGGCCAGGACATGGCGGCAGCACGCTACGCTAGCACTATCGATCCCACAATTGATGTACAGACTTTTTGTGTTCGTCGTTTCTCCAGAACGCACTTCCAGTTCAAACATTCGGCGACTGCACGAGCCGTTACGACGGCGCGTTTTTGCAGCCTTTGCTAGAGTTTCGTTATGTCATGATATTGGAAGATGCCGGGGGCTTATGCCGAGGCTCTTGGACAAAGCTTAGCCGCCTTACCTCATGCACAAGGCCATCATCCCGTTTCCTCCGCGGCCTTTGACGATCTTGAATTTCAAAGCACGCCCCAGTAAATTGCTTCTACACCAACAGGACGCCGTGTGCCTGTTTGCAGTGCAATGCCAACTGAGGCATCATCCAACAACCGCGCAAAGGCCAAAGGAAGAGCTGCGTTCATATATCGTGTCACCATATCGCACCCGCGATATCCGGCATCCCAGTCCAACGGGCAGAATGCACCTGGGAGGCTCGCGTACATGTCAGAACGCCCGACCTCGCGTTTTAACTACTCCGAGCAAATTGAGCGTTGGCGCACTGACTGGAGCTCCACTCCCACACACGTTTCTCGCAGGGGGCCCTCCTCAAGGGTAAACATGCAGTCAGACCGCTAACATGCAGAGATCGATAGCGGTCTGTGTGCTATACGAAGTTTCGAAATCCCAGGCTCCTTCTGCCGTGTTCGCGATCAAAACACTCGAAGGAAGCTGATGTGTCATGGTCACAAGAGACGATGATGTAATGCTTGGGACTTGGTCGGCGATCTGTACTTGGGAATTCGAGCAGCGCATCTTGTTTCTCCGCGTCATCGCGGCAGCTGAGCCCGCCTGAGCAAGACAGAATACTGCTGGATCGGTTGGCGCACCACCTGCCATCCTCATTGTCGGTGTCCATCCGGCCTCGCTAAGGCAGCTTTGGCGCCGATCACACGGCGCATGGTGGCTTGGGGTCGACTGATTGTCGTTCGTCCGTCCACCGTGCCCTCAGTTGATTGATTCGCAGTGGAGACGCATGCTGTCCTTTTACCCGGCATGGAGAGGCGTCTATGGGGAACTGCCATGAGTGGTCCGCTTTAGCACCTGTTTGGAATTCTAATTACCTAGCCTTAGTCGCGGGACTAGCACCAGTATGGGACGACGGCTCATGGCACACGTAGATGGACCATGCTTCCCCTGCGAGGTCTGATCTGTTCTGGACATATATCAGTCTCTCCGCTCCCCCAGAATCGGCTTGACCTCTCCTTCCCCAGACTCTCCCCCCGTTGAACCCGTCTTGAGTTAGTCTGGACCAGAACACGTCAAGCACCTGCCATCCATAGTAGACATCATGGCGACCGCTCGTGAGCACAACGACACCATGGTATGTTTCTCGAATGCGCCAAACATATGTACCAAATCTAACCGTCTTGATAGCGTGGCCCGAGTTTCGAGAAGAACACCAACGGCACCAGCGCGACCGATCACGCGGCAGTCAACGGTGCAGGAATGCCCAAGCAAAGGGTACCATACGACTATGGCGGCAACCCTCTCGCCCACGTTGCTACCAACGACCCAGATCTCCGTCTCGCAGCTTTTGGTGGTGAATTCCAGCCTGGTCTATACAGGCCGCCGAACCGCAAGTTCGCCAACCCAGCCCCTCTGGGTCTGTCGGCTTTCGCCCTCACCACCTTTGTTCTGTCTTTGATCAACGTCAAGACCCGAGGCATTGGTCACCCAAACATTGTCGTGGCTGCTGCGTACGGTTATGGAGGTCTCGTACAGCTGTTGGCTGGCATGTGGTATGTATTATCAGTCAATTTGTCCATGCGCGTCCTAACAGAATACTAGGGAAATGGCTGTCGGAAACACATTTGGTGCGACCGCTCTTTCATCCTACGGAGGTTTCTGGATCTCCTTCGCCATCATCCTTACACCGGGTGGATTCGCGATTGAGGAGACGCTCCTGGAATCGGGCGACTTCTACAACTCTTTCGGTCTCTTCCTCATGGGCTGGTTCATCTTTACCTTCCTCTTGTTGATCTGCACCCTCCGATCCACCATAGCCTTCTTCTCGCTCTTCTTCACTCTCGACATGGCTTTCCTCCTCCTCGGAATTGGCTACCTCAACGCTGATGCTGCGGGACCACAAAGCGACTGCATCGTCGCTGGTGGTGCTTTTGGTCTCATGGCTGCTTTCATCGCCTGGTACAACGCCCTGGCTGGTATCGCGGACAGCTCGAACAGGTTAGTACTCAGTGCCATTACCATCGTCTCAATCCGTACTAATCTTCTACAGCTTCTTCGTCATTCCCGTTGCTCACTTCCCCTGGTCTGAGAAGGGCCGCGAGCGTCGCAACAAGGTCGACAACTCGGCTGCCCGTGCCGATGCTGGCCACACCGCATAAGGCAGTGCATAGAATGCACTATCATACCCACGAGTCGATGTTTGATGCATGGGGATGATAACGCGGGAATATGTTATCATGGATCAGCATTGAATGCGCCGAAGTTGATGACCACCGCATGGGATCAGATACGCGTAAATCACGTGTATCGCCCGTGACGAACATGTATTCTTTTTAATACCATTTCGAATACCCACTATTGAATAGTCTGAACACCATGTCGCGATGCAATGCATTGCCGTCTAATCCATACTCGCGTGTTCCTTCTCCAGATCCTTCTTCCCTGTACCCCAATTCCTTCCCACATTACGACCTGCACTCTTCGCACAGCCGGAATCTACATCACAATCATCTCCCGCATTGCAGATCTTCCAATAAACCTACTTGCCTTGATCCATCGGTCGATTCCTCCGCTGCAGGCGCCAACGGCTTGCTACTAGGAGGCATGGCACACGTCACGGCATGGCAGTTGTGGCTTACCTTGGCGTGGCGTGAGGCCACGATGTACAAGCATCTCCACCCCAAGCCTCCTTTCTGGGCTGAGGTCAGAGGCGCTTTTGGGATCCTTTGACGCTGCGCTCATGCAAGTTACGATGATTGCTTTCCGGTAGGCGGGGAAAGGGTATATGCATACCCGGGGAATGAAGCGTTTACAGTATGACGGGTGTGGCTTTGCCATCTTGGCGTTGTTGTGCTCATCTTGCGGAGTATAGTGATCAAGGTGAGGGGTTTCTAAGGCTGTAAAAGTCGTCTAATCTATGGATCATGGCCCTGTTCTTGTCGAAACAATGTTTGCCTATGATTGGAGATGTTACACTATTACTATCTACACATTACTACACACTTCCACTGGGTACCTGTATAGCACCATTCTCCTTGGTCCCCTCCAATGCTTCGCCCCAGATTTGCTTGACAAGCTGCTTCTTGTTGATCTTGCCCATTGCGTTCCTTGGGATAGTATCCACGACCTTCATCTCTTGAGGGATCTTGTAGTTTGCGAGCATCTCCTTGAGCGCCCTCCTCATGTCCAACGCAGACCATGCTTTGCCTCCCTTACCTGCTGTCTTCCCCTGTTCGGACAGTACCACTACGGCAGCGACCTTTTGACCCCAGGCTTCTGATGGTAGACCGACAACGGCAACTTCGTCGACTTGAGGGAGGGAAAGCATCTCGCGTTCGATCTCGAGGGCAGAAACCTTCTCGCCACCGGTCTTTATGATATCGGCTGATTTGCGCCCGTGGATGAAGTAGAGAGGCCCCTTAGCCCATGCTTGGTCGCTCTCGCCTGCTCCCTTGACATTCCTTCGAACAGCGACATCGCCTGTCTTGAACCATTTCCCTTGCCCATCTGCATCGTCTGTAAACTCTTTCGAGGTAGCTTCGGGATTCTTCCAGTATTCTCTAAATATTGTAGGGCCGCGCAGTTGGATCTCGCCCTGGCGTTCGCGTTGTGTCTCGGGATCAATTTCTTTGCCCTCTTCTATGATTTCCCCGGTCTCAATGTCTGCTAAACGCGCCTGTACTGATGGAAGCGGCCAGCCTACCGAGCCATCTACGCGGTCTGCGAAATCCAATCCGCAGGAAAGTGCCATACCCACCTCAGTCATGCCATATCGCTCGAGCAGCACGTTGCCCCCGCTGAGCTCCGTCCACGATGACTTCACCGGTGTAGGAAGGGCAGCGGACCCTGAGATGTTGAGGCGCATATTCGATGGGTGAAGCGCGGTCTTGGTCGCGGCTTGAAGTTCGGACGAGAGGGTAGGATGCGATGCGAGTAGGCGCGTGTATATGGTTGGGACGACGGTAAGGAAGGTAATGGGCTTCTTGGCTGGATCGGGACTCGGTAGGAAGGGAGCTGCCAGTCGGTCCCATACAGCGGCAGCATTGAAGGGGAACTGGAACTCGATGGTGCTGCCGGCGAAGAGAGGCGTAAGCAATGCGTTGACGGTGCCGTGGATGTGGTGTAAAGGCAGAACGTGTAATAACACATCTTCTTTACTGTATTTCCACGCCTCCAGCAGCGATCGCGACTGTGCCGTTAGCACGTCTTGAGGCAACAAAACACCCTTGGGTCGGTTTGTAGTGCCCGATGTGTATAGCATCATGCCTCCCTTGTCGCTGGTGGGCTCCTCCAGCGTGACGTAGTCGTCCGTCTTGCCCATCATAATCTTGTCCTGTTTGTAGTTGATGGGCTGCGTCTCCATTCCCTCCTTCAGCACATCGTCGGCTTGACTCTGGAACTTCTCCGACGAGAGAAGCATCAGAGACTCGCTCTGGTCGATGATGTATCGCAGCTCGTGTGCCGGGAAGGTCGGCGATAGCGGTACGGCGATTGCATGTGCGGCGAGGATGGACAAGAGGGTTACTGTGCATGCGTCAGATTCAGCTGTTCTTCGCTATTGTAAACGAGGCGTAGAGGAACGCGCACCTACATAGTCGTATCCGTTTTCTACCAGAAAGGATATCCGTTGGCCCTCAGCGCTCTGCCCGCCGCAGTTCCGTTGCAGCTTGTCCTTTGCAGCAGCGACATCGTTCACAAGCTCGCCGTACGTGAAGGACCGCCCGGAAAGAGAGTGGACGACGGCCGTGCTTTGCGCATCATGCTTCTTGATGGCTTCGAAGACGGGGAGGCGGGGCAGCGTGGATGCCATTCTCACGGTATAGAAGGGCGAATGGCTGTTGTATGCCGGCAGAGATATTTTGTGTCGTGTCAGGGTGCGAGCGAAAAGATTACGCGCCCACATTGCGGCAGGGAGATGTCCCGGATCAGCGCAATTGATGCAGGTTTCGAGGCTTCGGAGTACGGCAGATCGGTGCGAGATATGCTGTGTTTAGAGCCGCGTCGGAGCGATACCGTTACTGCCGTCTCCAGACAGGAGCGCAAAAGTTGACATTTAATTATAAAAGTACGGTAATCAAGACGCCATTCTACATGTCACCATCTTCTTTCCAAGCATGCTCTGGCAGTCTCATGGCCTCAATGGCTCGTCTGACTGCGCTTCAAACTTTCGGAACCATGACGCGACGCCTTCCGATTTCGTCTTGGCGCTTGCCTCGGCACGAATTCTAGGGCCGACGCAACCCAATACTTCCACCACTGCGATCCAGTATTCTCATTGGTCCTACTTGACACCCTACCCGACTAGGAAGCACTGTTGTGAATGTTCCTTCCAAATATCGCGCTCGCTGGAAAGCGTTTCATGTCAGCCATGGCTCAATCCATGACACCAATGGAAGATGCTCTGAGGACGAAGGTAGTTATGCACTTTGGTTGACATGCCTCAACTGCGTATCCAGCATCGCATCTAAAGTTTCTGTAGATCACAGAAGCCTTGAAGCCGACCTCACTCGAGATCTTCAACGATTCGAATAAGCATGCCCACCACAAAGCTATGCAAGGAGTCACCAGCAGAGAGACACACTTCCGGTATTCATCGACCTGCAATCTTCTCAACTACGTGACTTAAGTTCCTGACGCTCGCAGTGTTTTCATCACTTCGCCAGCCTTCCAAGGCAAAATGCAGCTCGCACGGCATCGCATGATCAACTCCTTGATGAAGGACGAGTTAGCACAAGAAGGCGGTATACACGCGCTGCAACTCATCACTCGAACGCCTGAGGAGGACGAAGCCCGGAGACAAAAGGAAGCCACACAGGGATAAGTGCGGATGATGACCGATACCCACGAAGAACGACTATGGAACTGTTTGGCAATAGGCGTCCGATAAAGCTCTGCTAGTGGATGGTATACATATGGGACTCTGTGCCCAGTAGCCATCGCAGATTGAAGGAAGAGTAAATTCAGAACGGTTGTGTAGTCTAATCTAATAACCCCAACGCCTTGGAAGCCTCCAGTATATAGTCACTCTCCTCCTATAGGCGCTTCATAAAGTGACCATAACGTAAAGCTTAGCAATCCAACGCCATGTCTTAGCATCTCGCAGAAACCGGAACGCAGATACGAGATCGCCGACGAGATGGAGTTGGCACCCCCGATCTAGCCCCCGTCTTTCCGCATTACAGTCACCAGTCCATAAAGCTAGCCTTCTATTGAAGAAGAAACGGCTGAGTTCAGTGACAGGAAGATTCCCATAAGCTACCACACGCTCCACTAGCCATCGAAGTCAACACATTCTATTCGAAACAAGCAAAGGTATTACGAAGTGGTGGCGGTGATCGTCAGCACGAAACGGTCAATACGGGCTTCCACATCATTCCGGGACCCTGCCAACCCTTGAACCTTGGCCCTGTACAAGTGCAGGCAAATGGACTAACGCAATCTAACAATCAGAATCTAGGCCTTTTCTACTCTCCTCACCAACACAGCAGGCATACCGCCATCCAAAAACGCAAAGCATGTGTACCACGGGCGATGGTGAGGCAATCAAGCAATGCGTGGCATGTCGTTGGCTTGCAGGGTTGAGCACATTACACAGTACCTAGTCAAGCTTCTTTACATGCAAGTGAAGACCACCTAGATAGAAAAGGTAATAAAGCTTAGTAAAGATGGGGTGATGATGGATACAGCTAGAGTGTTGTCCAGTTATCGGTCAGCGTGCGAATTGAGCCAGACACCGCGATGTCGCTAGAGAAACACCCCAAACTCACAGTGCGTTCATCTCATCCTCCATCGGTACTAATCACAGAGAAAGCCGCAGGATGTAGGTGTAACTGGGACTACTGAGCGTGTATGTTCTTCTCACACAGAGCGGTGTACAGAAATCAGCACCTTTCTAATCTTCCATTGCGCTTGAGACACATACTTCTACAGGAGTGTCCACATTTCGGTCTACATAGAACACTATGATAGGGTATAGATAGCAGAGTAACATGAAAACCTTATGATCCGTCCCTTAAGCCTAATTTCCTTCCAATACGAGACCCAAACAATAGTGCGAAGCTGTTGGCGAATAAACTTTTGTGGGGAGAGTGATTTGTGCTGCGCAATTTGTATTGTATCATCTTTGACCACCTTCTACTCCGATTGAAGTCTCGTCCATCTTCCTACTGGACTCCAGTATCTGCCTTGCTGCTTCCTGGATAGAGAGACTTTCGCTCCGCATAGTCTGCACAGCCGCTTCAAGTGCCTGGGTTCTAGCGCGAAGACGACTGATCTCAGCACGGAGGACGATAATAGTCTCTCTCTGGGAGGAGACCGAAATGTTGGTATTGTGTGTAAAGTCGACGGGCGATGGATCTGGAGTGATGCCAGGTTGTTGTTCCTTGTCTGATATTGACACCGACGTCTCAGTTCCAGCTACCATAGCTTCTTCCAGTAAACGTATGCGTTGCTCGAGCCCGGCTTTCTCAGCTTCCCATGCCCTCTTTTCTTCGGTGCTTTGTGCCTGGAGCCGGTTTGCCATGTCCATGATTTGCATATATTGTGCGCCATTAGCGATGAGCTGCTGCCGAGCCTCATCCCTACTCTGCTGTAGCTCTTCCATTTGACCTTCCATTGTCGAAACTTGTGCTGACAGCCTGTCCTTCTCATCCATGAGATGGATGACCTCTCCGTCGTTGATTTCGAGCTTTCTTTCGAGCGTGGCGCATGTCGTCTTTTGTCTTTCGAGGCTCTGGAGCAGAGTACCGTATTCGCGCTGTAGGGTACGCAATTCCGAAGTTTTGAGGCTGATTTGCTGTTGGAGGTCGTGTAAGCTCGGACTTGGTCCTAATGTTTGCGGCATCGCTGGTGGTGATATTGAAGGCAGGCTTTGGGAGATGTGAAAGTTGAAGGAAGAAGGCGAAGGTAGGATTATCGAGTGTGGACGTTGTTGAGCCCGTATTGGGGCGTTCATCGAGTCGAAAGCTGGCGTAATGTCCGGTGAAGGGTTACCTGCGAATGATGCGGATTTGGGACGACTGAAGCTGCCAGAAACACCGGGATTTGACTCCTGTCTCTGTGGAGGCGTCCGATCCTCGCCGTCATCGGAGTAATCTTGAGCTCTTCTCATCTTGGAAGTTTTGAGAAACGGCGACGAGGACCGCGGGCGACGCGACGAGCCTTGCTTCATGTGCCCTTGTAACCAGAAATCATGCTCATGCTGCGAACGAAGCACCCATTACAATAGCTCTTCACTGCTGGCAATATTGTGTACAGGCGGCTATTTCAGCGTATGAGAGTTGTTCCCAAGCATGGTAAGGCCAGGTGCTAATCGAGCGGCAATAGGGGAAGTTAGAGCAACTCACTGAATGGACTAGATCGTGCTTTGTACGCGTCAACCTTCTGTCTCTATTGGTCAAAACTTCCAAGCCCGTGGCAATTTTGCGCATTGATACATGCAAGCTGCAGAATACTTGGCCCTGGCAGCTCGGCAAGCATAAATAACCATCCCTACTGCGTGCGCTTGCTCAGGCCCATGACCCGGATGGATGACCAAGCTGCTTTGCAGGAGACAGGCCCAGCCAGTACTACGGTAACATATTGGCGGATCTTGTGTAATAGAGTCAGCTATGGTAGCCTTTTTGGAAGGTGCAAATTGGCACACCAATAAGATGAAAGTCTCATGCGCCGGCTACATGTCGGTCAACACGCTCCCGCTTAACGCGCTGGTATACACATACATGGCCAGGCTTCCACATCTGCACCACATGATAGAGCTACCGTATGATATACACACCGATAGATATGAAAGAGAAACGAAGACCTGAAACTTTGTAGGTACGTAGAGTTATGCTACTGTTTTCAACGACGGCAGCTGTAGAATCCGAAACTTTGGGCCCTACTGAGATGATTTGGAATGAATTGGGGCACAGTAGAAACGTTCGTTGATCCGGGATGTAACCGCCGTGAGTATAGTAGCCGGCTCGTGGCGGGAACGAGAATAATGACGCTGATTGATGGAGGCTGTGACAGTCGGGCCGGGGCGCTTGGACCGCACTTCAAAGGTGTTGGTATCTTCCTGTCGTCGTTCCATGTCCGTACGACACTGCACAGGTGGGACTTAAACCTAGAAACCGGACACAGAAGTTGGCCTCCACCATCAGAACAGGCATAACGCCTTAGGAACAGTGTCGATATAAGATCTTTCGAAATATATGTTCAACTGTAAGATAGTCGATATCATGGCATGCAAGAGCTGGAGTGTAAGAGCGCCATCGGTGCCGCATGTGAGTGCCGTGCAGTCGGAGTCTTGCTTAAAGGTCGGAGCTCGTGTTCGGTGGCATGGCTCCTAATATGGGAATATTCAGACAACCAGGCGTAATGCATCCGGTGGGTCATTCATAGGGGCCGTTACAGAGAGGCCGAAGGCCGGCATTGTAGTATGCAAATACGTGCGTATCGCACCCTCGGTGATACCAGAGTCAGTCAGCGCCATTGCTGCACCGAAGCATACCTGCACTCAGTAGCCTGGACAAGCGAGAGCCAAGTCGTAGGCCAAGATGCCCGTGAAAGAGCTATTATCAACGCCATAGGCACGAGAGGCGCGATTCGATGCAGTACTGTGAGGAGACCTCACCGGGGTCAACATGCCGGTTCGCGCGAACAAAGTATCAGGGAATCTCGACGACGTGCTTGCCGGATGCATCCATAGCCAACGATAGGAGGAGCTTGTGGAAGGATGACGGCTGAGTAAGACGGAAAGATCGTTATCGGTAATGATGAGCGGGAAATCATCCGAAACTAGCGTCGTCGGTCAGCACGGGATCTTTGAAGCTCTCTGTTACGACATCTGCCGAATCTAGACTGAAGACATGACTTGTGGCCTGACCGGCATGCGCTTGCGGTAACACGAAACACCGTATTGAGATGCAAGTAATAGAATTGGGGCAAGGTGATCGCAACCTTCCCGAATGCGGAACTCGTCGCACATGTGCTACAAGCGCCCTGGAAGGAACGCTTCTGTATTACCACGATATTTTCCTAATCTCTTCCCATCCTGTTACCATCAACACCGTACCTCTGAGTCTTTGCATCAGCTTTCACGTTTTCACATGCGCCAAGCTGCACTCTGCCCGTCAGTATCCACAAACTGTGTCCCGACATCCCGGGCAATCAGTCGAAGACGATCCTCAACCCAGTCTTTCTCGCGTGACACCACTTCAGTCTCAATCTTCTGCATCGTCTGCAACTCATCCAAGATGCCGTGTAGAATGGCTTTACATGCTTCGACTATACATGCAATGCTTGATCCGGGTGTTGGCAAAGCCAGCCTGTCCAGGTCGCGTGCAAATGCTGTTAACTTCCTGATCAACGCAGCATTTTCGGCCTTCCATGAATCCCCAAGGCCTTCAATTGTCCCAAGAGCCGCCTTGGCTCCATGCGGACCTTGGCGGGCGGACCGAATCTCCTGGACCCAGGACGACCAATGCTCAAACTCTTTCACCAGACGCTGTAGTCGACCACCCGATTCGACCAGCGACGGCAGTTTGTGGAGGGGCTCCGAAAGGACCTGGATGTACTCAACCAGGCCTGCAGATGAGCCGCTAGCACTCCATTCCAGCAGGGACTGCAAGTTCTTCTGTTCTTGTGCTGTGCGTTCGCTGTCTAACATGACTTGGTAAAGGCTAGCAACCTCTTCGAACTTCGTGCGCATCTTACGCTTCGCACTGATTTCCCAGCATCTATATGTCTCCGCCGACGATTGATGCAGAAGATGAAGTTGAAGCAGTTCAGATTGCAAACTGATCGCCTCTGGAGAAAGCGATTGCAACACTGTTTGAGGTGCAGGGTTGATAAATGTGGCAGTGGGAGCTTTCCCAACCTTACGTGGTGTGAAGTGCTGTTGAAGCGTGCTGAATGCTGGTCGATTAGCCTTCTTCGGCTCTTCTGACACGACGTCTTTACGTTTTGACTGAGTGCCAACGGGCTCTTCGGCCCTGCGCACCGTACCAGTGCTCGGCAGGCCACTGGATGCTTCTGGCCTGGCTTTCGTACTAGCAGAGCGGCTGAGCCCTGCATTCCGTAGCGACGTCCGCGTTGGACCAGATAAGGTATCGCCAGATGTGTTGTTAGTCCTCGAGGTACGCGTTGGTGCCAATAGTAGAGACTTTGGTCGCTCGGAGATCGTGTTCGATCTAGCAACATCACGTCTAGGGGCTGATATGGTACTGGTCGACTGGGTCCTGGCATGACCAGGAGGGCCTGATGCCTGAGCTGAGTGCGACGTAGCACCTGGCTTCCGTAAAGACTGCGATCGGGCAAGCCCTCGTACTTGCGGCTCTGCAGGCTTGCTGACTGAAGCTGGAGGCAGCATCGTCCGGGGAGCACTTGTCTTTTCAGCACTTTCCGTGCGCTGAGATGATGGGGTGCCCGTCTGATATGTGGATTTTGGTCGAAGTCGCCCTGGTACTGCACCCGGAACCTGAACGCATTGCGTTGGTGACGCTGTGTCTGGCTGATCTTGCGTCCCATTCAAGTCATCCCCCGCATCTTCCGATCCAGCGTCTCTGTCAGATACTTCAGGTAATATACTTGACCGGGTATTGTATCTATGCTGGCCGGGCTGGGGACTAGATAGGAAGAAGATTAGTCTTAGCCAGATCCCTCACACGCTCAGATATCACCCACAGTAAGCTGCGACGATTCTCCGAATCGCCCTGAATTGACGGTAATCTACTAGAGGCAGGGCGCGCAATGCCACTTGTGCCATGTCTTGTTGTGTCCTTGTCGTCACCGGTCGGCGCGACTGGTGCAGCGTTCTGGAACCTGTTAGGTATTGTCTACTACGGGACGGCGCATGGCTTACCCGAGCCCGTGGGGGCGCATGGCCGATTCTGCCTATCTGTGAGCGCGGCTTGGAGTTCATCTTCGATACAGGTCGCGGCGCTATCGTGAACGTGTTGATAGCTCGGTCTGATGTTGCCGGGTATGCACAAACACACGAAACATCGGTTGTTGACATCCAATGAGCGCGGGCCACAGCGCTAGCACCACATATGGCTAGAACCCTAGCTATGGCAAGAGCATATCCAGTAGCAAAGAATGGAAAGGGAATATCGTCAGAGTTCGTTATCTATTGTATCTAAGCCGAGTGAGCGACCAATGCATACTTCGTGAAATGGCGCGTACGTCCATCCCTACGAAAGCACAGCTATTCCGTTCCCTGTTCTCACAGGCTACCACGGCGCGCTGGGAAAGAAACACCCTCGATAGCAGCGTAGTCAACAAACCAGCTAACGCGGTCTCCGCCCTTGTGGTTCACCAAACCACAAGGCAGCTGCTGACCCTCGTCCGAATCGAAGATTTGGCGCATGATGTCCTTCTTTCCTCCGCCAGTCGCGACGAAGGCGATCTTGAGTCCATGTTGTGCGACGGGAAGGGAGATGGTGATGCGCTTCGGGGGAGGCTTGGGAGAGTCGGAGATGGAGAGTACCCATGCTTCGGTTTCGCGCAATAGCTCAGAACCGGGGAACAAACTGCAGGTGTGTCCGTCCGGTCCACATCCAAGCAGAAGCAGGTCGAAGAGTGGCAACTTTACGCTGTCGCGTGCTGCAAACACACTGACGAGCGTCTTCTCGTACTGGTCGGCCAGTTCTTGTACGTCATCGAGGTACTTGACGTCGATGGGGTAGACCTTGGGTGTGCCCAACTCAGACGGTATCTTGTCGAGAAGCTCCTCCTTGACGAGTCGATGGTTGCTGTCTTCGTGATCGAGAGGCACCGCGCGCTCGTCGGCATAGAATATTTCCCACTTGTCGAATTGCACCTTTCCTTCGCCATTGGTCTCCTTGAGAAGCGCTTGCGCAAGCGTCTTGGGCAGGGAGCCGCCAGACACGGCGACGCGGAAAACTTGGTGGCGCTCGAGCGCAGCGTTTTGGGCGTCGAGCACGTAGGTGCGCAGGCTCGGGGCGAGCTCAGCAGCGCTCTGGAAAGCGTATAGGTTCGGAGGCTTGCCCATGGTGTTGATGTATGTGTTGGGTTGGTGAGTTGAAGTTTGTCGGCGCGCGATGGAGGGGTTCGGACAGGTGGGGCACCTAGCTATGTGCCGTTGTTTCGTTCGACGGCGGCGGGCCGGTGACGATTGCCACGATAGTGACGTGGGCAGCGTTTGGGCAACGGTACGACGATCGAGAAAAAAAGATAGTAGAACAAGGCAAAAAAATGGCGGCAACGGCTGCCTATGGTGTCACCTCATGGACGATCGGGCCTCGATACCGACGTGCATTTTGAGCCAATCGTGCAGCTATCATTTCGTTCGGCCTGGGTCGTTTTGCGTCGTGATTGAAAGGCAGATAACAGGACATAGTAGCATAGGGAATTTGACTAGAAGAAGGAACAATATCCACAAGAGTTATGTATTCTCGCAATCTGCACATGACCGTCGCCGTCGGACTGACCAATGACGCGCCGTCTGGACCATCAGGAAAACATCACAAGCTAGCCCGCATTGGGCTCTATCACGTGCATGTGTCCCTTGCAGCGCTGGATCAGTTCCAAGATTACCCCACGATGTTGACGATGTATCTACCCCCCATCTAAACTAGTTGAGGATGCAAGATCGAATGCTCTAGAATTGGTTATCAGATCCCTCTTTCTTACGCTCTAGACTCACGGCTGGTTCAGGCTGGAAGGACCTATGGATTAGAGACACTGGATTTCTTGACATGTGTCTAGGTACATTCCTGAAGACCTCCACAAGATCTCGTATCAAGATACTAGTGTGTACCCACACGCTTCTTCTTAGGCATGGTGCACCCAAAACCGAGCTTGCTTGCATGAAGACTATTTCCCATTATCAACATGTCCGAAGCCACCACAAGGCGCTGGCGCTGCACCCGATTCCTCGCATGATTATGGTTCGGTATCAAACGTGGGCGATACGTACTGAGCCGATTCAGAGTACTAGGTCCTATTCGAAGTCGCAGCGCAACCACTGGTGATGAGCGGAACCACGGCCCCATGTAACTTTCTCTGCTTAAACCTGTAGATCGCCAACAATTTTGTATTCAGAGAAGCTTGATTTGTGCGTCTTCAGGGGGCAATCAGCATTTGTCACAGTAGAGCAGAACAAGGCAAGCTGAATTGGGAGCCTAGAAGCTGTCGTGCACCGCCGGGCAGACAGGACTCGAAAGATCATATTGCTTTGTTTGCCAGGCTTTGTGCATGCCATCTCTTCACTGGAGGTGTTGAACTGCACTCGTTCCAGACGTGGCCCTGCTTGATTTGGTACACGTCGCGAACTCCGTTGGGTTTCGAGCCGTACTATGGTGACTGGAAGCTCCGGAAGGATCCTCAGCTGACTATGTTGACGGCCGAGCTCCGGGTCGTATAACTGGCTGCTGGGACCATGCAGAGCCACGGTACTGCAGGGCTAGACAAAACTCAGAGACCACATTGCTTTTGGAGGATCAGGCTTCACCAAGTTTGGCAGTCTCGATCTTGCAAAAGAAACAACTTCATTTGCCCCTCCACCTCTTTGGCCTGCGATCGAAGTGGCGACTATCCAGTCATGGGGTGCAACGAGGCCTAGACGTCGATTGTTCGGGCGCCGTTCAGCTAGGGCCAGAGGGTCTAGACCGTTGCCCACCAGGACTTTGTCTGCAACAGGGCAATGCAGGGCTGGTACCTCTGTGGAATGTAGTGGAAGTATCCGCGCAGCGGTTTTGTCTACCAGGGGCTATTGTTACCTGGGTCGATGATCGTGCCACAAGTGCTGTATGCAGGTGCACATTTGCATTCTGGGGTGGTGGAGATTTCCGAGTGCAACATAAGCGCTTGTGGACGGAGCCAACGGCGCAGCAGCGTGATTGTAGGGCGTTGAAACAGAGGGCGTATATGCCTGGCGACTATTCATCTGTTGAGCATGTTATTCGTGTGAAGATTGGCAGCTGTGGAGGTCGTGGCAGGGAGGAAGTGGTATAGGCGAGACAGGTATAGTAGAGTTTGCAACAGCAACGTTTCAGTGTCGGCGACGCAGGGCTCTGAGAGCATGTATTAGGTTGCGTGGTTCCCCCAGGCCCAAGGAGGGTTCATGGCCATGATCTAGACCGCCAGCCAACGGTACGGCCCGCTTTGACATCGACGATGGGCAGCAACAGGCTGCGAGGGTTGCGGTCGCAATGTCCGCAGTCAAGAGCTACTTTCGACGGGTTATTGGCGAAACTGCCGCATTGGGGTGGTTGTAGATGAGGAGACGGGGCTGGCGTGGTGATGGTACCTCGATGCTCGATGGGCGGTAGAAGACGGGTGGTTTCGGCGCCCGGAGTGCGGACAGCGAACTGCGGACTGCGGAGGAACCGGAGGCTCTGGGAACCACGGACGTGGTGGTATGTGTATGTACAGCTCAGCAGCACAGCCTCAGGTAGGCACCAACACAGTCAGCACCGGCGCGAGGCCGACGCGACGCGTACTCCTACGCAACGCGAGGGATGCGAGTGACGATGCGAGTGATCTCATCCAGAGCGGAACAAAAAACCATGTCGCAGCTCTGCAGCCGCATCGAGCGATGGGCGTCGTGGGCGATGGAATTGCAGCGTGATCGCGATGCACAAACGTCGCTATGCTGTGGGCGGGCAGGATTGGCCGTGTGCGGGGGGCTTGAGCAGCCACGATCGAGACCGAGTCGGGCGATCGGCGCGGGCGCGTCTCAGCCTGGTGGTGGCCTAGCAAAGACTTCGGACCCAGCGTCTTGGATGGTTGCCAGACGTGTTCCACAGCCCAGCCACGCGCCAATCAGTCGGCCGCACCGCCCGCCCAGCACGCGGCCTGCGACTGGCCGATCTGCCATCGCTCGATGGCTGTACGAGCATATAGGCGACCGCGATCCCACGTACGCTGTGTGATTCACACCCGCCGTCGTCCTACTCCAGACACATACAAGCCAGACCATGACCGCTGATCACCTCACTCCCGACCTGTTCCCCACTGCTCCCTCCTGCTACTTCAGCATCGTGCCCGCCGTCCACTTCTCCCAGGAAACTCCCTCGCACAGCCCTGTCTCCGACTACCAGCCCTACACACCCTCAGACCCGACCAACCCGCTGCTGGCCTTCCGCTCGGCACCACCTCTCTACATGACGAGCCCCTCGGATGCCTCGCGTCTGCTTCAGCTGCAAACACAGGCTGCCCACCGCCCGGCCCCTGAGCCCATCCAGCAACAGCGCACCTCAAGCACATCCTCCAGCAGCTCCAACAGCTCCACGTCAAGCATGGGCATGGGTTCGCCGTCAACACTTTCCTGCTGCCGCTGCCGCCGCGAGTGCCTGGCGAACATGTACCAGATCGGCACCAACCGCTACTACTGCAGCCACTGCGCACGGATGACTGGCTACAGCGCGGGCTGAAACCCACCCGAGCCTCCAACACGCTCTACACCCTACCGCCTAGTCAACATCTCGACTACCGGCTACCATTATCGCCTCATCACTACTGCACCCATACACAGACATCCGCTGTCAACCCACGCCACGTGAGCCGTTTTGCTTTCCAGCCCCGGCCGTGGAGCTCTGCACGAGCGAGGAACAGGCACCGCACATTGGCCTCTGAGCCAGTCGGTAGCACACTTTGGCCCTCTCCGGATTTACTCATATCCTGAGGACATTGCGCAGTTGTTGGTGTGGTCAGGCACACCACGAGTTGGAAGTCATGGAGCTGGCCTTCACGTTATTACGCTGCAACAGCTGGCCTGCAGGAGCATTTGACCATGTGATACCCCATTTGTACAATACACCAGTCGCGCACTGCGCAGACCCACAAATTCAATTTTTTCAACCATGACATTTTTCATATTGCATCGTGATGGTTTATTTGCCGCTTCAATATTGCCCGGCCCCCTATTCCACTTTCAGTGCAGTGCCATATCCGCCAAGGTCCATCAATACACAGCAAAAAGCGATCCGATGATCTTCGGAAAGCACAAAACCCCCGTGTGCACAGAATCCGTTCTCCGCTAGTCCCGCAACTACCATAGCGCGAACTGCCAATCTGAACTTCGCCTGTCGGGCACCAGAAGTGCCCTGTGACTGCTGTCTCGCAAAACCAACATCCGACGCGGATCACGTTAACCACGTCGAACGCACATCTTCGCGCGTGGGAGCATCACCCAAACCACGTCTCAGGTCAAACATAGCTTGGGGAACGTTTCCCTGGTTACCTTTGTCCTCCGCGGGCACGCTTCCCCCCGCTGTCATCCAGTCGTATGGATTACTTACTCGTGCATGGGATTTTACATTTCCACCGCATGCTCAGAGGATCTGCTGTTCTCCTCTTTTTCCGCGTCAGCGCTATTCTGTTTCAAGCAGGGGAGTCGAAGGGGGCGGGATGACATCGCTCGATGGCGTGCGCCAGGCACGATGCAGGGCACGCTGATCTCGACGGCTTTAATTGTGGGTATCGGCTTGTTGGAAATGCGATACTTGGTCGATGCCACGCCAGACGCGTGATGCGCGGACAGTTTGCAATCAACCGTGTACAGTGTTTGGCTTTTTCTCAACTGCTCGCCTTGATGGTGCCGTTGCAGATTAATCAGGAAAAGAGAATACATTGGGGGTCACGGAGTCATAGTTTGGGGATCGAAGATGGTGAACGCGCAAGCAAAAGCACCGTTGGAACGCGTGAAACGGATCAAAGGCCGATGTCTACTGTTGGCTGGGTGTCTAGCATTACGTTGCAGAGGTGTTAGGCATTAGAATTATACTAATTATTTGTCTACTTCTAGAGTATCTCTACTATTATTATAAACTAATTATCTTTTATTATAAAATTTATTCTTTACTTTTATAGTCTTAGTTATAATTTTAGTAAGATTTTCTTTATATTATTATTATACTACTTTTAGCTAAAGTTACTTAGTACTTTTAGTTATTTATAAATTAAAAAAATTATTATACTAGTATTAAAAGTAATAATTATAAAGTTATAAAAAAAAGTAAAAGCTTTATATTTTTATAAAGTAAATAAGTAAAGTTTTACTAAAAAGTTAAAAAGAGTAAGTATAAGAAACTTTACTTTAGCTTACTTATAAGCTAAAGCTTATATTTTTTAGTAATACTTTCTCTACTATATACTACTTACTTTTTACTAGTTCTTAGCGTACTTAAAAAAGTTAAAGTACTAATAAACTAAGTTTATACTATCTAAGATAGCTAATATATACTTATTATACTTAAAGATAGTTAGTAAAGTAAGTATATAAAGTAGCTATATATTTTTTATAATAAAAATAATTTTTAAAGTATTATATAAGAATTTAAGTACTACTTACGCAAAAATTTATACTACTTAAAAATAAGTAACTATAGTATTATAAAATTTATACTTATAGTATAGCTACTTTTACTACTATACTAAACTTATTAAATTATAAGTTAAATAACTTAAATTAGACACCTAGTACTGTTAGCTGAGATGACTCTGAAGTTTACTGAACCAACCTGGGAAGGTTCCTGGGCTGTTTGACATGTGCGTGGCTGGGTGATCACTTAGATCCGGTGATAAGGTTCCTTATCCGTATCAGCTTATCGCCAATTGCGAACGCGGAGAGCTTCCATCATCATCCGCGCATTTCCCACGACGCGTATCATCATAGTGAACACATCACGTGCTCCACAAAACGCCGTTTCGCTTTGCCAATCCCGCTACACTCGCCCAGGGAGTGACCATCTATTCCCAGGGAACAACCATCAGGTCACATTCCCCGTATTTCCGTCTCCAACGCCACCCCGGCCTTGCTCCTGATAGCGCCGGCCTTGGCTTGACACAACGCCTGCCACATCGACGATGTTAAGCCCACATCGAAGATCTCCCGTGAGCAATGGGCTTTTCAAGCTTTCTCCCGTACACCGTGCACGCTCCTCCCAGGCCCTTGGTCGTTAAACGTGCGACCCGCGTGCATGATGATGGCCTGTCAGTTTTTCTGTGGAACCGCAATCGGATCGGCATGACATGAGCGATGGTCAACGTAAACATTTGAGTAGATCATATGCGCGGGGAGATTACCCGCATGTCTTTTGCTGGGACATCGACGATGACGTGCAAATCATCATGGTCCGCGGCCCCGCGCCAAATGGCATCGAACGATGCAAAGGCCAACCGCCGGGATGGACCTACCCGACGCATTCCAAAATGCACGCGGAGGAAAGCTGTCTCCGCTATAACCGTTGCGCGATGAAACTTGCAGACAACCTGCTTTTTGGCCTAATCGCTGCGTCTAGACCCTTACCACCCCGGCTGCCGAAAAGACGTAAGCGCCTCTATACTGCGCTATATAGCCGGCTACTCATGCGTTGTTGCGTGCGATCGGGTTGACACCTGAGGATCACCTTATTTGGCTGGCAATACGGACCACGTTGCTACGCAGAGGCAGAGTCAACACCGGAGTAACGGCAGAGAAGTTGCATCGGCTCGATGCCGTGCTGCGAGTCGCGATACCATGAAGCCTATATGTAATAGGGGAGAAAAACCCCTGCCACACCTCGCCGACACCTAGACCCGGCCCCCGAGAAAAACACACGATGTCACTTTGTGGTGTAGGAGTAGTTGGATCGATCGATGGCGTCAACGTGGCTTGCAATGCCGACATCCAGTACCCCACGCTAATGGTTTTCTCCTTCTGCCGCTTCTCTGTAACACCGGAAGTAAAAGCACACGTGCGTTCCCTCTGCTGCATCGGAGAAAATCGCTGGAGATCGTACTACGCAGAACTTCGGGTGTGCTTTCTTCTCCATCTGTCCTATGCGCTGATAGCAGAAGCAACGGCAAAAGCAAGAATAGCAGCGTGACTTGCGCAGGCACCACATTCTAAACATAGCGAAGGGGTAGCCATGACGACCGACGAACTGTAGGGCCATCGTGCTCAAAAGGAGTATGCGCCTATCGACGGCAGCTTAATTGCTCTTGCGGATGGCTATTTTCCCGACGCATGAGCCTCAACGCTCCGCTTTCGGAGAGATCAGTTGTTGGACCCGGCGTTGAGGCACCGCGGAGGCCCTTAGAGCTTCTGTATATTCTGCGCCGATGTATCTCGTTGGGAGAATCGATACGTTACTATCCAGAGACAGCTATCGCCTTGGTAGTTGCCCTGTTCAGTTGGATGGCATCGAATCAGTCCGCATCTCCCTTCAAGCTCTTGAGTTCATCTTCAGCAATGTTGAAGTCGGGAATGAGTATCCAGACGACACCACAACTGACCGTCCTCGTGGATCATTAGATGATCAAGCGATTGGTTTCAAAGGTAAGCTTCCAGACGATGAAATTTGGCCTCTGTCCAGCTTCGTAGCAGCTATGCGGCGGTAGGTCAGAATCTATACCAACACTATAACCGACCCATTCGTAGGACTAGAGGCGTCACTCAATACATCCAACCCAAATCGACCAAGAATGGGCTTTTCATGGCAAGCGCGTGACGCCGCTAAATGGAACCATCACCTGTCTGAGTGAAAGTCTGGCGCGCCGGATTGAGAGCAGCATGTAGTTGCCTGTGCTGTCACCTTTGTGATCGATGCCCGTCCCAGTTCTTTCACTATCACGCAAGGCCAGTCAACTTAGCGTACCCTTGGTTTTAGCATATTCACACTGAAATATTGAAGTGAAACTAGTTTCGCATTCTTCGACTCAAGCAAGACAATGGTTCCCGACGCACAGGCAGCATTGCATGAACTGTCATAACATATGTCACAGGTTCAAGATCTGGTGCATCAAGACCATCACATTCATTTCGTATCTAGATGCATGATTGCCCTTATTCTATCATGTCAACAACCCGTAATTTACGGCCACATCATGCCATTGCCATCGAAGTTCATGCCGGTCAGATCAGTCCTGACATCAAGCGGGTAGTCAGCCGCCTTGAGCTCTCTCCTCCAAGACTGCATCCTCTTGCTGTGCGCCCTCTCGGAAACGCTCAGCTCACGCTTCGCCATGCGGGATGCTTTGTAACCACCAAGGTCTCCGGCAATGCAGTGGCTGACACCGCCCCAGGTTGAATCAGCAACAGCCTTCCAGATAGCAGTCACATCAACAGTCATAGCCTTGGTGTACAGAATACGGCAGTCTGAGGGCTCGTAGATGAATTGGAGAGGAGTGTCGGTCTCGTCTCCATCGCGAATGCCATCGCGGAAGTTGACGTTAACCGCGTTGTTGGAAGAGCGGATAAAGGGTGTGTCATCGTAGTAGTCGCCTAGTTCCGTCTTGTTGAGCTGAGCGCCTTCTTCAGGCGTAGATAGGTTACCGATGGTGAACTGAGCCACAGATTGAATGTAGCCCCACGGGTAGTTGTTCGTTCCCTTCACACCACCCACGGCTTGTGTGATACCTTCACGAGGGCGGCCTCCCAGTGAGATGTACT